TCCCCTAGAGACTTCCTGCTTGCTGCCTCTGAAATTAAGGACCAAATGGACAAACAGCAATGGCACAGCACTCCGCTTGAGTCGCTGAGGCCAAGGTCCCTCCTTGCTAAGTCTCCGGTTCCCCTCCAGAATTGTCCACCCTCGCCCAGTTCTAACAGTAAGCGTAGTTAAGGTTGAGTTCACAAGTGATCTTGCAATAGTCAAGTGTTGCCTCACACTCCCAGTCTGTCAGATATACATACACTGTATGTAGCTATATTATCAATGGGGGAGTAAAGGCTGGGGAAGCCTTTATCCCCTCTCATGTAGGTTATATATACATAATGTAATTACATGTGATTAGTGCGGCTTGGGACTGCATGGTAAAATGAAGGTATCGCATTGGGTACAAACCCGACATGATAAATAAGGAATGAATAGGGAGGGCCACGGGTATGTGGCCTATTGTCATATCCATCCCCAGCCATCGACTTCCACCCCCTCCGATCCCTCCGCTCCTTCTTCACTAACCTCAGAGCTCCCGTATTCCGCAATCACCTCAGTACCCCTCGATGGTCACCACCCCCTCTTTTCAATTTATTACCTACACCTCCCTAAGTACAGAGCCCTGAAGGCTTCCAGACAGCTCCGATGTCCACTAGCGCACTCCCGCCTCTGCTGGGCAATACACTCGCTTGCCCTGCAAGCCCACCTTCAGGCCTATCCCTCCTTTCCGTTTCTGGGTTATTGCCTACCATTCCATTAACCCCGTAACCCAACTTGTCGGTAATATTCAATTGGCTAATGTTTAAACCCCATTAGCTCCGCTCCGCTCGGCTCTGCCATTTGCAGGCCCGCCCTTGTTGTAACTATATATACTCAACTTGTACATAGGTTACACCTCAGTAATAAAATTCAGTTCTGGTTGCCAGTTTAGTAAGTTAGGGCACAGACGTGTTACTTGGCACAGCACTCCTGGCATAAGTCGCTGAGGCTGAAGCCCTTCGCCATGGAGACATTCCTTTGTCTCAACCTGGTCTCTGACACCTATCTCCCTTACAGGATGCCAAAACACGAGGAGCACAAACCCCAGTTGTCAGAGACCGGATCAAGACAAAGGATTTGTCTCTGTGATGGAGGGCTTTGGCCTCAGCGACTCAAGCCAGGAGCGCTGTGCCAAGTTACACATCCGTGCCCTAATTTGCTTACTGGCAACAAGAACTAAGGGGGATCAACTCTAGTTGATTTTATTACTGAGGTGTAACCTATGTACAAGTTAAGTATATATAGTTACAGTGAGGGTGGGCCCGTGAATGGCAGGGCCGAGCGAAGTGGAGCTAACGGAGTTTGTCAGAGACTGGGTTGAGATGAAGGAGTGTCTCTGTGGTGGAGGGCTTTGGCCTCAGCGACTTGTGCAGCAGCGCTGTGCCAAGTAACACATCCGTGCCCTAACTTACAAAGCTGGCAACCAGAACTGAAGGGGGTAAACTCTAGTCGATTTTATTACTGAAGTGTAACCTATGTACAAGTTGAGTATATATAGTTACAGTGAGGGTGGGTCTGCAAATGGTGGAGCCGAGCGGAGCGGAGCTAACGGGGTTAAACATTAGCCGATTGAATATTACCGACGAGTCGGGTTATGGGGTTAGCAGAAAGGCAGGTGATAACCCAGAAACGGAAAGGAGGGATAGGCCCGAAGGTGGGCTCTGCAGGGCAAGCGAGTGTATTGCCCAGCGGGGGCGGAAGTGTGCTAGCGGACATCGGAGCTGTCCGGAAGCCTTCAGGGCTCCGTACTTAGGGAGGTGTAGGTAATAAATTGAAAGGAGGGGGTGGTGACCATCGAGGGGTACCGAGGGGATTGCGGAATATGGGAGCTCCAAGGTTAGTGAAGAAGGAGCGGAGGCAGAGTGGAGGAGTCGGAGGGATCGGAAGTCGATGGCCGGGGATGAATATGACAGAGTTAAACATTAGCCGATTGAATATTACCGACGAGTCGGGTTACAGGGTTAGCAGAATGGCAGGTGATAACCCAGAAATGGAAAGGAGGGATAGGCCCGAAGGTGGGCTTGCAGGGCAAGTGAGTGAATTGCCCAGCGGAGGCAGGAGTGCGCTAGCAGACGTCGGAGCTGTCCAGAAGCCTTTGGGGCTCTGCACTTAGGGAGGTGTAGGTAATATATTGAAAAGAGGGGGTGGTGACCATCAAGGGAAGCAGAGGTGATTGCAGAATATGGGAGCTCCAAGGTTAGTGAAGAAGGAGCGGAGGTAGTCCAGAAAGATCGGAGGTAGTGGAAGTCAATGGCCATGGATGGATATGACACCAGTTAAACAAGATGGAGACACTGAACATTTGAGGAGAAGATGAAAGCGGCCATAGCAGACGTTGTAGGCGGGATAATCACCCATGCACAGACTTGGTACGGAATTGGTATCTAAAAATAGTCCTAATTCGTACGATTCTGACGATATCAAGAACGTCCCAATCGGTGGAGATTTGACGGAGTTCCGTGTTGGAGAAGTTAGGCACGGCAGGTCACGAGTATGTGCAGGTGTGGGAATCTCAAGCGGCAACCCAGAATTCCAGCCTCACTTGTTCCCACAGCGTCTAATAAATCGGTAAAAATGCTCATTGGCTGTGTGAGAGTTATCTCCGGCTGTATTTCCAATTTTGGTTCTTAATTCCGTAAATCCGTTGAGATATCGCTTATTTCCTTATATTTTCATATTTTTGTATCATTTCAGTTATTGATCAATATTCTTTTATTGATACTGTTACCCTTTTTTATTATTTCGCCTAATAAGGTATCCAGGTGCCATATGGTACCAATATTCCCCATCTATTATATCTAAAAATAATTATTAGATATAATCCTGTACATACGGATTTTGAAAAGAAGTTCTCCCCTCCCCCCAGAATTCTCTAAGGTGCTAGGATGTGCTAGAGTGGGTGTGAGTGAGTGGAATTCCAACAGGGCAACAATCTAGTCTGCAACGAGTGGGTAGTGGATTTGTTGAGCCCGGACCTTGCGGAAATCCTGGAGAACCCACCACGGAGTTAAGGATCAAGCATAGCGAGTTTAGTCAAGGAAGTAGGAGTTTAGGGAGTTTGGCCCCATGAGCTTAGTCGGCATAGAGAGCTGCGAGCCCTCTTTCAATGTCTCGATTTTTATTTCTTTTATTTTCCTTTATCACTTTTATATCGATACCAAGACAATACCCACAGACACTACAAATCCTGAGGACCACTAACTCCCAACAACACCAACCAGATTCCCCCTCCATGTAAAGATGATCCCCTCATGTATGCTACAGTGTTACGATGGGATAGCTGCACTGCCACATCATCACAAGGCTGTGGGGTATTAAGATAGATTTATCATCATCATCATCACTAGAAGGGCTGCTTACACAGCCACGACCTTGCTTGTGGGAATTTGAACCTGTGGCAGAATAACAAGTATTCAAATTGCAGGGAAGAGATGCACACAATAACATTGTCATTTTGGCAGGCGGTGCAATGTGGAGAGAAATATTTACATAAGAGTGTATCACACAACAGTTGAAAACCTAATGTTGATGGCATTGACATTTAGTGGGTGAGAAAGAAGGCCCAGGAAATGGGCACTCAGAGGGTGACCCATCCTTTCCTCGGCCCTTGACCCACAGGGAGAGATCATCAAGACTATGTTGGACACAAATGAACGAGCACCTGAAAATAACGTCTCTTGAGTCAAGCTGGAGCGATTACTTGCTTGTGTGCTAGCCAGGATGCCACCAATCATGCCACCGATTAAGCCTTCAGAATCCCTGCGAGTTTTGAAGCCTGAAGAGTCACTGAATATTGTCGACATGGGAGGAGTTGATGATGATGGTAGATGAGCCAATGGCAACAGCTGTTGTAGTGGTGTAGACAGAAGGTGGGGGGATTGACAACAGGTATGTTAAGGATTCAGACACTCTGAAAGAGTCGATACGGAAGAAGTGGCCAGAGATCGGGTGGATGTTGTCGATGGGAAATCAAAGACAGTGAAGCACCGACAGCTGCCTATGACAGGGGCATATGGTTTCACAGATTATCTCAAGGCCAAACAATCTGGCATGTCATCATCGATCTTGCACCTCCACCAACAGGAGGGCTGACACCATTCAACACTTATGTGGCATTATCGCAAAGCTCTGGCCGTTGTAGGCGGGATAATCGCCCACGCGCAGAACCGGCTCGGATACCCGTTCACACATTCAGAAAACCACTTTAATTCATGCGACGACTCGGTACGGAATTGGTATCTAAAAATAGTGCTAATTCGTACGATTCCGACGATACCAAGAACGTCCTAATCGGTGGAGAATTGACGGAGTTCTATGTTGGAGAAGTTAGGCACAGGCATGTGCAGGCATGGGAATCTCAAGCAGCAACCCAGAATTCCAGCCTCACTCGTTCCCACAGCGTCTAATAAATTAGTAGAAATGCCTATTGGCTGCGTGAGAGTTATCTCCGGCTTCATTTCCAATTTTGGCTCTTAATTCCGTAAATCCATTGAGATATCGCTTATTTTCTTATATTTTCATATTTTTGCATCATTTCAGTTATTGATCAATATTCTTTTATTGATACTGTTACCCTTTTTATTATTTCGCCTAATAAGGTATGCAGGTGCCATATGGTACCAATATTTTCCATCTATTATTTCTAAAAATAATTATTTCTTATAATCCTGTACATACCGGATTTTTAAAAGGAAGCTCTCCCCTCCCCCATTTTCTCTAAGGTGCTGGGACGCACTAGAGAGGGTGTGAGTGTGTGGAATTCCAACAGTAGGAATAAGGGCAGTGATCTAGCTCACAACGAGTGAGTAGTGGACGCTGAGCCCGGACCTTGCGGAAATCCCGGAGAACCCACCACGGAGTTTTAGGATCGAGCATAGCGAAGTCAAGAGAGAAAGTAGAGGTTTTGGAGAGTTTGGCCCCACGAGCTTAGTCGGCATAGAGAGCCGCGAGCCCTCTTTCACCGTGACATGATCCGACTTTTGCAAGCATTCAATGAGAGGCTCTTCAGACAACCAGCAAGTCCAATCTTGGAGGTAGAAGATGAAAGATTGGGGAAGGAGACACACACCAGATGGGAGAGGACTCAGATGGCAGAGTGGCAGAGTGGCAGAGTGGACAACAGACATAATCACGACCTTGTGACAAATAAACGAATAAACGAATAAATTCATGAAATGAATGGGACATGTCAAAGCACATGAAGAGATCATGAGTCAGGATTCATAGTAGCCAATGGGACAAGAGATCGGTGGGGTGGGAAAGTGAAGATTCCCATGAATTGTGGACCCAGAAAGTGACGTTGCAAGCATTTAAATTTAATGGAGGCATGAGATTAAATATGACTTGTGTGCGCCGGTGTAAGGTCAGTTGAGGTTCCGACCTTGGTGTTGACTCCTGCTATCCTCAAGCTGTCAGGAATTAGGCAGTATAGAGCTGTAATTTCGACAGGGGAGGAGAAGAGTGAAAACCTGTTTCACCCTTCCCCGCAATTTATATACATTGTTTACATCGAGAAATAAAGAGTAATAAACAATGAAAGAAAGAGAGTAATAAACAATGAAAGAAAGAAAGCGTGCACAGCACGCATCACCACACATCCATTCCCTACAGCCGGCCTCAGCGCCTCAGTTTTCTTCTGGGTATCCGCTGTGCCCCTTTGCTAGGTCAAGTCCTCATCTGTATGCAATATTCATTGCTTTATGCCTTTAGACTGTTCATCTGTGATGTTCAGTTTTTCTTAGTTGTCTGGTATGCAATTGTGTCCATGTTTCTGATACTCTGCTGCTTGATCGGTACGTTGGTGGATTTTCTTTCTCTTTACACGCATCTGCTGTATGCTTCAGCCTCCATGCCTTCTTTCCTTTATGCATGCCTGCTGAGCGCTTCGGCCTCCATGCCTTCTCTTCTGCGTCCACGGTACGCTTTGGCTTCTCAGCCACCACCTCTCGCGTCCACTGCACACTGTTGTTCTACAGTCTTTTACCCCTCTTGTGTCTGCGCACGCTGGAGTTTATTTCCTTTTTCTATGACTCTGACGTATTTTTTTCTAACTAATTCTCTTATTAGTTCTGGTTAGGGTGGTTGGTTGGTGTTGAATATTCGGTCTTGCATTGGATAAGGCAGTTAGCCTTGGTTACCCTTCGCAAGTTGGATCCCGGATGTTTACGGTGTCTTTCATTTTTCGGCTCATGCCTTGTTTCTTGTAACTTCACTTCTTCTCTTTTGTTGGCACTTCTTGCTGCTACTCTCTGTCTGTCTTCATTGTTAAATCTATCGAATCTGCCTATTCTCTCATCCTTCGTCCAAACAAAGAAGGTTTATGCCTGACAGGGAGGAAGAGTCAATTTTACCCCAGGTTATGGCAGGAGGAACGAGCAGAACTTCTGAGACACTGGGAACAAGTTCATCCTCAGTAAAGGCGTCAACGGGAATCGAGAGGAGGAATCCACCCAAGTCCGACTTTGATAAGGGTCCGAAGGACATCCTTGAGGACATCGTGCGAGACGCAGAATCCACTGGGGACTATAATCACGTGAGAAAGGAGGCCCTTGACCTTATTGAAGTTTATGATTTACAAAAGCATCGTGAGCATATTTTCTCATTGATTGACAGGTTTGAGCAAGGGAAAGGAGATACTACTGTAGTTACCCTTGAATCAAAAGGTAAAGGTAGTGACCCACAAGAACATCGAAAGCGACAATGAGAATCAAGCGACGAAGAAGATGGATGGAGTCGGAGAGCAAAACGAGTCAAAGGAATCCTCAGGGATGCTGACAAGCGAGAAAGCGACTCAGAGGAAACCCATTCAAGAGGAAGTAGCTCGAGCAGTGATGGGAAGAAACACGTTAGTTTTGCGGGATCAAGTAGGGGAACAAAGCACGAGCACTTTAAAAACATACACCTTGCCACCAAGACGAATATTGTTTGGAAATATTACTTGGAGAGGCGGAAGAGAGCACTCAGAGACCTCAAAGGCGAGTTGCATAAGCCCCCTCTACCCGACTCACTCTGGGAAGCAGTTCTCCTCAACAAATTCATGGATTTCAACAAACTCTATGCCATCAAGTCGGGGCAGGCCTTGGATGAAGAGGTGGTCCACGAATCCGGTCGCTTCAAATTTGTCTTTAATCAAGTTGAAGCGAAAGGAACAATCCGAGGAGAAGCTACCTGGACAAGGGCCTTTGAAGCCTACTCCAAAGCAGTACTCTTCATATACCCACACAGGAAGGGAGAACTTGAGGGGTACAAGCATTATATGCGATGACTCTTTACCTCGGCAGGATTCTATAAGGAGTGCGGAGTCATTGAGTTCGATGTCAGGTTCCGAAAAGATCTTGCAGCAGATGCTAGACTTACCTCTGATGATGTCGAAACTAACCACCCATTCCTCTTCGGCTCTTTTTCAGGGAGCAGTGGATCACAACAACCTAACCCTAGTGGGAGAGGGAGGTTTGATTCAGAGATCTGTCGACGCTTCAATGCAGGAACCCCCCATACCAACTGCCGATACAAGCACGTATGTGACCAGTGCCAAGGAGAACATTGGCATATCAACTGTCAACAAAAGGAAGGGAAGAAGTCTGGAAAGGATCAGTGATTGGAGAAGATCAATCAGAGAGCCATGCTATCTGCGAGGATTTGTGTGGGGCAACGAAAAATCGGGCACACCTTCAGTAATGTCTACTGTCTTCAGAGAACCTTTACCCATAACCCCGAATACCGACTATGACCATGAGTTGGTTACCGAAACTGTCACCCAAAATGCTCATCTCTTTAAAATAGTGACACCTATCCATTCAGATAAGCTTGAGGAACTCTTGATCAATCACCCTAATCGAGCCCTGGTGGAGTCTGTGCTGAAAGGTTTTTGCAAGGGTTTCTGGCCAGGAGTGCACCCCGAACGTTTGGTCTCACTTCAAGAAGGTTATGATAATCGCCGAGGGAAGGATGAGATGGATGAGGAGAAGCAGGAATTCTTGAAGTTGCAGCGAGATGTGGAGATTTCTTTGGACCGATATTCTATTGCCTTTGGGCTGACCTTACTCCCTGGAATGGTGTCGCAACTGTGCTTCGCAGTCCCGAAGACTGGGTTGTCGAAATTCCATTTAGTCAACGATCATATGGCTGGAGACTCGTCCTTGAATGCGGCAATACCTCCGGAGGAAGGGTCGTTCAAGCCAGACAATTTACATGATTTGGGGAACCTCCTACTTTCTTTTTTGGAAAAGCATGGTCAATCACCTGCTTGGCTCTTTAAAACTGATGCGAGTTCAGCCTTCAGATTGCTTCCTTGTCACCCGAGATGGCAGGCTTGACAAGCGACGATGATTGATGGTCAATACCACATTGATCATTGTTGCATCTTTGGGAACTGGGCTTCAGGTGCGATCTGGAGTACTTTTTATGCTTTGGTCCTATGGATTGGCATTGAAGAAAGAAACTTACCTGGACTCTTGCATTATGTGGACGACGTTTTTTCTTTTGAGCCCTGTGAGGATTTGGAACTTTATGTTCCGTATGGTTCAACCTACCCACACAAACAAGTGGAGTTACTCAGGTTATTTGATGAGGTAGGAATCCCACACAAAAAGAAAAAGCAAGAATTTGGCTGGCAACTCACGATAATTGGTCTCCAAGTGTGCCTTGATACCTTAACGATTGTCATGCCAAACGAAAAAAGAGAGAACTTGATTGTCGAAATCAAAACCTTTCTTGAACATTCTTCCTGCTGACATCCTCTTCGAGATTGGCAATGCCTCCTAGGCTACTGCAATTGGGCGCTGAATGCTTATCCACTCTTACGACCAGCACTTCAATCTTCGTATGCCAAAATTCAAGGGAAGAATCTTCCATTAGTGCCAATTCGTTTGAACAAGTCGGTCATACAAGACTTAACTTGGTTCACAGAGCAAATCCAGGTTTCAGCGGGTGTTAACTTCTTGCAAGCCAGGAGTTGGAAGGAGCACGAGGCAGACTTGACCTTTTTGACAGATGCGTCTAATGTAGGATTGGCTTTCTGGTCTCTGGACATCAGGATTGCAATGGTGGCAACAATTTCGGAGTCTAGCTTACGTTTTGGAGACACACTTTTCAACGAAGCGTTGGCGGTTGTCTCGGCAATTGATTGGGCTGCACAGTTACCAGATAGACCTCATCGCATTTTACTTCAAACTGATTCGATGAACATGGTCGATATCTTCCATTCACTAGCCGCCGAACCTAATTACATTCTACTCCTCCTCCATGTGGTTGAAACAATGATGGATTTCGACATTGATGTTTGAGTTATTCATATCCCTGGCTCCGAAAATACCGTCGCAGATGCGTTGTCACGTCACCTTTTCGACTTGGTCCTTATTCACTGTCCAGGGCTGAAAATTTCTTCCTTCAGGCCTCCACAGGATATGTTGGGGGTGATACAGGAATGAATGTTTCAGTAAGTGCCAAGGCACGTCAGCCCAAATGTGCCCCTTGGACATTGGATCGTTTGCATCGTCAGCAAGCGATTTATTTGTCTAATGCTCTTGACAAGTCAACAAAATCTGCCTATCAATCAGGGATTAATTCATATCTTACCTTCTGCCAAATCCATCATTACAACCCCAAGCCAACTCCTAATATGCTTAGTTTGTTTATCTCTTTTATGGCAAAACAGACAGGACCATCAGGAAAACTGATTTCAATCCACACGATTACCTCTTACCTGTCAGGCCTTGCTCACCACTTGGAGCCTTGTTATCCTTCAGTTCGAGAGGCCCACAAGCACCCAATGGTAGTTAACACGTTGCGTGGAGCAGAGCGGACTGATGGGCAGCCAATCGTCTGGAAGTTGCCAATTGAAGATGCACACTTACTCTTGTTGCTGAAAAAGTTCGGTGCTTCTCTGTCATATCCATTCCCGGCCATCGACTTCCGGTCCCTCCGTTCCCTCCGGTCTAACCCCGCTCCTCCTTCACTAACCTCGGAGCTCCCATATTCCGCAATCCTCTCGGTACCCCTCAATGGTCACCACCCCCTCATTTCAATTTATTACCTACGCCTCCCTAAGTACAGAGCCCCGAAGACTTCCGGACAGCTCCGACGTCCGCTAGCGCACCCCCGCCTCCGCTGGGCAATACAATCGCCTGCCCTGCAGAGCCTACCTTCGGGCTTATCCCTCCTTCCCGTTTCTGGGTTAACGCCTGCCTCTCCACTAACCCCGCGACCCGACTCATCGGTAATATTCAGTCAGCTAATGATTAAACCCGTTAGCTCCGCTCCGTCCGGCTCCGCCAATTGCGGACCCGCCTTCGCTGTAACCATATATATATATCCCGTTTGTACATAGGTTACACCCCAGTAGTAAAATCAACTAGAGTTACCCCCCTAGGTTCTAATTGCCAGTCAGTAAGTTAGGGCACGGACGTGTCACTAGGCACAGCGCTCTTGGCAGAAGTCACTGAGGCCGAAGCCCTCCGCCACGGAGACATTCCTTCATCTCGAATCTGGTCTCTGACATTCTCAAGACTTTGATGACTGCCTTTTCCTCGCCATTGCTTTTACAGCCTTTCACGGTTTGTTGCGATTAGGTGAATTGGTTGTGCCAGATGACCCCTCAAAACTGGTGTTCAGGAAGTTGGTTCTTTGTCGGTCAGTTGACATAGTTGTGCGCAATTCCTTATGCTGCTTCCAATTCCTGTTACCCACTCACAAAGCGGATCGCCGGTTTCATGGTAGTCCTATTTTGATTCAGTCCAGGTCTGGTCCACTTAATCCTGTTCTGATTTTTGAACGTTACCTTCAACTGCGAGATGATGCCTTCTCCTTCTTTCCCAGCTTTGGGTCCGAGGTGATGGATCCTTACCTTCCTGTTCTTGGTTTTTGCAGAGATTGCATACTTGTCTTCCAAAGAATTTGCCGGTCATTCTTTTCGCTCTGGAGGGGCTACCCACCTTGCCGCTCTTGGTTTTTCAGATTCGAGGATTCAAGCTTTAGGTCATTGGTCTTCTGATGCTTGGCGGATTTATATTTGTAAGAACCCTGTAATTCTTTGTGCCCGTTCCCCCGTGGGGTCTTCGATTTTTGATTCCTAGCTCCCTCCTTTTATTTTTCACCACCATCCCTCCCCTCCTCCTTCTTCTTCTACTATGTTACCGGCTCGCTTCAAATCAAGAGGCTTCAACATCTTGTCAGGGCCGTCACCACGCTATCCATTACACCTTCACCCACACACAAGAGGTAATCCATATAGCAGGACTGTATAACTGGGGAACGCCGCCTGAAGCGGCAGATCCCACTACTCTTGCCTCGCATGCAGGTTCACTCTCAACGTTACTATTGGCTGAGATGAAGCCCGAGAATCACTCTCGCTCTGTAAACCCACCGCATACTCTGATAAGATCAGGACCACGTAATTTACACTGCAGCCATGCAGCAAGCAGAATAGAACTGTATGGGGCAGAGAATGGACCCTGGGTTTGGGGGTCATACAGGACCCTGTGCATAGGACAATTGAGTTTGGGAGAAAAAAACGTAGGACCCGCTACGGAGTAGCGGGAATTTGCCGTCAAAAAGATTGCCATTAATGATAAACTCGAGAATCATGAGCTGTAAATGCACCAGCGAAGAGGAAAAGGGGGAACAAACACCTTCAAGAGAGAAAAAGTATTTTTGACCCCAAAACACGACACACAGCCTCGAACCAAATCACACAAGTGGACCATCCAACTGATGCCGAACAAACAACTCCTCAGGGAAATATCTCGCCCGAACACTCCTCCCACCAAAATACCGACCATCAAAATCCCGGACCGTTTTCCATGCACCAACGGGGCCCGTGAATTGTACAAAAACCCGGACAGCCTCATCGTGGTTGGAAGGAACGGGATTGACGACATGCACCAGGATTCTGTTGACAACTCCGTGCTTGCTGCACTCGCCACCTACCAAAGACATAAGGAGAGAAATGCTGAGAACAACGAAAATAGAAATGGCTGACAGAAATACACACCAATTTCCTCACTGAGATCCTCATCTTCCGCATCTTCCAGCCCAACCACATTCGAAAGCACAACAACAGTGCTAGGCTCACCGTACTTAGCCCTCTCTTGTCTCTGCTTTTCTTCATCCAGCTTATTAACGATCTTCGCTATCCTCGAACCCTCAGCTCCAAAACCTCCAGCCGACGGTTTCTGATTACACTTCTTCCCTCCAGCAGCTTTGGCGACTTGGACCGAAAGTGGCTCGACGATCCCCGAAGCGTCGACACCTAGACCTTGACCCTCTTTATGGCCCCATTTCGCCATCATTCGCGCAGCAAAATTATGCGAAGTTTTACTAGAACCATTAAATAATCAAAAAAGCATTAAACATTAAAATACAATATCAACACTCACGGCTCTGAGGGAGAATCTTCTTCTGGTTTATCCGACGCATTCGCCGCTTGCTGACCAAATTGAGCAAGTCGCGCCGCAATCGCAGCAGCAGCTTCTCTCTTTTCCTTGATTTGAGCTTCCATGACTTCCGGGTCCAATGGCGGAGGCGCAGGTTGTGGTGGCGGCATCGGAGGAGGTGATAGGTACGGAACATCATCATCCTCATCCAGCTCTTGCACAGGGAGAGGTGCAGGTGGCGGTGGCGGTGGGGGAGGGGGCGTCATTGTCATCGCGCCTTGAGACATTGCAAGACGGCGCAGATATGCCTCTTCTCCCGTTTGTGGAACCGGTGCAGATGGAGTTGCTACTAAATTCGATGCGGTTTGTTCAAAGGAGGTGGGCGGAGGAGAAAGTCGAGATGACGCCTGGAATCCAGCGTTTGCAGACATCGCTGCTCTACGGAGATAAGCTGGTTCACCATCGTCAGGTGGTGGAAGTCGCGAGTGACTGGATGGCGGAGAAAAGATGGGTGCTGGCTCCTTCGTCCTCCACGATTCAGGCGGCGAGTCATCATACCGCCCTAAAGAAAAGTAATACGCCAAAAAAATCAGAAAGGCACTGAACCGGGTAGACTCACCCTCCTTTCTTGGACGATCGCGCCAGTCTTTGTTATCATCACTATAACCATCATCGCTCGCAGAGTAACTGCTACTCCTTCTCGAACGTTTCCTATCGCGCTGTCGTCTCCTCTCGTCTTCCCTCGCCTGTCGCTCTTCCTCCCTCGCTCGAACCCTCTGAGCCACGAGTTCGGAAAAATCGTTCGGTTTGAGAGGATCATATTGCTCGTCAGGATCCCATACAGGTGCAGCTTGTGCATTTTGCTTGGACTGTATATTATTGAGGAACGAGTACGAAAAAAGAAAGGTCCCCCCCCCCGGAATCGATTTCGCGCGTTTGTTTGTTTGTCAAAGGAACCAAGACAGGCCGTATCCAGTCCATCGAATTCGCGTGTCGTCGTCGTCGTCGTTGCGCAGCGTGAGGTGACCGAACGGTTGAAAAAGCCGTCAAAGGTCGTCCGAATTATTTTTACGATAGAACGATAATAAAGATATTCGTTTGCAAGTTCATGGAGAGCAGGATTGTAGACGTTTAGTTCGAAACTGCACTCGGATGAAAAAAGGATAGTAAACAAGTACGACGACCTTCTTTCCTTTCCCTATTTTATTACGCTGCTGCCGATGATGGGACTTTCTCGAAGCAGCACTTGGCCCTCTAAATCCATTCACGTTGTCATCGAGAACCATCGAAGGTGGTTTGATCTTTCGTCCACTCCAATCGGCATTACTTGAACCGACGCCTGTAACAGTTGATGATGGTTCTGATGCTAGCAGCAGTTTGCTGTTGTTATTGTTGTTGTTGTTGTTGTTGTCAGCTTCTTGAAGAAGTAGATTGTTCAGAGAAGATGATGCAGCCGCCGCCTCGTCGAGATCAGGAGAAGCGTAGAGAACAGCAGTAGCTGAGATCGTAGATGAGGCAGATGATGATGATGAAGTAAAAGCACTAGCTGGTAATCGAGTCGCTACTGGCTTAGCTTTCGGAGCAGGCCTCCTTGTAGGCGCAAACGCAAGTGAAGCCGACCATGCTTTTGTCCCTACTAAAAAAAAAAAATTTTAATGCCATACGAACTTTCCCCAGAGATCTTTCTTTGTATACCTGCAGCGGGTTTCGAAAACTCTTCCTCCTTAGGCGCTTCGGTTTTGGTTGTTGGCGCAACGGATGGTTCAGTCTTGGTCGTGGCATTCACGGCGCCAGGTGCAGTGACAGCAACGATATCAGCTGCAAGTCCAGCAGGAGTAGTCGTAGATAATAAATTGATCCCTCCATATAGACCACCAGCTTTTCGAGCAGAGGCTGACATCTTTCTCCGTGAGATGGGAAGCGTTTTGCGCAAAGCAAGTTGTCCACTTCGAAATCAACAGATATAAATACAGCAATGATTTTCCTGAACGTCCAACAATGAACGCAGTTCCGAAGAAAATGCAAAAAGAAAAGAGGAAGGGAATCTGTACATGTGCAAAGCAAGCAAGGAAAAATGACTATGTAAATCGAGCTTGATTCTCACGATAACCAGTCAACTGTGGTTCGTGATCATCTGCTCCCTCTCCACCCCAAGCGACTTCCCTCGATACTCCGCCTTGCCAATCTTCCACCCTCCGAGAAGCTATTATCGACATGGTCGAACCTGCGGTCCCAACGAAGCCATGCCCATGCTCTGAATGGCTGCGTCCAGGAAGACGGGATACCTAAAAGCACTTGTACGACAAAAAAAAAAAAAAAAGCAAAAGATAACATACCATGGACCATGCTTGGCAGCGGTATCCTCTCCATTCGGACTATGATCAATCATCTTCCACCCATATCCTCTCACACCATCCCAAAAAGACTGATCCGTCTCATCACTCGTCATGATAACAGGGATGCTGGCAATATCCGATCCTGGTTCTTGAAATTCAGATCGCATGCCAAGTTCATATCGAATTTCCTCCACTCGTTTCTCGAAAGCCGATAAAGGAGCAAAACATTCCTCTTTAGGTCTACCATGGCATTGACCATCAAAGTCCTTCCGGCGAGCATGGATGGCAATGTACTAGAAAGAAGACGCAAAAAATTAATTTAAAAAAAAGGGAAGACGTAAACACGAATGACGTAAATGCGTGTGAGACGAAAAGAAAGATCAGCAAAAAAATACGTACTGCAGGTATGTCTTCCCGACTGTCTACCACGAATAGGCGCATCAAGTACTGCTGTGCTAACTGTTCAATGGTAGGGTGCCAATGACAATGCGTGCCAATCATGTTCCAGGGAAGAAACCAAGGTCCGGCCCACTCGAAATCGATCGTCAGGGTCGCAAAGTACAGAAAGTCGAACGTCATGATATGTTCGTCCGGGGGAAGTTTGACTTTAAGAACTCCGTCTGACTCGAAGTTCTGTTCATTATGAGTTGCCCGAACGACTTCAGAGTGGTACGACAATTTCATGAGCTCCATGAGGAGAACGTGCACCCCATCTGGAACCCTGAGCCTGTCACGCATCGTAGCAGTATAGGGGATATTCGTATAGGAGACCTCTGAAAAAAACGAGGATAGCAAATTTTTATTAGCCTAAATTGATAATGCAATAGGGATTGGAGAGACGGACCAAGACCAAGGGTCCTTTCGACACTGTTCGGACGCGGGAGTCCTCCCCGAAACATATCCCAGCGGGCCCATGCTGTCCATCCACCAATGGTCTCCGGTTCCTGGTCGGGTTCAGCTGGTAATTTGACATCGCGCCATTCAAGTACGGGAAGATGGATGGCCTCTGCAAGTCGAGGAATATCGAAAACATCGCCAAAGGGTGGAAGCCCTGCGTCATTAATTTTCCCTACGTGTGTTGGTACGAAAGGAGCGATGATGGGTATACGGTCCGTGAGTTTCGCGAGAAATATAAGATTAATGTATGTCCTAGTGTGATAGGAAGTGGGGAATCTCGTCTCAGTTTCGAAGAAAAGAACCTGGGCGAGACACTCACATCCAATCGTTGGTCCATCCGCCTCTAAGGAAAAAAAAAAAGCAAATTCAGCCGAGAGAAGGGAAAGTTCGATCCCAAACGCAACACACCCAATAAATCCAGTTAAATATTTGTATTCATCAAGTAAATTATCTGAAGCCAACGTAAGGCCGATAAGAGCATGAAAGGATTGATGGCACGAACCGCGAAAGAGTTTGGTCGGGGGGCCTTTTAAATAATGTCGTGAGGAGTATTTAGAAGACGGTGGTGGAGGAATAGGCGTTGTAGGTTGAGTCCCGTCCTTCCTGTCTCTCTCCAGTATCCTGTCCCATGAATTCCAAGGGTCATGAGTTGATAGAACATGTAGATATAGCACAGTGAGCACGACTGTGAAGCAGCAAAAGAGCACCGTTGTTCGTCGGGACAACCACCGACCAAAACCGTTCAAATAGGGCAGAAGAGATCTATCCCTGTAGTCATAGGATTGCTTCCGACGTGGCTCATACCAACCTGGACGAGAGGTCATTTCGTCAGGAAGACAGGATGGGGTGATGGGTACGGAAGGGGATTGGGAGGAAGGTTCACAGCTGGTTGCAAATGCATGACTTTGTCCCGGAAAGGTCGAATGAATGAATGTCCCTGGCATGCGTGAATTTCGTATTGTGGGAAGAATCAGGTTCACGTCAGGGCGCCAACCTGAAAGGGGGAATTTGATCTCGGTCGAGTGGTTGGATGGGCAGTGGGGAGGAGTGTTGGTTTGAGCAGGAGTGTAAGTGTAAGTAGTGTTTTGAGCGAGGACTACTAGTCAAGTTTCACGTATTGCAAAGGGGTTCTTGCATCCGCTTGTTTGCTGATCTCTCAATTTTCACTCAAGTGAGAATATCGGATACGACGGAAAACCTTGATCTCATGTTTTAACAGCGTTCCCGCTAGATGGTCCCAACCCCCAACCCCAACCTTGAACGCTGAACTCTGGCAATTCCCGTCGGAAGACGTAAATTACTCTGTGTTGTGATCTGGTTGATCTGGTTGATCTGGTTGCAAGTTCGCATTTGACAACATGGTACATACACCTCTCAACCGCGTATGTGCTCCCTCGTTTTGATTGCGGTTATCAGCGATAATATCACTACACGGCATGACCATATTCCTCGACAGTTCGGATTCTTCGGAAGTTCACTCATGGAAGGGACCGTGGGAACAAGTACGATCATGCCTTCCATGGATCGTGATGCTTCGCTTCGGACTGCTTCCTTTGGACCGGGTTCGAGATTACGGCGGATCCTCCGCAAGATCATCGAGCGCCATGCAAGCCGTACACAGCTTTGGATCGAGCAGCGAATCGATGTCAACCGCGCCAATCTTTACCCCGACGTCTCCGATTGCTATATAGCTCAACCCTATATGCGCGTTCATCAAAGGTGACGCAATTCTGAGTCTCTTCAGATCGTCGAATGTCCGACGAAATTCCGCCGGACCGATTTCATTAACTTGAAGAGGATTTACATTCGTACAACTTGTTCGCTCACTATTCGTGAAAGCACTGAGATGTGCACTTGCAGGGTGCACAGTTTTACATATCAAGAGGTCGGCAGAAAGAACTTCGTGTGAAGTGGTTCCCCTGATTGTATTTAACGCTGATCACGGCATGAATGGACGTTTGAGCCCCGTACCTAGCGGGTGTACGACGGACATCCGGTGCCTTACCGAGGTCGCGTCAGATATTCCTCGCGGATGTCTAGACCCAATGTTCCATCCCATCGAATTTACGCAAACACACCAATATGCTAAATGCCGCCAAGGCTAGCCGAGGTCGCCCCTATGTTTCTAATTCAGCAACGATTGAACAGCATTTACGATCCCCTATACTGTCTCGCCATAACATTATTGCCATCACGATCATTTCCAGGAGATTCATCAAGAGTGTCATCTCCCTCTCTCCGTTTTAGAGCGATCCCAACTATGACGGGTCGTCTGTGACTAACGGATCCGCCTGCCTCTTCTGAAAACCAAACGAGCGTCGATAATTGAGATGCGAGGAGGCTGTAATATGTGTGGAGCTTTGGGGAGGGGGGTTGTCCGAAGAGAGGTGTAAGTGCGATCGAAGGTGGGGGTGTTGGGATCAGCAAGTTGTGTTGTTCGTTTTCGGGTTCGTGTCCGTCGGATCCTGTAGATGTGGATGTGGAAGCAGGGGGATGAGAAAGTTGAACGCTTTGTGGGATAGCGGCTTGGATCTGAAACAGTAAAGCGTTTAGTAAGTCATGATATGGAAGAGTTTTTGCGCTTTGGTGATGGACGGGAAGGATGGGTATGCATGCCGAGCGCGCGCCTGGGCCCAAAAGCGCTCTCGCCCGGGCGGGCGCCGTGTAGTTGAATTCAGAGCTAGAGGTTCTGGACAGCAGTTCAGCTTACCAAACATCCAACTTTCCCCAGTTGAGTCACTAGTATAAATACCCGATCGGAGAAGGATTGCATCAGTATTTCTGTCTGAACATCCTCGACTTCAACTTCCAGCTTCGATATTGGCTTCATCGTTTGCTTTGTTCCTCTCTAAATAAACTCGTGTAGCCAGAACTAGAGCGCTTTAAGTATCGGTCGTAGCCAACCCATGCCAATTCCAGTTTCGTTTGCATCCGAGGACAATATAAAAAGGTCTCTTCTTCCCACCATGGTCAGTTTCCACCCTCGTCCAGTTTTCTCTTCCAACATCGCCGTGCCCGCCTGGCAGTCCTTTGTTGTGGATGAGGTTGTTCATGATGTCGATGACTTGCCTTGATCTTACAGGCTAAGACGACCATATCGAGCGTAGATTGGGAGAAGCGTCTTGAAGACGTTCGAGTCTCAAAAGAGTGGGTGTTTTTTTGTTCTGCGATTGCCCCTTTCCCCTTGTGTTTTTTTCATCTTCATTTGGCGTCCACACCCTTCTTCCTCCGTATCCACGAATGATTCAATCACAACTAATCAATGGGAATCTCTCGGAAAACTTTCATGACGAGAAACAGTTAGGGACAGATGACTTCCTCTACATCTTTTTTTTTTCTTCCACTTGTCGCGTGCTTCATCAGGGATACTAACTTCGTTTATCGAAAGTGACCTTAATCGCCTCGTAATGGATTACCTGGTTATCGAAGGGTACAAGTCCGCCGCGGAAGAATTCAGCAAGGAGTCGAATCTTTCTCCACCTGTCGAGCTGGACAGTATTGAAGCGCGCATGAGTATTCGTGAGGCTGTTCAAAGAGGAGAGATTGAGGAAGCCATCGCCATGACGAACGAGCTCAATACTGAGGTGAGGTTCTTCCCTTTGTTTAATAATATCTTTGTACTTTATGTATTCCCCCCGCCCAAATGATTCAACACCATGCACCACACTGAGGCCTTACGGGTCGTGGATGACAATTAACCCATTTGGATATAGATATATGATCTCCTTATCGTTTGCTATCCCGATTTTTTTTTTTCGTCCAGGCTTCTGAGAGGACTTTGTTTTATATAGATCCTTGAGACGAATCCTCAGTTATACTTTCATCTTCAACAACAAATCCTCATCGAACACATACGCCACGGTCGCATCGCCGAAGCACTCCATTTTGCTCAAACAGAACTCGCGCCGCGCACGGAAGAGAATCCTGAGTTTTTGGCCGAGCTTGAACGTACGATGGCTTTGATGGCATTCGATTCGACGCCGGAACCTCCATCGACCGTCGCTGAGCTTCTTCGTCCAACTCAGCGGATGAAGACGGCTGGTGAGCTGAATGCAGCGATACTGGAAAGTGCAAGTCAAGGCACGGAGACGAAACTGTTACAGCTTATCAGAGTGCTGTATTGGGGTGAGAAACTGCTTGAGGAGAAGGCTGATTTTCCCCATGTGGAATTTGGGGCATAGCGTAGAGAGAGAGCGGCTGTGTATGTGTTGCAGCGTTGCCTGAAATCAGCCCACTGTGGCGTCGTGGCGATGGCGGTTCACGGGGAGGTGATCCCTTCTCAAATTGTCATGGACAATCAACATCGGCGCTTGGGTGCTGTCTCCTTGTAGTCTTCATTCTGTTGTATCTTTAGGGTTGTCGCTGCTCTTCGCAGTGCATGGGTCTAATTCTCAGCATACGTTCAGCATACGTTTGGTCATTAATGCCTTACGCTGGTCTTTCCGTGACGCTCCTTCCCGGGATTGCGGTAAACTCCGCCTAAAATGAATGACCCAGACTGCTTCATTCAAACGCATTGACGCCCATATCGATTTATGAAATGGTTTTAAATCCCGGAGCTATTCCGAGTTTGGCCTCTTTGGGTCTTTGGGGGGGTGCCAAGGGCGCACGGTGATCTGAGCGTGTCCCAAGTAATAATGCTATGCACAGGGATAACACTGATAAGGCGTTGGTGGGACACGAAAGGTCAAATATACTGAGAGCTGTGACCGCAGAGACACCGGTTTGGTTGAGCATGCATGTGGCAGAAGGATGAAAAGCTGTGAGAATGGAATGCAATGTTTAAGCATGTAATATTATCGGAGATCATGCGGACATTTCTCATGGAGATTGTGCACTAGCAAACTTTGCAAGGGCATCGTTCATCGCCAAAGGTGACCATCATCGGTCCGGTTCGCAGCAATGGCTGTTGGTGGCTCGCGACTTTCTATCAGCCGATGAGGGAAGTGGGACTGCGGGAGACAACGTGACTTGATTACTTGAGGCTGTACAAATGAATGCAAAGTGGCACTGGTCAATTCATATTCCATTTTATATAATGCATACATAAAATAATATTCCGAGGAAAACATCAACACAAACCAAAATCAACTCTCGCCACCATCTTCATCCCCTCGTTAACGCCTCTCTCGCCATATCTCTCTTATCTCTCGCACAGTCCTGAACAAAACCTCCAACGGCCGCTGACGTAGCACGGCGACATCTTTTTATGTCGACGGAGAACATGTTGCCTTACTCTCATCGACGTAGTATCTCTCCATCACTTGCGTATCCAGCATGGGCCAAGAAAATCCCCAGTCCAATTCCATGGGCCAAAAGGCTCCCTAGTCCCGTCCCATGGGCCAAGAGACTTCCCAGTCCAGTCTCTTTAAACTTTTCTTTCCCTACCCCACCAAAACCGCGTCTGGCTCTCAAACTTCGAATCTTCTTTTCGTCCTTCTTCCTCATCTCCGTCCTCTCTTTCCTCCATGTTACAGGCAGCAGAACCAAACACGTCATGCTCCCTCTCCTCTCTGCACCCGCATACCACTTCACCCTTCAACAAACCATCATCAGAAAGTTCCCCGAAAGGATGCAAGCATCTTTGATAGAAGCTTTACAAAGGAATCCTCATCCTCCTCTAGCCACGAAACATCATCAACAGACTAAACCTGCCCCGTATGGGCATTATATCCCTAATGTCATCTTTCAGACAGATGTGAGACCCCCGCCGGAAGAGGAGACGAAGAGTTGGACCAAACATGGTTTCAATAGGGTTTTCATGGATGATGATCAAGCGATGGCTTGGGTCGAGAAAACGTTCGCTGGAACAGACATTCCACGGGTTTTTAAAGAGCTTCCGCTCGTCATCTTGTGAGTAATTGGTCGCCGCTGCGCGCGGGCTTTCTTTCTCAACTTGACCGCCTGTTCTTGCGGACATTCTGCTCATTTGAATGGTATAAGACACCAACTAACTCTCATTTTTTCCCTTCCTCTAGGAAAGCAGATATGCTGCGGTATCTTTATTTGTTAGCAGAAGGTGGTGTTTACAGGTAAGTTGCTGCGCTTTTGCGCTTTTCTCTCGACACCCAGCTTCTTCTGAATGGAACTGATCAATAAATCCTGATCTCGGTTGCTCTCCCTCCTTGGCTCCTCGGCCCTTTGGTGTTCCTGGAATGGGTTTGTTCACCTTATACAGTGACATTGACACGCGCGCATTAGCACCTATTTCCGAATGGGCTCAGGGTGCCGTTTCATGGCCAAGCGGGAAACCTCCAACTCAACCTGTACGGATGGTCGTCGGAATCGAAGGCGACTTACATGTTTGGCGCAACTGGGGTTCCACGTATGTATGCTTTTTCCTTGATTACCTTCACCACCCCAACACCCGTTATGAGTGTTCCTGGACCCTGGTGGAAACTTTTTTTTTAATCCCTATTCACTCTAATGAACATGTCCGCTAATGAGTTCCGTCACCCCCTTGTTTCTATGATAACACAGAATGGAGGGCCTTGGGTTTTCCGTAACGGGACGGCATCGTAATTTCCAAATCGCTCAATGGACTATCGCTTCTGACGCACATCATCCCATCCTCGTCGACTGCATCCGTCGTATCACGGATACGTTCGTGGTTGCACAAGCATGGAACATCACTCACTATCGCGCGATCGAAATGCTCGAAGCCGAAGGACGGTGGACACATGCCCACAAGTTGAGGCTGATGAGGAAACCATGGGAGGGGGATGTGAAGGGTGAGAGGATGAGCGTTCAAGAGTGGACGGGTCCTGCAGCGTTTACGGATGCTGTTTTGAGTTATCTGCTGGCGGTTGGTGGGATAAGGGAACAGGATTTGTATGGATTGGAACAGCCGGTTCAGGTGGGCGATGTGGTCGTCTTACCCACCGACGGGTACAAGTAAGTCATTCTTCGGTTCTTCAGCATTTTTTTAGAGTCAACTCATTGACCGTCAATCTCCCACTCCGGTTTTGTAGCCCACTGCGTGAAACACTACCGAATCCCCGTGCGAAAGCCATTCATCTTTTCCGAGGCTCATGGAAAGATAACTGGGATTCTGCTGTTCATCTCGATGATTAATCCATTTAGAATCTGCAAACCTCAATTAATCCGCTACTTCCCCTTACCACTCTCACAACAACAATCTTCAGCATATTATTCCCTCTTCTGTTTCCATCCGGGGTGCATGATATATGCGATGGGATATGATCATGTATATGATCATGTGTAGTATAAAAAAATCAAGTATTAACTATGGGAAGACTTCTTCGCTACTACTACTCTTCTCTTTCTTTTTCTATGTAGTGATGAAGCTCTTCCCTCTCCCTAAATCTCTATCTCTTCTATGATCCCATATTACCTACAGTGCTATTTCGTGCCAACTTGCAAACCACACGTCAGCTTCAGCCTCCACCACTACCCTCGACCCACTCCCGTCTCCGTGGCTGATCAGGAGCGGCGCCAGAAGTAGCAACAAGCTGAATTCAACCCTTTTTCTTTTTCTCCTTCCTTTTATATTTTTACCCTTTCATTTCCGTTCGCTCCGGATTCGCTTGGCATCAGTCCGTTTCCAGTCGCTTGTGGGGGGAGGTCCCCCCTTTCGATCCCAATGTTGCAGCCGTCCGTTCCATCTGTGGGGAGATCGAGAGTCGCGACCTCCTTGGGTTTGGGGGCGGAATCCCGGGATGAAGTCGGGAACTTCCTAGGCTATTCTGATCGATCAGGGCTGTCAAGATCTGTCATTGCTCCGTCGCGTCACATCGTCACTGGTTGACATGTCCTTCATCATTGCCTGACCGGTTCATCTCGTCGCCATCACCGTCGCCATCGCCACCGTGATCGTGACCGTCGACAACCCAACCAAGTCAATGACCCATGCATTTGGATGCTGTTCAACAGCATCGGTTCCTATCATTCATGACGTTTTCTATTTCACGAAGGTTGCAATCACCGTACGTTTACGCCCTCGATCAATCCAACGAACAAAATTCACCCTGGTGTGGGAGCCCTTCTTTGTTCTTGACCATGAAGTGCTCCCCAATGCTAGTATCGTGCATGGTATACTGCACTACACATGTCCCCACATGCGTGCGACCACGAGCTTCGAATATCACAATTCCAAGAATGCGGCGAGGTTGTGTAATAAGCGCGACACCGTCCTGTCAACACATCAAACGTACGAAGCCTCGGGAGCTCAATTCCCTAACCAATTTGCCCAGATCCGGATCCGAGCTTGGTTCATTCCTACCCCATGGACAGACACACGTGAGGCTTCTCCATCCCGAAGCTCTGATACCTGCAAGAAGAACATTGTCCTCGTTTCCCTGTGCATAATTCCTCATTTTTTCTTCCTCGTTGTTCTCATCCTTACAATAGAATATCTTTTGCATGTTCGAAGTTCAATCCCGTGGCCACACATATATAATATAAATGCACGTTGCTTGATCACCTTCAGACAGCTGGCTTTGCAGTTTCAATTTAGTGGATGATGAAGTAGGTCGTTTGTATTTTGTTTGCAACGTTCCCTGAATGTGCACCCGTCCGTTCATGCATATGTGCATGCGCGCGGCGGCTGAACTTCAGAGATGATCACTGATCGGAGTGGATGATACGCGTCTACTGACCAATACAGGTTGAAAGCAAAAATTTAGATAACCCAGTACGCAAAATATGGGCTACCAAATGTGTAAACAAGACAATAGTGATCATCATCACGGAGCTATGTTACAGCCACCACCGCTAGAACAAGCCCCCGCATCTTTGCTTCCCTCGCCACCGCCTGCAGGACAGCCGTCAGCAAAATTCTAATCGCCATCATTAGCTCGGTTCGATTTCTCCGCTCTCTTCCTTTTCGAAAACGCCACAGCATCCCTCCTCCCCTTCGTAACATCCACTGCAAACCAAATGACCAAGCTAGCGGCTGCGCAGAGTGCAAACAAGAAAGGAAATCCCATCCAATTGTTTCCCGCGTGGTCTATAATAGCCTGAATCACGTTTGGACCTATAATCGACGAAGCGCGATTCGAAAGACCGAAGAGACCGAAGAACATGTTTTCGAAGCCGGGTGGAGTCAGTTCCGACATCATGGTTTGAGAGAAGGCATAATAAGGGGCCTGGAAGAGTCCAAAAACGACATTGTAGGCCCAGAACTCCCAGCGGGAATGAAACCCTAGTTATCGATATTCAACATAGGGAATTGAAAATAATGAGTCGGGTTTAGGTCATGCAAACGAAAATAGGATTACCATAGACCTACCAAAGTTGCCAGTCCAGATGCCGATCATGCCCCAAAGAGGTATCAGCATTGTCACAACGTTCGTAACCACGAACTAAATGGTTATTGCTCGTAGGTCAGGAAAAGCGCACAAGCTCGAAATACCGAAACTTGCCATCTTCTTTGTATCTATCTTCCAATGTCTTTGGACATACCAAAAGCCAAGCGTGCTAATGATGGATGTGATCGCTTGTGAAAGGCCCTATATTACAAAAGAGTCAGCTCGTCACTTGCTTCTCCGTGGATTGGTGGCTTACAAGATACGTATTCTGCAAGAACGAGAACTGGAATTTCTCATTTTGGCAAATGGTCACCAGAGTTCCAGTGGTGTTGAGTCCATCCGCCAGTAAGAAAAAAGCGAAAAGGTATATGAACGTCTGGGGGAGTTCCCGGTATTGTTTTATGGCATCCCAAATCTATCAATGCATCCAAGTCAGAGTTAGAATCATAAGTTCCAGGGTACATACGCACCTGGATCCAACCAATTGTAAGGTAGTTGCTTCTCTTGGGAAGTGGAGGACCCGGTCGTGGTCGCTGGTATATAACTGAAAGTGCGTGAGCCGGGCATCGGAGATACAGAATGTTCGAGACATACACCACCAGATGCCAGTCAATACCCAGTATCCATTCGTGAAGACGATGGTGTAGTTGTTAACTTTCGGATTATTACTCAGAGGAAGTAGCAGCGAAAGGTTCAGACACAATGTGAACAAGTAACTGAGGATTAACAAGTTGTTGGCACATCCGTGGGATCTCTGCATGCGGCGGAAACCTACCCGATGTTACTGTGAACAGTACTGATGTTGCTGATTCTGTTTTTCTCCAAACTTTCCTCCTTCTCATATTCCTGCGCTGAGATCTCCCTATTCCCAAGTTTGCGTCGGAGCTCGCGTGATTGGGGAGTATTCTGGGCAAGTCGAGGGAAGATAGCGGCATAGAATACAAGGGTTGCTCCATACGAGATAAACCTGAAGCCCTGATTATCGACCCTTGAGAGGAAGCAGTGATCGGGCATGCGTACCCTATCATGTACAATGCCATTGCAGCATGCCAGGTGCTTGGGCCAACGAGGCCTACACTTCCGAACTGGGCACTCCAACAGACGATAGTGCAGACGAAAAGAAGCCAGCGGCCAAAGTGTCCATAATCCGCAGAAGATCCAATGGTGGTGAAGATAAAGGTCATGAACATGAAGCTAAAGAGACACTACTTGAGCACCCCAAGTGGTTCATTGCAATCAACATCCGGCCGTACCTGAGACCATTGGAAATGAGGACGATTGAGGAGACACTCTTTGTTCCTCCATTCCATGGAAGTACGCATTGTCCAGACGCGTCAGGGGCGCCACAGGATGATCCCTTCCCTTTCACAGGGTCCCACCCTAACGCACGAACGACAAACTAGATATTATCGAGCCTGGGATATACGCATCTCGTACCTGCTTGCGTAGCAAGGCTTTGGAACAATGTCATGGAATACCCGAGGGGCCCTACACCGTTCTACCATAATTTGGGCATCAAGAACCAGGGACTGGATGTCGAAAGTGGACTAACATCTCCGTTATACTAGAAGCCAAGATCTCAGCCGAGAACACTTTCACCAGAAACAGTATCGACACACGTAAAGATAGTAACTCCATAACTCTCTTCTCGTTACCTGAGGGATCGAGAGTGAGAACATAGCGCATCGACCGATTCTACCACGACACGAACCACAGGCCCATCGTTATCGACGGTTACCAGGATGTCCTGGGCCGCGGCAAGCTCAGCAACTTCAATGATGTCCCCCTCGCCAGCCGAGAATTTTCCATCAATGCTAAGCTGCTCAGGTGATGGGTCTATGGCAATGTCGCTTTTGGGAACGCTTGGAGCGGCCATGACGACACGGACACCAGGATATCAACGGTAGGCCGAGAGACTCCTTCTCTTATAAGCCTTAACGCGTCAATGACCTCAGCTTAGGAACCGTCTGCTTCCCAGATCGATACCACAACGGAGGCAAAAAGAGCATTTGTAGCTTCGTGTTCACTGAAGTCAATTGGGCGTATTCGGCGAATAGGGATATCCCAAGCCAGTGCAAGACGCTGCTACTCTCCTGCCTCTAAGCCTGCGGACCCTGGCTAGTTGAAGGCCTGACAAGTGATGATCAATATTTGGTGGATCCTCGGTGGCCTGGAGGGATGTGTATGTTTGGGAAATGGTATCGGCGATCTGTCCGACCATTATATCGAGAAGAATTCAAAAGATAGGAGTGTTTAGGTAAGAACTACATAACAATTCCGTAATGATTACAGCACAAGCGACCGCGCGGAGCGGCAAACCAAACTGCCTAAGGAGAATGTGCGGTTTAGACAATGGAAATCTTGGCCATTCCTGCCCGCACTTGGGCTTCATAGGCCTGGACATCAACCACACAGCCTTCACGGCGGCTCTTTTCCGCAGCAAATACCTGGCAAAGGAGGTTCAGACCGTTCACAACCCAATGGACAACACCAAAGAATTCGTACCGTCAAGTGACTGCACAGGATATCATCGATGTCAACTCCGAGTACCTCCTGCTTACCTTCTGCAACGGCATCGATAAAAGCTGCAATTAGACCGATATCACCTCCCCCATGGCCGCTGTCTGCGTCTATTTCTACTTGATGATTCCGAACGGGATCGTTTCCCTGATCATACACCTTAGGATAAACTCTTATTTCTCAAAGTCTACGGTCCGAATTTCCCCTCGCATATCACCGATCAACTCTCCTTTGGTGAAGTGAATTCGAGTCTGACGCTCACAGATGAGCTCTGTGAAAGCGACCATAGTGAACGAAACAGTTTGTCCCTGGAGAATTCGACGTTGACCACTTGATGGTCAACAACATCGTTGCGTGACTCATACACGCATTTGCCGTATGGACCGTTCTGAAGCGCCGCTAAGACGGAGTCTCGTGTTGGTTTGCCGTCAGTAAGGACAGACACCGGCCAAGACGTCATTCCACCAGAGATAGGTTCCAAGTAGACTGACCACATGTCCAAAGATAGAATTAGTGGTGCCTCGGACGGCTCGAGTGGACAATCACAAACTTTTCTTTGCACTATAAGGGCAGCCTTTGTCTTGGAGGGGACATTCTAGGCATTTCGTAGCATCACCAGCCGTTGCGGGCTTGCTTTTCTTGTTGAAGTGAGAGAGAGAGCCGAACGAGGAAACTCGGACGGGGACTGCACCAAACGGTGCTAAATACGAACAAATAAGATCGATGTCACTGGTGTTCAAGGGGCTGGTCAACATAGCTCTCGAAACGCGATTCGAAACTTACTGGCAGCTCTTGGTCATCAGTGAAAACGAGCTTTCCCCCTCTTGGCACCAGTTGCCCCGTACCTTCCTCACGGGTCAGAAGAGGCATCAACTATTTCTACCCAGGATAAGCAGACGCACATATGAATGTGCAAAATGGAAGTATCCGACCTGACTGGTGTCAGAATGCACAATCGTGATGACTTCACTGAAAGAAACAGAACCTACAGGCTCCATGTGAACGATGTTGACAATTTCACCGAGTTCCTTGGACTCGATGATCTTCGCAATGGCCCGGGAGTACGGGGAATAACGCAGGACTAAGTGATTATTAACGAGACTCCTTGATCCCTCTAACGTTAGGAGAGCGACTAACCATGTCCAATGCCAAATATCTTCCCGGCTCTCTTCACGTCGTCCGCCATTCTAATGCATTCCTCGGGAGACGTAGCCATTGGCTTTTCACAGAGAATATGGTAGCCCTGTTCAGCGAGGGCATGAACAGCCGGTGCGTGCATCTTATCCTGGGTAGCGACGACGACTGCATCGGCAAGGCGACCAGGTCCACTGAGAGTATTCGAGTCGGGTCAACTTCTATGGAACGCCTTGAAGCGGCGATGAAGTCCTCCCAAGTGTGGAAAACCATCTCCTTGGAGATATTGTGGGTGCAAACCATATTTTTGCGCGTGTTTGGGCGGGGCTCAGCTATGGCGACCACCTTACATTTATCGGGACAAACGGTGGCGTATCGCGCATAAGCCTATGCACCGCGGATATCAATGCCAAAGAGCACCCTAAGGCAAATGGCCGTACACACATTACCTCGCTGGCCAGCTCCAATGATTGCAATCCTCACCGGAGGAAGATTCTGGTCCGACCATTGAGAAAGTCGATAGATGGTTGATCGGTGGTTGTGTGACTGTTTAACGCAAATCGTTACTTCCCTCATCCTGATAAGAGATGAATCGTACTCACATGTACTCTCGATTTATCGGCACATCAACCGACCGTGTCGAATCGACCGGGAAAGTCGCCGAATAACACATATCCAAAACGGAAAGGGAAGTTATTCCAAAGCACTAGGATCGCTCTGCACATAATCCGAGCTTCACGCGTGTGAATGGTTGACAGGAATGCAGTGCTGGTTTGCGCCTCTGGAGTGCCAGCTTCTGCACCGCGCTTCTGTAGCAAGTCCGCAGCTGTTGTCATTCAGACCGTACCTCGAAGCCCAGATTTTCATATGTAACCGAAGATAGCACATTATCCAATTCCAATGACGATCCCCTAACGATCTCACAGCGGATTCTCTAAACACCTGGTGATCTATGTGTTAGGATAACCCCAAGCACCTGTCCTCTCATTTTCAGGCTGGTTTATCCTAACGGGAGGGATTAGGGGAGTTCGAGTAAAAGTTGCAAGTTGCAAACTGTGACTCAGGGCTTTTGCCGACAAACAAGTGCCTTTCCGACCAACCATGACGACTTCACCACTTTCGCAAGACACCATCCATGCCGTGTCTGCCGCACTTCAGGTGTTCTCTGGACAACCAGACAAGGCCTCGATAGACGCTGCGAATCAATGGTTGCAAGATTTTCAGCGCACAGTCAGTCCAAGTTTCATGCGTTGCCATAAGTTGTGATCTGAAGTGTCGACGAGCAGCCACAAGCATGGGCAACATCTAATTTTCTACTACTTTCGCCTGACTCGCCACCCAGTGCAAAGACATTTGCTGCCCAAACATTTCGCGCCAAGGCCAGTCCAGTTTTTTTGGAGATCGATCCCGTCAGTTGAAACGACTTTGTTTCAGGTCACTTTCGATCTTCACCAAGTGGACGCGGCCCATCAAATAGACCTCCGCGATTCCTTAATATCAGCTCTTCAAAAATTTTCTGCCGGCCCTCGTGCTGTGTTAGTCCAGATTAGTCTCGCACTTTCTGGGCTCGCGCTTCAAATGCCAGAATGGAAGACAGTACTGCCTGACCTTGTCGCAGCCCTTGGACGCAATCCAGGCACTGTTCCTTCCCTTCTCGAATTCCTTCGAGTCTTACCCGAGGAAGCTACTGGCAACACTCGTATTCCGATGTCGGTTAGTCCGATCTATCAGCCACTGGTCCGATCCCGAACATCACCACTCAAAACGTCTTCTGGTCGCGCATGTCGGCGTCCTAATTATGATACCATCAGAACGACCAATACAGAGCCCGAGAAGCCGAGCTTTTGGGCGACAACGCGCCCGAAGTCCTCAATTTACTAACCATGTACATGCAGGCTCAAGGTATGTTTGGAGGAATTTATTTCTAGGAATTTGGTGTCTTGATTCCTGTTCAGGAGTGACGGATACTATCCATGAGCAAATTTTTCAATGCCTCAGAAGTTGGGTTGTTGCAGGCGAAGTGGAGGTTGCTGCTCTGGCCCAAACACCGTTATTCGATTTTGCCTTCGAAGCTGTTACTTCCGAGGCTCTATTTGACTCGGCCGTGGACGTGGCCTGCGAAGTCATTCATGAGACTCAAGAGGTGGATGATAATATGGTCGTGATAGAGCTCATCATACAGCACCTCATTAGGATCAAGCCCCTAATTGCGGCATCCAAGGATGATCCGGACAAGGTACGGGGATATTGTCGCATCTTTACCGAGGCAGGAGAGACGTATCGTGTTCTCCTCTTGGCGCACCCGGAAACGTTTTACCCGCTTGTTGAAGCTATTGCTGATTGTGCAGCCTACCCTGATCTTGATATCGTTCAAATCACGTTCAACTTCTGGTATCGACTGAGTCAGAGCATCGGAACGCGTCCGTCTGTCCCATCCCAGTTCCTTGATCTCTACAAGGGCCTCGTCAACGTCATGATCCGCCACCTTCATCACCCGCTTGACCCCAGCAGTATCTCAGCTCAGGAACACGACGAGTTCCGAGGCTTCAGGCACGTAATGGGTGACACCTTGAAGGATTGCTGCTATGTCTTGGGCAGTACCACGTGTCTCAAAATGGCGTATGACATGATTGTAGAGGCCCTTAAAAAGCCGACCACTGTTTGGCAGGAGATAGAGGCCCCCTTATTCTCCATGCGATCAATGGGCGCTGAAGTAGATCCTAACGATGACGAGGTGGTTCCCCTCATCATGGATCTTATTCCTAAACTTCCGCCGCATCCTCGTGTCCGCTACGCTGCTACTCTCGTCATCTCTCGCTACACTGAATGGGTCGATAGGCACCCTCGGTATATCCCCTTCCAGCTTGCGTACATCTCGGAAGGCTTCAATGATGCCGATGGGGATGTCGCGGCTGCTGCGGGCCAAGCCATGAAGTATATGTGTAAAGACTGCAAACAGGCGAGTGTTTCGATGCTTGAATCCAACACAGGCACTGACGACTCTACAGCATCTGGTGCCATTCCTACCGCAACTTCACACGTTCGCCCAAACCGTGGCACAGGGGCTCAGAGTGGAAGACAGGTTAGAGATATACGTGGCAATCGCCCATGTCGTTTCACATATGCCCATGGAGGAGGCTGCGCAGGCGTTGCGGAAGTTCACATTGGAACTCATACAAATGATTCATGACACGCTCTCTTTGGTTCAGCCAACGAAAGATCAGGTTCAGAGGATAGCTGGTAAGCCTCTGCCCTAACACCATTGTCCACTCGAATTACTCATTCGTTGATGAACACCCAGAAAATTTGGAATGCATATCGGTGATGCTGGGGGTTATTCAGGGCTTTGGTGAAGAATTACCTTCGGCCTGCCAAAACACTTGCGTTGCCATGTGGAACGTCTTTGACGCCCTTATCCAAAGATATGGCAACCTGCACTTCATAACGGAACGTATCTGTGATGCATTACGACATGGCATCATCTTCTTTGGAGAGAGTGGCCTTGCTGTAGTTCCGTCATTATTGCAAAGATCAGCCTCGGCTTTCGGTGCCAGTGGATTTGCATCATACATCTGGATTTGTGCAAAGATTGTGTCACGTTTCGGTAACGAGGAAGGGCTTGAGGTTCGGGAGGCTATCAAGGGCGCTTTTGAACTAATAAATAATCAAGTATTTTCTTTACTCAAAGTTCAAGAGCCAACCGATATTCCGGATGGTGAGGTCTGCTTTTATCACTGCGTTGCGTGATACTAACATGGGTTTCACAGTGCTTGAAGATTACATCCACTACCTCTATCAAATGATTGAATATGCCCCAAACATCCTGTTCTTGTCCCCCTCATACCCTACTGTGTTCCGGGCCACTCTTTCTGCTTTGACTCTCTACCATGCCGAAGTCATCCTTCCAACCTTAGAACTCATCCATGCCATATATCACCACGATTGCCTCTCTGTCAAAGCTCGACCCCCTCCGCCTCCAAACTTCCCTTTATACGCTTCCGCCATCAAAACTGCCACTAGCTCAGAAGGCTTCTCATTACTGAATCTTCTCTTAGCTGGACTCCTATCACAGTTCCCCGAAGAAGCGACACCGCTTGTCATCAGCATCATCCGATCGTTGGCACAATCCTTCCCACAGCAAATCGTTGCATGGATGCCAACTGCGTTAGACGCGGTATCGACTCAAAACTTGCCTGCCGACGCAAGAGCTGCGTTTACCACCGAATTCAACAGGTTTGTGCGCTCCAGTACTAACTCGTGAACCCAAGACTAATTTCCGTGTTTTTCACGGCTGCAGTGCTGTCAGCAGTGCACAGATGGAGAAGGTGAAGCAAGCGATCATGAATTTACACAGGGCGTCCAGGCGTGCGCGGGATCGGAATAGGATGGGAAGTATGAGGTAGAATGACCTATTTGGAATCCGTGTTCCACATTCACTTTCACCAGGATAGACCGACTTAATGTGGTTTTGTAAGGTACGTAGAGTATAAGAACTTGGATAGTACTGTCGATGCGGCACTTGTGACCCCAGCTGATGCAGAGCAGAATGTTTTCCGTGTGACAATCAACTAAATGACAGAACTTTAATAAAGATATGAAGGTGGTACACAAATCATCGATCGTGGATATTAGCACCGGTATTAGATCAGGTTCGACCTCGTCAACCGGATTCCTTATTTGATGGCAGTGGCTCAGGGCGCCTGTTACTCGGTGCCTCAAGTGTTGTTGGCCCCTCAGGCCATGCCTGCACCTGAAAAACGCTACTTCATCAAGAATTACTGACCGTGAGGGAGTCAGCGTCATAGGAGCGCGACACTTGTGAGGTCTGCAATGGAGCAGGCATCTGCTTCGAGGACTACAAGAGAGTAGTGAGTTCTCAAGGATATTTTGATCCAGTCGTTTACAAACCAAGTGGGGGAGGGAGATGCGAGTGGCAATAATGCCATCGCCGGGCCTAGGCATGGAACCGAACTGGTTCGAGTCCCACGCCATTGCATCAGGGAAATTCCAGGATTGCCGGGCGTTAACTAGTTTCATACAAGAAAAATTAGACACAGCGGTAGCTTCATATCTGCAGATGACTCACGATTAACAAGGAGAGAGAGGCTGTAAAATTTCGAGAGAGGAAGGTAGAAAATGGCGCTCCTACATCCCAAGGTGGTGAGGAGAAAGGAGCGATGCTAGGCTAAGGGTGCTCACGCATTGTCACTAATGAATCGAAACTTGAGGTGTGGATGGCGTCAACGCTGCGTCGGGCTGAAGAAAAGTGGCGAACCGACCGAGTTAATCTCCACCAGAATGAACAATGCGGTGACGATTACTATAGTCGCCGTCCCAGTTTGTACAGTCACTGTAAAGCGATAGCAAATGAAAGTCACGTTCAGCGGCCAATGATGCTCCAACGTACATCGAATCATGTCCGTAATAAGAGCGTCAGATCTTGTCAAACCCGTCCTGTGTGAGTGGAGGTAGAAGATCATGCTACCGGTAATCATAATGTCGTCCAATATATGTAGGCTGAGTCCCACGGTGCTCAGAACTTTTGTGCCGACGGGATAACGATACGTGAAGTTCTCGATAACCGTGTTGCTGACCGTGATCCCAATGGAGCATAAAAGAATGAGGGCAGAACACATCGCTATGAACGCCGCAAACCAAAGACGCTTCGTTAGGATCCAAACTCTGCAGATGCTGATGAGGAAGTCGCAACTCTGAGCTTGAGGGTGACACCCGCCTACCTCCGCGCAAAGAAAAGCTGGACTGGAAGAGATACGAGGGCCTAGAGACAATATTTAGAATCCACCCATAACTACGGCTATGTTCCGGTCTCTTACGACAACTGTTGGGACTGGGAAGGAAAAGTGTGAGGAGGGAGAACCAAGCGTGGTAGAAATGTTTACCTAGATTGTATGCTACGCAACGACGGATTAAGCATGGAACTATATGGCATAATATCAGGTACTCACACCAGGTTGTGGCGTGAAACGCAGCAACATTCCCGAAATTGGTTACACAATAGTTCCAGACCAGGTAAATTCTAATAGTGATATGAAGGTTACGAATTATTTCAAGTCCCTAGCTTGGGAGCTCACTCCAAAGCGACAATGAAAACTTCCATGCCCAAGAGATACAGTACCTGGGGCAGCATGAATCGTCAATTGATGACTGACAAGGATTGAAGTTCACTCACTAGGAACCTAACCCATAGCCTATCGCTATCAGTCGAGAAATAAGTGGCACATTGAAAATCCGTACAAAGACACGTACGAATGCTTCGTCGTGAAATATTGATGAGTTTGAAAAATCACAAATCCGAGCAACAGCGTGTTAAAGGTGCTACCAAGCAGGAGTGGTCCAAGCCTAAGCGCAGAAGAACTTCAAGGCGCGTTTAAACATAGGGAGAAAAGCTCCACACTAACCACAAATCGAGCGGGCCCCCCATGCTTGAAAGATTGGGAGCAGTCGAGCTTCAGGCACCAGATAAATGTGGCTTCTCAATTTCGACGGTGGAGTCGTCAGTGTTCAAGTCCCCAGCTCTCGAAGGCGCGAGCAGTTGATGGACTCGTTTCCCACCGCAACGGCTTTTTGTCTGAGCAGGGAATGATCGACTAGTGCTAGTGCTGCCAATCATCATCACCCAAAGGGTTTCGGGGATCCCCGATCTCATCAGCAGAAATGAATTGATTGATTAATTCTCCGGATTCCGGCCACAACGTTTAACCAAAGTAGGTTTTTTGCTTGTGTGCCTTCGCTATCCCCGCTCCCCAACTCTCCGAGGAAATAAAATATCGCATCGTGTGTGGTATGCGCTTGGAACATAACAGTAAAAGGCTCAAAGCTTTCCCTCGATGAGCTCCTCGGATACCGCCGATTCGAAGCGTTCACCCTTCATTGAATTCAACATTCGATCTCTGGCTTTCTCCTCCTTCATCCGGTTCAAATTCGGCCTTCCAAGTACAGACAGGTAGTGATACCAGGAATAACCTCGACCCGTGAAGGCTGACTTCCGAAGGACCGTTTTGTCAAAGTATACTTCGAGTTAGTGCTTAGTCTGGAGTCAACACCTTTGAAAGACATGTCACACCTATGCCAAAATAGTATTCCCGAAATGCTGATAGCGTAGAGATCATCAGCAATTTAGAATCCTGGCTCACAAATTCCGAACTGATGGTGGACGTTGATCATATTACCATTCTGATCACCATTTTTCAGTATCATTGATTCAATATGAAGGAATTTGATGAACTAAGAACTTGGTCCGTTTCTGCCCCGTACTGGGGGAGGAACGAACCAAGAGACGTGGCTCATGCCAACCTCCCGCGTTTACTACCGGTAGGGCCACACATTCTGCCCATGTTGTTAACGTGTCTCCACCACCTTGCTTCAACCTCACAGGTTGGCTCCAAAACGGCCCGCCTATTCCGAGTATCCGGTCATGTCCCAATTACTACAATGTATTCATCTTAGTTACAATATTTCGATTTGGAGTCTAGTTATTAGTTGAAGGCAGGGTCATGATGCCTCAGCATTATACTATCTGCTGAGATCGATTAGTATTAACACTAATATAATGTTCTAGTCGAGGATATGTTTTACCAATGATGTCATCTAGTTGGCGAGTCTGAAGCAAGAACTCAGAGTTTGGGTTTGTCACTCTCCGAGCGCTTAAGCACACCACGCGCCACGCCTTCCTGAGCTGCTACTGCGATTAACTTGCCAGATTGATCATAGAACTGCGACATGGCGCCATCAGCATCGCGCAAGCTCGCCGCAGGCTCGCCGCGACTTACCACACCCTGTACAACGCCCCGGCCAAGCCCAGCGCGAGGAGAACCCATCTTTTGTTTTGATCCATTAAGCGACAAAATACGATGCAATGGGAAGGAGAGCTTACGACGAAGAGTACCCATTCACTGCAATCGAATTCATGATCGTAAAACCACAATGAATGGTCTAATGAAGCCTAGCAAATATGCTTTAGTGATACAGTTACCATGATATAAATAACACATTTTTACCATCATTCCCATACCCTGGAAATTGGAATTCGCAGGATTCGACAAGACTGCCCTAGTCACACTGTGTAAGCTGGACAAAGTAAGTGAGCGAATGTCCCCCAAATTTTCACATCCGATCACTGCTCACAAGTTAAGATCCGAAATGTACGCAAGGATGCACTATACGACTCAGTGAGTCTCTTGTTCCAGATCGAACGAAGTAGATTACCTTCTGGAAGGGTGCATCAAATTTAGGGATCGATCTTGCCCGCATCCAGTACATAGCGGGAGTATGTTTATCCGTGCCCTCTCCATGTATGGCAATTCTGATCTCGATAGGACTGTTGATGCGATCCTAAGCAGTGGAATGAGGACACAGCCGAGAAGAAAGCTCATGCCCGCCCCACCTGCTTTATTCTTAACAGGTAAGCTTTCCGGTCTAGATCAGATACCGCGTCTGCCCTCCGTTGCAGGATATCAACCTGGGATATGGATTGCTGCGGGGAAGGGACGCCCGGGGATATGCCCATTGGGCCACAGGGCCTTCGGGCTCCAATCGGGAGAACGAGACCATCATGGCAAAAACGGATCTTCCTTTTTGCACTGCTTTAACGCCGCGGGTGGCGTAGCTCCGTCCTACAATAGCCGGGGTGCGGTGGCATCAGAGAATGAATTGAGCAGCACAAGGATTTACCAGCCAACCTTCCCGCACCCTATCAACATAATATAGGATTGGGATCGAGGGGTTTGCATTTAGCAAGAAGTAACACTGGTGCACGGCCACGATCATCAATAGAGAAAAGACATGGTACTTATGCTGGGGACAACGATTAATCGAAACTTACATGCAAAGACTGAAATAAGCGTGAGCGTTAGAGGCCGCATTAATGATAGTCCAACTCACATGGCAATGCAGATCATCTCGAACTGTCTTGCTGGCGGCAAGCAGCGCTTGGGATATGACCTATTCGTGTTATGTAAAGCAATGGTCTCTCGAGCCGTTGTATGCATACTTGGCCTCCAAACACTCCACGACCTCTGGCCGGGACCCATAGAGACTTCGTCGGTGATCGAAACCTTCATGGCTGGCGTGAGCTGTAGATTGCAGCGGTAGCGACTCTCCTCACAAATTCTCGTCAAGTTTCTCCAACTCGAGTGATGCAGTGATGAGTTGGTGTTCTATCTGATGTGCATGGGGGTCAATCGTGTCTCCTGGTACTGGTATGGCCATGGCAGAGGTGTGGAGTTCAGAGCCAAGCGCAGCCCCTTTGCCCGTAGAAATCATGGAACTAGTTGTCGGGTTTACTAATCGTGAAAACACCGGCCCCGGCATATCCGGAAAAAGGAACTCCTCTACACGTGACACTCCTGTAGCGGAGTTGGCCGAAGTCTGTTATTCGGCACTAGCGCCCATAATGTCAGTGTCACGTCCCAGTACACCACCACCCGAGACCCAATACCTACGAATGATCTGACTCCTGAGAGTGTCAAACGCATCGAACTGAATAGGCTGAAGGCGAAAGCTAGGCTTAGGGAGTCGGAAGCTACCAAAGCGTCCACCTCTTCCTCGCGGAATGCCAATAACAAACGGCCTTTGCAAGTAACACTTGCCACTTCTAAGTCTCCTACTGCACCTTCCAAGCAGCCTGCGCTGGTGAAGGACAGCCGGTTCGGTAACTACTTTGAATATGACTTGTCCAAGATGGTCAATTCGAAAGGTGGATTCCTCATCGAGGACCACGAGAAAATAGACGAAAGAACCAAGAAGCTAGAGGAACAGCGTGCTGCGCAGCGATCGGCGCAGAAACTTGATCCTCGTACGCTGACTCATTTCCCGACTTGATCACTTACTCACCATGTCTCAATTGTTAGCAATATCATTCGATCCCTCCATGAATCTTAAATGCAAAGAATGTCGTTCTACGGACATCGATTATACATTTAAGCGCGTATTTGGCGTTCTAGTGTGTGAGAAATGTAAGGTCGAAAAGCCAGAAATGTACAGTCTCCTCACAAAGACAGAGTGCAAGGAGGTGAGTCAGCCAGCGCACCCAATATTGTGCATCCTGATCCGCCGCAACAGGACTATTTACTGACTGACCGTAAGCAATAATCAGCTCGCAAAGGTATCCCATTTTCTGACCTTTTATAGCCGAGCTCCGAGACCACGAAATTCTGCCTCACCTCCTCAAAGCAAACCCACACAAGTCGACATGGAACAACATGATGCTATTTGTTAGATTCCAAGTGGAGGAATTTGCATTCAAGAAATGGGGCGGTCCAGAAGGACTGGATGCCGAATGGGAACGACGGACTGCCGAAGCTAAGAAACGGAAGGGCAAAAAATTCGCACAGAGCCTTCAAGAATTGAGACGGAAGACTCGGGAGAGTGTGTGGCAGATGAGGAAAGACGAGGAGCACAGACATGAGTTTGGCGCAACGGAGGTGCGCGAGGACGGGAGTGGGATTCAACGATGCGTTGAATGCGGGTTTGAGATCGAGGTTGAAGAGTTTTGAATGACTATACGTACGGATTCGTGTAACTTATTTGCTCATGTATTTTCTTATTGGAAGGAATGGTGACCTGTTAGGCAGGACTCAGTGACGCTCGGCGCTTCTATCTGAATAGAGTTTTGCACATATGTCGCTTCAGAAATCCTTCGCGACAGCGAGGTGGATACGATCCCAGTCAACATTCCATCGGCCACCCAGAATACCGTGGTTCGTGCGAAGAGAGCCGCAACTTCAACCTCCCCCTCAAGACACTGAACCCCAGCTTCCCCCGCTCCCTTCAGATGTGCCCTCTCATCTCCACACTTTATATGCCCATTTCGCTGCCCTCCCTCATCTTGAGCGCTCATCGATACTGGTCTCTCGCCCACCACCTCCAAGACCTCCACCGCCAATACAATTCCGACAGCCGCAAGGCAGACGGCGTCGAGGTGGCCAGCTATATGCGGGGGAGGGTGTCGGCGAACCACAGTCGCCTTGGAATTGGGTCATTTTTGCTCAAGTAAAAGAGGGGACAGAAGGGAAAGGCTCCATCGAGGTAGTCATGCGAAGTGCTCGACAAGCGGTGAGGGCGTTTTGTGACCATGAATCCCACTCAGACTTAGAGCTCCCAATGCAAACCAGCTCGCGTCGTCACATCCGCACTTGGCATTACCACGAAAAAATCGGTAGGCAGGGCCACTCAGGATGGATGGGGTTTTCTTGACATGGGCGATACCGCGATTCATGTCCTCAGCAAGGACGCCCGTGAAAAGTGGTTCTCTGATAACGCAGACTATGATTAGATCTGAGTGTGTCTTCGTCCGAAGTCTGTTGTGCCCCAATTAAGGTCTGGCCAGCAATGGACTGGGCCGTTATCCAACAGATTTAGTTGTAGAAAAAGCTGACTTCCGCATCCTAAAATGAGTCTTCCGAACAGGACCTCCACCAGCTCCCACTTCTGGTTCTGGGCGAATGTGTCTGGGTGTGCTTACGCCCGTAACATGAACATGACCAGCAAAGGCTGCATGCACGCCGTTCTAAACGATTGCTTTCCTGATCAGCTCTGAAAGGTACAATGTCCCAATCTTCCCTCTTGCACCCCACTCGTATCCCTGTGCTCACCTACGATCCAATCATGTGGAATTCTGCCTGTCATTGCAGTTGTTTGATCACGGCAGAGATTAATGTTGAAGCACCAAATATCTTTCGTCAATGCGGTCCAGGTGACAAATGAGTGGAGATTTATTGAAGCTTGACAAAGACACTGGTTGCCGAGAACTCTGAGAGGTGTACGATCTTATTTCCCCCGACTCATAAGAGTGCCAGTTGGCTTCTCGCGGGTCAACTTGCGAGAGGTACTGCTAGTCCACCCTGATCGTACGGCTAAGGTGGACGAATGCATTCAGGAGTTTAATCTGGCAGCTTGTGTGATCTCATGACAACAATGCGCTCCCCCAAAGGATTCTATGACACGCCAGGCATCCAAACATTTTAGAATGGGTACATCATCGCTCACTATCATCGAGCGCTACGTCCAACTGTGTCTGACGCGTGTACCGTCAGAACCCTTGCTGGCAGTATCCTGTTGGACTTGACATAGACGCGATAGCGCAATATTTGCTGATACAATTCGTGTCTTGTTCTCCGAGGTAACAAGGAGCACCTGGACCTCCCGCTAAACAACGATGATCTGTACAATTATCTTTTATAGTGAAAAAATGGTAAGTGATAGTTCTGTTCTAGGCAGCAGGAAAGGAGCTTGAACGTACTGGTAATGCATCCCGTCTTGGCATCACAGTAGTTTCCCTGTGAAAAATGCGTTTCATAAGAGTCACAGGAGTTCCATCAGTCAAAGTGACGTACGACGTCAGTGGGGAAGCACTACGACAGTGCTGGAATTAGCTAGGACGTCTAGTTTTGAGGCACCGGAATGCCTACCTGAGTATTTTGTCCAATTCCAACGAAAGGCGGCATGCATCGATCTATGACAATGCATGCCCATAATGAGAACCTCAAGGAGTCAGAAAAGGTGATCATCTTACTGCCGTAACAATCCGAATTTGTGTAGCAGAGAGGGCCATCGGGACCATGGAGACTGTACGAAGTCCCAGTATTCTTGTCGCACACCCTTCTTTTAGTGCAATGTTCTTCATGAAGGGAGATCGTGAGGCGCGTTGAAACTAAATGTGCGGGCGAAAAGCTGAGGACTTACTGCTAATACAAGTGGAATCACTTCTGCATGGTACACCCGCGGGACTAGGAGAACAGATCTTCTGTCCATAGTACCAATGCTGCGGCCAACATTTTCGCGATTGACATTGCGAATCTTCAGTGCAATTAGCTCCTAGGGGCTTCTTAGTCGGAACGCAGTGACCATGCTTGTCGTGCTTTTCGTACGGAAGACATGGCTTAGGGTGACCGCCACGGAGTTGGGGAGGTTCCGGGATTAACTCGGGAGTGGCCAGCGCTCTCGCAAGGAGGTAAAACGTAGCGAAGGCCAGTACAGCAAAGGACGTCTTGAAGGACATCGACTAGGTGCTTGCAGGTCTTGAGGGAGGCTCCACGCACTCTAAGGATGACTATCTGGCTACTTGGTGTCTTCTAGAGTTCGCCGGGGTAGCCAGCGATTCATATTCATATTAAGAGTTGGATAAATACGTCTGATTTGACGTAAATCGGTCAGAAGGACCGTAGCTGCACCCGAAATCGGTACGGCCGTTATGCGTAGGCACATCGGGTTGATAGGCAGACGCGCTCTTCAACAGCGTTCCGCTAGCTGGCTTCCATAAGGCCCCGAATTCGAAATGAACGTGCCCCTTCGGCACCGAATGGCAGACCCATCGATCCTTTTGACAGCGCTCTCAGTTCAAAACCTATTTGAGGCTACTCTTCTGGTATATATTCTGACTGCTGAGCAGCTGATGCCTGGTTCTACCTCGAAAGGAAGGTGGGGAGGTAAATTGAATGGCATCCAAATCTGATGAAAGGTACATGCAGCTCCCCGCAAAGCTTCAGTTGTTGCGCAGATTTTGCGATTGCGGGATTAGGGTTCGTGACCATTATATAAGCTATCAGGACTTCAAGGTGGCCCCACGCTCATGCCACATGCCATCTGAACAAGGTGCATAATATGATACGTGCAGATCACACCAGTTTACTTGAAATATTCTCCAACACCGCCTTCACTCAGTTACCGTCAAGGGAACATACCTCCGTTGGTCCCATGGTCAGTAACCCTGACAATATCCTGTCGGACTTGACATGCTTGCGACTTCGCAATTAAGTCCGGTTTTGCAGTCTTGTGTGCCGAAGTAACATGGGGAACCTGGGCCTCCAGGCAAACAATGGTGGTGTGTGCAATTGTCTTTTGGTTCATGGGGGGACGATTAATAAGGCAATTGCACCGAACCATCGTGACAAGGGTGGCACGAAACTGGACTTACTGGTAATGCACCCTGTGTTGCCATCGCAATGGTTGCCCTACGTGAATGGTATCAAAATCACAGAGAATCACTAGTAGTAGTACTGGGCGGAGGCAACGTACGACATCAATCGGGAAGCACTGGGATTGAGATCGAGCGTCAGTGATAGAGTCCTAACTTCGGCGGTTAGCCGAAACTTACTTGAGTATTCTGACCACCCCCTAAGTAGGGTGCTATACATATATCTATAGCAATAAACAAAATCCTCAGGAGGCTGTCAGAGGATGGAGGAATGATCGTTGTCTTACGACTGTAACAGTCGGACGCCGTGTAGCAAAGAGGTCCATCGGGGCCATGGAGTCTATACGAGGTGCCAGGATTCTTAGCGCATACATGATGTCTAGTGCAAGTCTCTTTGTGAGAGCGTGATTTGCATGCGTCAGTAACGATGCACAAAGGACGAAAGAAAGCTACGGACTGCTTAGACAAGTGGAACCGCTCCTGCATGGTACCCCCGCTGGACTAGGCGAACAAATCTTCTGTCCATAGTACCAATACGTTGGCCAACATTTTTGTGATTGACACTCTGAGTCTTGAGTGCAATTGGTTCCTAAGGGTTTTCCAGTTTTTTTTTTTTTTTTTTCCTAAAAAAAAAGAAAAAAAAAAAAAAAGGTTTCCCAGTGGGAACGCAATGACCATGTTTATCTGGTTTCTCGTGAGGAAGGCACGGTTTAGGGTAGGGGTGATCGCCACGCTCTCCATACATGTCTCGAAGATCATGCTCGAAAGGTCCCGATTCGGGGGTAGCTAGTCCTCGAACGAGGAGACAGAATGCAGCGAATACCAAAATAACGAAGGGTGTCTTGGACGACATCGACGAATGGCTCGCAGAATTGGAGGGACTGGTACTGTCGAGGGGAGAAGCACTAAGCCATATTTCTATTTGTACCCTTCTCCATGCGGACGTTGAATGGTAGTTTGACGTAAATTGAGGTCACCAAAGCCGCGACCTTTTCGGGTCATATAGTCATAGGCATTTGGTGCCTGAGCGATTTCTCTCGCGAAAGGGTCGCGGTTCTGATGTGGCCAAGAGACGCGCCCTCATACAGGAGGATGAATGAGCGGCGAAAGTAGTGTTGAACCATGAGTGGTGAGTACGGAGAATGGAAATGATCTGCGTCGTGCTCGAAGCTCACGATTCGGTCCACAGTACTGTTCAATTTTCGAACTTCAAAGTGCAGACGAGTGACCTTTGAGATGTCACTAATGGAATTGATAAGCGCCGGACCCTCGAACTCGGATAGTGCAGCCTTCCGAACCCAAATGGGCCGCCGTATGCTGCCCTTCCCTCAACCCTCCACTGGCGAATCTCAGACCAGGGATCCTGTCACAAAAGGTCTCAAAGAACAAATGCTCAGTAGCTGGCCGGATGCATATAATAAAGATTGTTAGGAATCTCGCATTATTTAATGTCGGTGCATGGTAGTTTCCCTACCCTCTCTTATAGGAGTCTTCAGTCGATGGGCTAAGGTTGCCGAATCTTCTCTCTGTTATTGCTACGGCCGGTCAAACGCCTGAGTGCCGTTATCATTGCGGAGAGGCCCGTATTGTAGCACCTAAGTACTTGCGGGGCATACCTCACGCTCCCAGCCAAACCTCTTGATGTCAGACCCAACCGCGCGCGGGCGGCAACACGAATCATTCTGCAGAGTCAACTATGCTACGTCTTACAAATGGACTGGGTGTATCTGTTCATCAAACCTATTCTTGTAGTCCCAACTGAGGATACCCTGATTCATAGCAAGGAAATCGCGTCGTGTTAATTAATTCTCAAACCCGATTGGCGTGCGGGACACTAATTATGCGCACTGAGTTTCTGTGTCCGGGCACGTCGCTAGATAGAATCATCCGATGACCAAGGGTTAGATATCCTAATCAGGGACGCCAACTCCACATCTTTTGATCTACACATGTGGCAGGGGATAACATTTACCTTGCAGCCACCTCAGTTGTCGTTACATTACCAAAGGTATGGTTATAGCACGACAGGAATGTATACCGCAGGTCCTCGCGTAATCTCAAGCTAAGATTCCATTAAAATTAACATTACGTTACAATTTCCCAAAAATGAGGCTTAAATCATGATGTGCGGTATCACAGATGCGCAGAAGGGGGGGATGATGCTGGTGATGATGCCAGCGAAATTTTTCCACGGAGAAACAAAGGGGAAAATAGAAAGAGCTAAATCCAGGCCAGGGTTATAACAGCCAATCAGGAACCTTCAGGGGCGAAACACCAGATTCTGATGTCTCCATCGTCGCTACCAGAAAAGATTTTATCATCGGTGATTTTAAGACACGTTGCGGCAGCCCGATGCCCAACAAGAGTATGCCTGCACAGTGCCTCTTCGCGATTCCAAATCTATTATATCGTCAGAGAGAATACCCGCATTAGTTCTGAACGGCGTCGGACAAGCATTTGAAACGCACCTTGATTGTTCGATCATGACTAGCTGATACTAGATGTCTTTTATCTACATCAACGGCCCACAAGCCCTCGATATGCCCAAAATACGTCTTCAAACAGGTTGCGGATTCTATGTCCCACATCTTCATCGTGTTGTCCAAGCTTCCCGACATCAGAACAGCATAGGGGCCACGTTTCCGTGGGGAAAATAGCTCCCCGACAGCAGTGGAAGTAAGAGGTGTAGATTCTCCCTCATTTAGATGCGCTGCGGCCCTTTCCTCCCAATGAGTGACAGGACGGGTAACGGGGGGGCCAAGATGAAGGCTGGGAATCGATCCGCTCTCGGACCCACCGTCGTCATCCTCAACATATGCGAGTTTGATACTTTGTACTTGCGCCATATGTCCGGTAAACTCCCTAATGCATTCCCTCGTCGGCAGGTCCCATAAGCGAATGGCTCCATCATCCGAAGCACTGAAAAGCAGTTTCGCCGAATCGATATCGGACACATCGCAATCGCCAGGAGTTGGGACAGGTTTCCCATCCCAAAGCACAACGGCATTAATCCAGTCCCGATGTCCACGAAGCGTATGGAACGCTCCGGTTCGGAAATTCCAAATTCTCACTGTAGCATCAACGCTCCCGCTCACAAGCACATCGTCATCGAAAGTCAGGCAGATGACACCCTCCGCATGCCCTTCGAGGGTGCGTATGCATTCTCCGGTTCGCCAATTCCAGATTTTCAGCGTCTTATCCATGGATCCGGTGATGAGTTTCGCTTCGTCAAACTGTAACGCACGAATCGCCCTTTGATGACCACGAAGACATCCGATCTCTCGACCCGTCTCTACATTCCATATGCGAACAGTCCGATCGAACGACCCTGTCATCAGGATTGGGAAATTTGGATGGCTGAGCGTATCGCTGTACTGCAGACACATAACGCCATTCGTGTGCCCCTTTAGGGTCCGCACGAAGTACTTCCCATGACGCCAATTCTTCTCCACTTTTACCCGCTCACTATACACCTCCTTCCAGGGTCTCGTCGGAGTGTCTAGGACAGCGGAGATGCACGCTGCTGGGCTCGATTGTGGCACGGGATCTGGAGACTCAGATAGTTTCCGTCGTTTGGCCGAAGGTGAACCGCCGGACGCCGACCCATCCCCATCGCAAGACTGACGCTTTTCGAACCCGGGAGAAGGCGAACTTGCGGCTTGCATTTTCCGCGCCTTGAGTCGCTTTCTCTCGAGCAAAGGCAGTCCCCAACCGCACCGTGTGCAGGTCTTCTCTATATGTTGCTCGCACATGTTTCTCCACAAAATGTCATCATACGCAATAGATTTCCAAAGTTTCGACACCCGGGCGGCGCGTGTGAGTGAAGTGGCGTCAAGATACTTCAGCACTTGCAAGGAGACCTCTCGTGGAAAAGCGAGGAATGGGTCGATACGAAGTAATTGCGGAACTTGTTCGTTAAGCAGAGATAGTTGACTTGAACAACACATGGTGAGTAACCCTTGTAGGATGATCTGCCGGTGTGCGTGGGTCGAAGAACTGAACATGGACCATAAGGTGCTGACGGTTTCCCGCTCTGAGACAGGCAGGGAATCAAGAGACTGTTCGGTAAGCAGCAAGGGGATCGAAAATTAAAGCCATTCCAGTGAGCGCTTAAATCCTCAATAACTCAATCTCGATTCAAGAATCAACAAACCTTTTGAAGCTTTAGACTCACCCCTTCATCAGCCATTCTTTTGTGCCTAACACAAAGCTGACGTGGAGGTGGTCGATTGAAAAGCCCAGAAGCAATAGTGGCTGCCGTAGTGGAATGTCGAATGGGAGTATGAGTATTGTCACCATGAGGTCGATTTTCTCCATGAACGGCGAGTTGTCCCGTTTGCTGCCGCTTGCTTCCTCAGGCTGAGGGACAAGCGAGCGTGGCTCGAACCTACCTGGTCGAGCAGTATGAGGGAGATTGGAGGGAAAGGGCAGCGTGTTACAGGAAAGCTGTTGCTGAATGTCTTCCATGTGCTAGACGTTATCGGTGGGAAATCAAGGTGCAATCAATGTGCCTAAAAGTAGCTAGGGTGGGGGCCGTCCGCCGCGAGGTAACACTGATGAACGTGTGGAAATGGTAAAGAGAGGAGAACGAAACGTTCCCTTATATGCAATTCATCGCGCAATCAAGTCGCAAGTTGAATGGCGCGGTGTCGACATGGGTCACTTACGTAATCCTGTCCCTGTGAATTCAATTAAGCCGGCTAATTCCCCTCCAATTTTTTTTTTCTTGTTTTTGCTTTTTGAAAATCCTAGTAGTATTTCTGTTGGCGGCGTGAAAGACTTGTTGCGTTACATATAAACTTGCGCCAAGTTAAAGAAAGAACCAAGGTAAGAACCGGCAAGGCAAAAAAAGCAGACTGAGAGAGCAACACCGCACAGCATGTACCATGTTAAAAACTTTATGAAAGGCAGGTAACAGAAAAACAGAAAAAAATCGGGCGGGACAGGATGAGGCTACAAGGCAGCAGCAGAAAATACTTTCGGAATCGAGGGTGATGAGATGCAAGGGGATCGATCGATAGGGTAAAAAAAACAATCGTATTTCTGTGGGGTAAGCGCATGGCACGGCCAACAACCTCCCGTGGATAGATAACACCAAGATTGGTTCCTGCGCTAACAAAAACAGACAACACGTTAAGATAGGAAAAATGATGTCCATAATCTCAGTCAAGCGAGATTCGAAGCTCTTCCAGAGGTATCGGCTTAAAATTATTCAAATCAATGCCCCTTGACGCTAGCTCGGGTTCACAGAATGGTGGAACGAGCTGGCGGTTTAGGTCCGGTCGAATGGAGAGCTCTGAAGGGAAAGGAATAGCACATTAAAATGGGAAGAAGCGAGAAGGGTGGAGATAGAAGACCGACCTTCACGCGTGAAATTGAAGAGTAAAGGTAAGTCTTTTCCGTTCGGCATTTTTGTCGCTTCTTGTCGAAGATCGTCAAAGAAGGGATGGCACATTGCTTCGATTGCGCTTAATCGAGCAGACGGGGTGTACTCCAAGAGGCGCGAAACGAGGTCAATAGCCTCGACAGGGGTTCGCGGCCTAAAGACCTATCAATTAAAATGTTCCCCATCGTTGAGAAAAAATGAGAATCGTTATACTGAGTAGCTGCGCACAAACCTTGGAGAACGGATGAGGCTTGATTTGAGGGAACTTGTGTTCCATGTAGTTCGGATTCATTGTCTTGATCTGTTCACGTGTAGGGGTACCGAGCACTTTAATGATTTCCACGAGCTGATCGATCCCACTCTCCCCTGGGAAAAGAGGTTGCCCGAGCATCAGCTCAGCCATGACACAGCCCGTCGACCAGATATCAATGTTGGTCGAGTAATTGGTGGCACCAAAAATAAGCTCCGGTGCCCGGTAGTACCGCGAGCAGATGTAGCTCACATTTGGCTCGCCAGCAACAAGGATTTTTGCAGAGCCAAAGTCGCATAGTTTAAGGACACCAGTTGCAGGGTTGAGGAGCAAGTTCTGGGGCTTGATATCGCGATGGCAGATGCCGACAGAGTGGATGTATGCCAGGGATCGCAGAAGTTGGTACATGTAGAGCTTGATTTGCAATGTGGGCATTGGCTGCTTCAGTTTGACGTAGTGGCGCGAGGCGCGGTAGACTGTTTCTGGGACGTATTCAAGGACGAGATTAAGATACACCTCATCTTTCTATACCCACACAACGCCCAGGCCCAGAAGGTCAGCAGGGCAAGGGGAAAGGATGGATCAGCAATGTCAAACACACCTTGTCGCCATTGGAGTAGAAAAACGCCTTGAGATCTACCACGTTTGGATGCGACACTAATCGCATTATCTGCAGCTCTCGATTCTAAGAGCAAGGGAACATTAGCGATCCCGGGGAGCTAACGCTATGGCAAGCGCTGGAGCGCACGCACTCACCTTGAAACGTTTGTCTTGTAAAACTTTCTTGATAGCAATGTCTTCGTCAGACTGCGAAGCACCAATAAGACGAGCCTGGAAAACAACGCCAAAAGAACCATTGCCGATAATCTTGCAATTTGTGTACTGGATGTCCTTCTGTTCCCCTGTCTTGCCATCGCAGGCGACTACTTTGACGACTTTGTTCGGATCGTCGAGGGCTGCGTTGTTGCGGAGCGGCATGAGGAAGCCAGAGTACCAAAACGAATTGAGAAGGGGCAAATAACGGGGTATTGAATAGCAAAAAGATAGCAATCCACAAGAAGTCAAACAGGAAGTTGAGTGCACACAGCATCTTAACGCAAGCCGGACGCAACGGAATTACCTGAGATCTTTACGCCATTTATGGGGCCGTGGTTCATGATTGCAGGACAGATACGCTGTAAAGGGGGGGTAAGGGTGGTTGAGAGGGGACGCTTTCAGGTAAGAATCAAGAGAAACGATGAAGGAGGAAGAGAGGAGTAAGGCAAGTTGAGTGAGATCCCTTTCCCGGATGTCCTCGTGATCCCAACTTCAATTCAGTTAGTTAATGCCCCTCGCCTCACGCGACCCACCCAAACAAGGCAGATCGAAGGACTGTGAATATGGGAAGATTGCACACGCTTCGCAAACAGCGGTAGCGACAGCGGTACATCGATGTGAGGCTCTTGTCTGGTCTTTCGTGTTGATAGGGATTGAAGTTGTCTCAAGCAACGTCTCCACCCCTCCAATGCAATTAAATTGATACGTTCTCACCACACCAATAGCTCCCTCTTTCCCGAAACAGGGGCCTCTATCCCTTTCACCCTCAAACACATCGTTTTGGAGCACTAAAAACAGCTGGTCAAAGCAAGCTGCAGTCTCTTCATATTGTCTCTTGATCATGGTTCGAATTCATTATTATGCCATGCGTCTTCGCTAATCTATATCTGACTCTCTATGGCCGATCAGTACTGTCAAGTTCATTGGGCGTAGACATGAGACTTGGCTGTATCATCTTGCCGCAGTTTCCGCGCCCAGGAAGTACCAAAAATTTCCATGGACAGATGTATGACCCTAATTCTTCCTTCGCACGAAAGCAGTGAGTTCTTCAGAAAGGGGCTTCCGAACACGCTGATGGGTGCACATTACAGCGCGGCATGTGGGTCCATAACGGGTACGAATGAATTTCATATCACTTTCTCACAGCAGTCACCAAGTTAATGTTAGTCCAGTCCATATTGTTGCGTGCCCTTCCCGGACAAGTCTCCCCTGTTTTCTGTATATTCAAAGGAAATCCCTTCAAGGCCAAATTTGTCGTGGGCCACGTTTCCCTCATCCAAGTTAACCCAGTTCGAAGTTCTGGTATCCGAAGGATCTTAATTCCGCGTACCCGTCTTGTGAGAGCCTCCCACTTCTGTAATGATTGATCGCTTGAGAATTCGCTCCTCGTTGTTCAAATTGGCGGTCATTCAAAGGCGCACATGCGTACATGCAGGTGCGAAATCGTTCCAGGTCTGAACTTGGCGATCGTGCTTATTACCTTATTGCGGAGGATAACAGGCTATAGTACTTGTGTTTCTATGTCGAAAACTCTGAGGGCGAAGGCTTCGCAGCTGATAGTCGATCTTAGAATGCTCCAAGAACTGATTATTTTTTCCTCCTGACTAGGGCCCCCTCTCGATCGAGTGAATTCTCTCACGAACAGCAACCTTGTAACTTGTTTATTCGCATGTACCTCTCGAGAAGTGCGGCATCAATCCCCTGAAGGCCCATCGTAATCAAGAAGCTTCGAGAACTGGGGTGAGGCAGTTGTGCGGCTTGCATGAAGATCAAGATATCAATGCACCTACCAGCGACTGTCACGCGGGACGATGAAGTCTTGCAATCGCTAGGAAGTTGGTGGTGGCGCTCAGGTGCTCTATCATAGCCAACTGAATCCACTCCATCAGCTCAGGACACAGCTTGGGATTAGCACCACTGCGGCGGAAGATAGAGACTTGTCGCGCACTTAATTACGCCTGAACCGATTCAACTAGTGGAGTCCCTAGATGGAACAGCGATGATACATATGGCGGCGGGAGCGGCGCCACCCACCTTTACGAAAAGGTAGCACCGCAAAAGTAAATGGTGGTGACTGTGAGGTTCGAACTCACGCGCATCGCTGCAGAGGATTGCAATTAAAAATTGCCTTAACTTAAGACCTCCCCCTTAACCACTCGGGCAAATCACCGCCGAAACAGGAGTTCCAGCTTGATCATAATAGAGCCTTACAGCATCCCGATGCGCTTGGGCCTCTACCCCTAAGTCAACCCGCAAATCAACGCCATCAATCGAGATTGCCAGCCTGAATGCCCGCGTGTCTGATATGCTCAAGTTGAGCTGTTCCAGCGTGTCTTGTTGGTGTCTTGTGACAACCAAATGCCTTCACATGCATGTGCCTGCTTCATGGTGTCATGGTATGGTCAAACGCGTGTGGACATTTCCAGTACGGTGGCTAATATGCAGGGTTATCTTATCAGTGAATCTCCACAGGCGTTCGCCCGATAAGGATCGATCCCCTGATCCGAGAATCATGGCAGACGTGGGCCAGCGTGCCGTCGATTGCAGGGCTGTTTACGATTAAGCGGCCCTTATTCAAGGAGTCGGATTCTCTCAGCATGCCCCGAACCAGGTCAGTTGTGTTGTTAATTTGAGCGGTGAATAAGGCTTTCCCCCGTCCGCTGCAATTGCGATTTCATGGTGTATCCTTCAGGAAGTCATGCCTCTAATAGGTTTGCAGCAGAATTGCCACGAGACGCTACACCTATCATGGAGGGAAGGGAAAGTTCATTTGCAGCCGTGCCGGCTTCACCGATTACATCTCCAGTTTAGCTCCCTCTTAAGTCGTCTCACTGGTCGCTCTCTCCGGCCAGCCACCGTCAGCAGCGATGCTAATTGGTATCAGGGTATGGGTTGCTGCAAGCACTCTTGTCCACTCCGCAATCTCAGCGTGCATCGGATAATCAACCTTCAATCTCATATTTATTGAGCGGAACATGTGCATGGAGGCAGGGAATCCGTTCCAAAAATAGTCCCGCCTCTAGCACGCCGATCGAATGTTTAATCATAAATGGTATGAACTTTTGGTTACAGATAACTAATAACTAAGTGCATTGATATGATGAACTGTGGCATGTCGAGGCATTTTGGCCAAGTGCGGCTCTTCTTTGCCCAAGTCAGCGGATCTTGTGTGGGAGAATAATCCTGGCATCCTTCAGAACACCGCTAGGGGCATCAAGAAGTTCCCCAAGGGATTGAGCTTTCGGCGTGGAAGTTGGGTGTCAGCGTGCCATGTGCGCTGTCATGTTGAGGTGCCGTTCTATCGTGTGCCTTCTTTCCTGGTTCACTCAATGTATTCAACACACACCAAGGCCGCTGGTTACACGGATTGACGCTAGTTTCTGGTTGAATTTCAAAGTTTCCGTGGGAGGGTTTGAGAAGGTAGACTTGATCAAGGCGAGCTAAGCAACGATCCGAGTGGAGGCCCGTCGTGAAAGGGAGCCCATGCTGGCGAATCTTCTTTTGATCTTAATGGTACAGTCCACCGTTGTCTAGGAATCCGAAACATGTCTTCTCGTTGAAACAAAACTAAAGATTTCATTGTTGTTAGTGCTTTGTCCCTTTGTGCCACTCAGAGATGTATATAAGCAACTTGTGAGCTGAGAGCACGATACCTAATGGCACTGATATGGTGTTCAGATTTTCACAGGCAGTGGCTTTGACAACTTGAAAACTGAGCCTAGCCTGATCCAAGCCGGTTCCTGGGAGACACGACATCACGAACTTGAGGGCGAAGGGCGACTGGACTCGGAGTCGATGAATAGTGTTACCACCTTGAACTGAACAAACTTTATTTCCCTCAGGCGCGAATCCAGAGCAGTAGTCATTAGGATTGTATACGTAGGCTCCACATGTCATTAACAGGCGTCTTAGATCTCGAATCGAAAACTAGACACGGCGATGAAAACCTACTCGCCCCGGTAGTTGAAGCTGAGGGTGCCAAATTGTCTGATTTTTGATCAACCACTGCTCTCTCTCGAAAGGACCAAGTCAGTACTTCTGGGACAACTCCGCATTTCTGGGCCCACATCGTGCTGTTTTCATGTGCGAGCCGTGCATGGCAGTACATACGATGAAGGATTTGCCACCCGTCTTGCAGGATGAGCGCTTGGTGCTGGTCCTGATATCTATTAGATACAGCAGCTGGGATATAAAACGAAGCTTTGAGCAAGAACCAATTGCAATTATTCGAACTGTTCTTCATCTCATTAGCAAATCGCCCCCACGAGAATACTACAACTTCGCAGACAGGTTTTCATCACGCAACTTAACAACTGCCTTTCCCCACGTCTCACGGTTCTCAACCGCTACCAGACCCTGCGAAACGCCCTCTAGGCCATGGAACACTTGAGGGTACGCAATTGGAGTGCACCTTTTGGATTTCCATAATCTGGACGAGAAGGATTACTATATTGGGGGTCATTGGATGATGGCACACTCACTCAAAAAGCTCTTTCCATACTTCCGGAGGGCGACTGACATCCTTCTTAAGGTACTCTCCCCAGTGAAGGCCAACGATAGATATGTTTTTTAATAGAACGAGATTAAGGGGTAGCTGGTGACGGTAACCTTCAAGATCAGTGACAACTCCTAGAGATTCATATGGAATCACAACTGTACCTTCTCAATTTGGCCTCCAGCAAATCCTATCACGAGGGCACGGCCCTTCCAAGCTATGCATTTCAAGGAATCCTTGATCAATCCCACAGGGTCGTAAATGATATCTACCAAAAAATGAAATGGGTCTGCAGCGAGTGAAGCTCATGGTCATCGAACCCACCGACTCCTTTCCCGCCAGTGATTTTTAATACCTCCTTTTGCCAGTTCGGCTGCCTATAGTTGATGGCGTGGTCAGCTCCGTACCGGAGAGACACTTCCAACTTGGAAGGTGAGCCAGCCGTGGCAATCACTTTGCCTCCCAATGCTAAACCAAAGAGGCGATTAGGAACCGCTGTGATGGCGCATACAGTTCCTACCTTTGGCGATCTGAATGAGTAGGAGACACCCATTGGCATTTAAACAATAGTTGACAGGTTTCATACGATGGCACACTTCACCTGAACGGCACACAACCCCACACCGCCAGCAGCTAAGGTTAGAAGGTGAATCACTAAGTAACGTCTCTCTCAAGGGCAGACGAACCCCCATGGACGAGCACCCAATCTCCAGACTTGATGCCCCCCCTCCCTGTTAATCCCTCATATGCAGTTGGCCAAGTAAGGAATAGGCCAGCAGCTTGGTCATACGACATTCCGTTGGGGATTGGGTAGCATCGTGACACATCCACTGCAACCTGTTCTGAAACGTAAGGGAATCCACTGTCAGCGAGTGAGTCTATGAGTCCTTCAAGGCTAACGTGCAACACACCAGCATATGAACCTTGGGCTGACCCAAAGATCTTGTCACCCGGCTTAAATGAACAACCAGGGGGGATAGGTGAGTTCTTAGAAATTCTCCCAGCGAACTTGAACGCAAGAACGTATGCATGAGTCACCCAAAAATGCACAGCGGTGGACAATTTCGCACCTCTGACCCAAGAATAAACGGCATTGGTGGCTGATTTTGGTATTTCCCAGTGGCTTGTAAAATATCGAAGAAATTTAATCCTCTGACGCCAAGGTGAGTGAGCGAGTGCGACTAGGGGCAGGCTAGCACAAGACATACGCCGAATAGACGTCAACAAGTATCTCATTTGGTGCAAGCTCTGGTGCTGGGACGTTATCGCTTCTGAATTGGGGGTATGAGGATTACTGTGTCATTATGGAAGCATTGAAACCCACGGCAGGATGTCTTTCGGGTGAGCAAACTTGGTGACCTGGAAAGCTTTCATGATATGCTATAGGTATTACAGCTCGAGTAAGTCTTTCCAAACAACAGTGAGGTGGGAGGCAGCCAACTCAAACATCCGAGCATTGCGCATGCAAACCGCCGACCCGGCTACATGGCGCCGGAGATGCCGGAGCTCCGCATGGACATGGAAACATCGCCCTGACGGATCGGACGATACACCCAGAAAGTATTCATAAAGCTGACATCTCATAATGATATCATTAAGTCCAAAAGGTAGCCCAGATCAGAATTACAATGCCGAACTCAAATTCACCTGGAACCTTCCTCCACAATTGCAGTCACGAATCTACTCGACATTGCAGGGTATCGTCCTAACTCGCGGAGGGGAGTTCCTTCCTTTAAATCCAGCTCCTCGACGTCGACGCGGAAGTTGAACGTGCCTTCCGCAACAAAAACGACGGCGAAGGTCTTTGTCGTGCTGTCACCAGGCTGCAGCACACCGAGAAGATTGTTTGATAACCATCCATCAAATATAGCGTGTTCGCTTGGAGTAGGATGGACAGGACGACAAGTAAGACTGAGCCGACAGGGACGATCTAGATAGTTGGTGAGTCGTGAGAGAATTTGTACCAAAATACAGAGATACAGTATTCACCAAGTTCATTGCGCACGCGTATAACAAGATGTACCATTTCACATAATTCCACGCGCCACGAATTCCGACCTCGGAAAGGCAACGAGCTAGTGAGCCGTGTTTTCTCGGTATCGGTCAGGCTTGTCTCAGCAGTTCCGGCTTCTGTATGCATCGTCTCGAAACCAGTTTCGATAATGATGCAATCTCGGCGTAATGACTCGTACATGAGAAGTGTCAAACGCTGAGATCTAAGCGAGATAATCCCCGAGCGGTGCGTTGCATCCTGCAATTCACTAAGCTCACAACGAGAGGATTTGAGGTAAGCAATCTAACCTCTGTCCATGTTGCTTCAATCATCTTGAAAAGCTCTTCGCGATACCAAAAGAGCTCCCTTTGAAGCCTTTCTTCCTCCTGGCTCAGCTTCTCCTTCGAAACGACAAACTGCCGATTAGTCAAAGCAGGAATCGGAGCCGTGCAATCCTGCGAGGATAACACGAAACGCTTCACCGGAAGGAAGAGTCTGAGTGCAAAGCATGAGATCGGAGCACTCTGTGTAAGTAATAATGAGTGAGCTACCTCACTGTCGAGCCTGGAGATACAACACGAGTGATGGATGCATCTGGGGTGTCTTCGCGCGAAAAAGAGACTGTATCAGCGCAACGAATAAGAACAACGGGATAGTGGCATTACCCGCTTGGTGCCGAGTTAAAGTCGCATTGAATGGCATCCCAAACACATTGCTTACATCTACAAACACCAAGCAATATTCGCCTGGTTCTCCCACTTCCATCAGCTCCCGCCGACCCGGACCTTCTTCAGATATGTCGCCATCCAAGGGCGGAAGCGCTTGGAAGGTGTGATGTGGTATAATGTCGAGATTGTTGCATTCCAGCGTATGATAAACGGTAACATTGACAGGGTATTGGATTTGTCGTAGATGGAAAATGTCGGAAAGTGAACTACTGCTCTCCGGAGAGGTTTCATTCGACTGATGTCGGTCAGCGTAAGCATACGAAAGGTGGATTGTTCCGGACGTGCTAGTACAATGACAGCAGTTCAATTAGGGGCGAGCCTGTGGGCGTAATCGGGCATACCAATTGAGTTTCCCATAACATGCAACTTTGAGGTTTAATGTAGCCCCTGGCGCTATCACTCTACGGTCTTCGGTAGGGTCCCAGCTTAAGAATGGCCGCCGTAACAACTCATATTCTGCCTCATACGCCTCCGCTACCGACATATCCCCTTCGTCTAGAGTTTGCTGGGCAGACGCTATAGTGGAGTCCTCAAAGGTGAGCCTATGGAAATCAACGGGGAGAGTGGAAATATTCTCTACTGTCAGATGTATGGAAGACCTGATAGCATGTCAGTATTGGTCATCACATACAATAAACCGTTGCGCACCGTTCACCACTAAACATCATCAGGGAGCCATGGACTATGGATGATCTTCGTAGACGTAACAATGGTTGTTCAGGAGTAATTTGAACTTGGAGAAATCGCAGAGAGGGCGTTTGCGAGGCTCGCTTGGATTTGTAAGCCATCTCTCCTCGGGAGGAAACTAGGTGGTTGCTCTCCAGACCCGCGTACTTAATACGGTCTGAATCATTGTCAATCCCGGAAAGTCTCTGCACAGACAGTCGAGTGTCATCATCCTCAGGAAGAGGTACAAGCATCTCCTTTGGAGCCCCTCCTGGAAGCTGTAGAAAACATCCACGGATAGTGAGCGTCCCAGTTTCCAGGGGGATCCCACTGAGGACAACAACGATTTCAGAATCAGCTGGAGCCACTGTTGGATGCGGCTGCGTTTGAAACTCCAAGCCAGTTGTGCTGAGAAACAACTTTAATCATCAATAGGAAATGAGAAAGAAGTTTGGAGCCACCTTAAAAAGATGCTCTGAACTTCCAGGTCAAAATGATAAGGATTTCGGAGAAGCACTTCGAACTCCAGTGCCTCGTTTTGCACGGCGACCTGCACCGTAATATTAAATTATAACACAACTTCGTCGCGGAATATAATTACTTGCATGGGCAGTACTGGCTTTTTTGCCCTTCGGCTCATAAATGAATGGACCTTTAGCAGTCGAAGCACTTGTAGAGGTCTCAAGCCGCTTCCACGATTGCTCAATTGGATGTTTATGAGGAGTTAAGCTAATCAAAAAATCTTGAATGTCTCTACCATCATGAAAAAAATCGAGGCTTACGGAATAACATCGAGCCTGATAATCAGATTATCGGGCCAGAACTCGATTCGCTGGCGCCCTCCTCTTCTTCTCACTGTATTCAACCCTCGAGCGGCGCTGTCATGGAGATGCTGTTGCTCACTTGCCGTGAGGTGCTGATGCAGCTGCTTAATCGTCGAAAGAGAAAATTGTGCCTTTGAAGCGTGATCTGATATAGGCATTAATGGGCGCACCCAATTCGGAGCTTGAAAAAACACTTGCCCGGAAGCGCCTCCGTTACCGCAGTAGCCTCTCGTACCACGCCAACCTGCAACTCCGGCCAGCCATATTGAACTACGTTTCGAGGATCTAGATGTGAAGGCTGCATGGCATCAGTCGAGTGATCGGCATCTATTTCCAATCCATCAACAAGCTTCACAGCTTGGAGGTCGATACCATAGACAGCAGCAATGTGTTGGGTGATCCTGAGTACACTTGTATTCCCTTCTTCATTATCCTGATCGCGTCGCGCGACCGATCCAGGCTGGCTGAAGGGTAGAGTGGGGTCGTCTGGATTAATTTCCAGACTACGAGTGTAACCAGACATCACTTCTGAAACATCACTTCGAGATTCTTCTCGTCCGAGGACAATCAGATCCACAAGAGCTGCCTGAAGTTCCCGAAGAACATATGCTTCTTTTCTCCGAAATCCTAAGCCAGAGTAGTACTTCGCCATGACAGAGAAAACAAAGATTATATCCGAAGGTTGCAAATGCAGAAGAAATGGACCATGGCACTGAGCAACAACTTGGCCAATAAAGGATCTCGTTATGTTGGAAAGCGCAGACATCCGATAAAGAGTTCCAATACTTGGTTTGTCGGGTGAGAAAGTCGGGGGAAGGGTTGTCGAAAAGGCTGATGATACAGATAATGGATTCCAGCCTTTAGAAGACCAGATACACAAGAGGAGGTGGGAGTATCGGAGAACGGCGGAGATGTAAAGAAAAACAATAGAGGAATGCTCGTTATCCAAAGGAAATATGGTATTGGCGGGGGATGGATTAGTCGGTGCTGCCCGCGAATACAAGTTAATGGCCTGCCCCATCTTATCGGAGATATTTGCCCAGGGATCCGCTAACACATTTCCCCCAAGGGAAGCGTGCTCAAATCGTTGCTATTTCAGTTGCATCTGATAACTACAGGGTTCGGACGACTTACCAAGGATTCACCCATATTCCAAGCCTCCAGAACCTCCACAATACATTGACCTTCCAAAGCAGACGCATTCCATATTGTATCTTGAGCAGCGCGGAAAAGAGATACCGCTTCAGTATACCTTCAGAAAATGTTACAGGGTTTCCATATAGTGACTGGGCTAAACACACCAGTAGCTGGCGTCAGACAGCTTTCCTGAAAGAAGGTATAAATCTCCCAAGGTCTTTGCAAGCCGGCCGCTATTATACCCTCCAGCACTGTTGCGCTTTTTGGCAGCCGGGGGCACAGAGAGTTTAGTCGGGGAGCTGGCCATTCCGGAAGTGACACGATCGGCTGCTGGATTGGATGAAGGCGTTCCCGAGCGTTGACCACCATTCCTTACCGGCTCTACAGGGTTTTCGGCGCTTCTGTGCAAATAGTACACTCCACCTATTCGGCCTAAACGGGGGAGTATTTCGCTGTTCAACGTGTCGAGACCGTGCGGGGTGTCTATGCATCGAACCTGCCACCCAGTTAGATACTGAACAACGCACAGACAGATGCACTGACAATGGACGGAAATTCAACTATGATGTCGTGACAAAGCTCTGCCAACAACGTCCCAACATAGACTTGCTTGTTGCCCATCAGGCTAGGTATCGTAACTAACTCGCTCGTAGAAGTAGATAGATTCATATTGGCATTTCCTTCGCCCTCCTCAAAAGCTAAGCATTTAGTGGTAAATGGGAATGGTAAACCATCTGGGAGCAAAGTAGAGAGGTCCGCCTTAAATTCTGCGACCAGCGAAGATGCTGTTGCGCCTGAAGTGCAATCCGCTATTCCGATTACTGCAAGAGGGAACGACGAGATTCGAAATAAATTGAATGCCGAACGCCATGTCGGAGGTGGATGCGTGAGGAAGGAAAGATGGAGATTACCCGAAGCTAAGGGTGAAGGGAGAAACCGGTCTAATATAGGCTAGAATAAGTCGCAAAAAGATGCAGGTAGAACCGTCCACCCGCACTTTTATCCTCTCTAGTATCTGGGGGAATATCACCGAGTCGAATATGCTCGAATGATCTCACAAGACCAGAATATTTCTCGAAAGCAGAACGCCGGATGGATCCCACAGGGACTAAAAGGATGCGAATCTGCGCAATGGAGGCAAATTGACCAATATCCATAAGTTAGAGCACAAGTAATTTGTGCCCAAAGTTCACCGAGCCAACGGAATCAGACGCGTCACGCCTCGTTCCGAATTCTGCAGCGGCCAGATCACAATTCAATCCTGCCCGAAACTAGGCGCTATGGTAAGCGCCCCCACGCTCATCCTCGAATATGTTTGAAATTGATGACTTTTGAGATGTCCAGGCCGCATCCGATAAGCTTGTAGGCGCTGGCGCACTTCTAGTTGCCGTAATAGTCTTTGTTTACTATACACTCTGGGCCTTGATTTTGGTAAGTGCAGAGCCCTGCAACCGACCTCATCACTGTATTGATCCTCGCCTCCTCAGCCATTCTTTCCTCCAGAACACCCTATACACAATCATTTCCCACCCCGAGAGTGGGCAGTGCGCATCCCTGCATTCCTGCTTGTCGTTGGTCTCTCTGCTGTTGGCGCGTTCATCGGTTCTGTCCTAATTAAGGAGGGAAGGAAAAGACGAGAGAAGAATGCCGTGAAACAGGCTTGATACGTAATAGCTGTCTGTTGAAACTTTGTTCTAGCCTCACAGGTTTGCTGACCACCCAAGTTGAATGCAATTGCAGAGTTAACCTAGCCCCTCTCAGTAGATTGTCATTAATTACGCCACCCATAGATACATCAGATCTCCAGAGTGGGTTCGTGCGGTGGATTATAGTCATACAATGCAATGGAACGAATGCAAGTGCGTGCATGGCGAGTCAAATGCTGGATGGAAAGTGAAAGAGAAAGTTGGCGAAAGTAGTAAGACCGAGGAACAAGTATAAGGGGCGAAGAATCCTGCAAGTACCCTATTTCTCCTGAGTTTTCTTCCAATCAACATAGGCATCGATGGCACTGGGCCACTCCTGGGAGTAGGGATTCTGAGTCCGCCTTCGGATCCCTCTAAGTCACGACGTACCGAATCTGCATTGTAGTCAGAGAAATCAGGTTGGACGTCCTGAAGAAACCTGTAAAGCTGTACAGAATAAGGATACAGAGGAACTCTGAACTTTGAAAAAAAATTGACCCACCATCCTCCAAAGATCTTTCGTGACAGCTTTGTACATCTTAGCAGCCTCGTTCTTATTCATTTCCTGGTAAAACCACATTAAGGCGTGCAGAGGATGAGGATGATCCATACTAACTGTAATGTAATCCGTAAAATCAGTGATATGTGGGAACTTGGGCTTAAGGATTGCATTCCAAAAGGCCAAGGCAGTCTGGGGGAGGGGGTGATGTAGACATGGGGGACAATATGCCAAAAATTGGGCTCACATCTATGTCAATATTCCGATTGGTGCTGTATTTGAGGAATGAAGTTGTTGCGAAAGTGCTATCCAGGAAAGTGTATAGACTTACCCAATCCTACCAAGGCTGAAAGCAGAGAAGTAAAAGTCCCGGAACGCTTCCTCAGGACCTGCATGAATCTCGCGCAGTTTCGCTTTGCGATATGGGTCCTCGGGGTTATCGTTTGGACCGACAACGGAACCTCTTTGATAAAGCTGGTTTTCGATATCATTAAGCGCCATGGATAACTTCTCTACAGTATCCACCCTATGAGTAACGATTAGGCACAAGAGCCTTCAACATCAACCGGTGAATTGAACCTACTGCAAAGTCCCCATGCCTTCCATCCACTCATTCTGCTTAATGCTACCCATCGCGTTGGATTTACATATCCAGGAAAATATGAGGGGTTGTACGCCTTCGAGAGAGACATTTGCGTCTTGATATAATGACATAACGCCATCTGGTGATATATTTGGTTCGGCACCAGGTTCCACATCATCCTCGTTTTCTGCGTATTTTTTGAACAACTCAAGTGCCCTTTCCTTAGTGTATGTCCCCGGTTGCTACCATAGACATTTAGGACCGCAATATTTGTTCTGAAGACGCAGCTCACTAATGGGTCAACACTGCAGGGATGAAAGGGTCAGACAGGTTGGCGTTCACACAGTAGAAGGTTTTGCATACGGCTTTGAAGGTGCAGCAGATTTCTTGTTAGCAGCACTCTTCGTCACTGTGGCACTGCCAGTGGTGTGAGAGCGTAAACTGGATGGGTCAGGAGGATGACTGACGTTTTCCTTTAAGGGTTATAAGTCATTGGGAGAACCCCATAATCAACAACTGGCTTACTTACCCTCTCCTTTTTTTTGGGGACGCTTCGACATCCCCATTTGGTTCATCCTCAGAAGATTGACTTACGCTGTAAAAGAAGGTGGGCATTGTGAACCAATCAGTGGGATGTTCTCACGCACGCCGGTTTTTTGGTCGACGCCTTCCTAGTCATTCGTGGTTTCTTAGCTGCCACAACCTCATTATTTGCTTCGGACGCGGTTGTGGCGCGTGTCGATGCACGCGTGGAACGGGTTGAGGGTGCAATAGACTGAGTGTCGCTTTCAGCATTCCGCTTTCTCTGTAATTCCGTATATTATTCGGAAGTCCATAGTAACGGACAAGGAGATGAACTACCTTGGGAGGCATTGATGATTGACGCGATTGTTGCAAAACGTGTTTCGCCGGACGAAGTTGCGGCAATTGAATTACATGCAATCGTCACGGTCACGGGTCCCCGACCCGATGAACGAGATTGCAAGAACACTGAGCTCCCCCTCATTTGTCAGGCTATCCTGCATCATTCACAGGATAGACTCCTGACAATAAAAGGCGCCTCCACTCATGTCTTCCAACAACTACGAACTGCGTTGGAGTGTCCGAGAACTTCTGATATGGTGATCTTCACTTTTAAGTAACTGGAACACAGCGTTCTCAAGCTTTAGCACACTCGACAAGGGAAAACAGGACGACAATAACGTCGTCATCAGGATGTCTACTTTATGCTTAAAGCCCGGGCACGCTACACCTGATTGGTTGCATCTCACTCCTCGCTCTCCCGTTACCTCCCATTGGTTCGTACTTGATTCTAGTCAATAGGATAGGAGAAAATATCAACGATGAATACGAAACATAAAAGCGATCAATGAGCGGCGTGAAGCGGTGAAACATCGAAAAATGGTAAACGGGTATCGGGTTGTTGGTAATGATTGGTAAGACAGTCATGAGTTGAGCCTTCTCACCGATATGCTATTGCTCTACATCCAAAAAACCGCTGCGCAACGCATACCGTTGAACTGTGAACATTTTTCGTAATGCGGCGTCGGTTCTGCTTACTCTGCAATACTGTCTGTTTGGCGTCTCAAGATTTAGATCCTGGACTCTGCATGTTGAGGCTCGCTCAGAGAATAGGTTTTCCTATGCCTTTTCGCGCTGTCTGGGGATGTCATTCGCTCGCGGAACCTGCGCGTTGTCCAGGGAGAACCGGGCCGTTGTCTACCCATAGTCCACCAGCCGACTTATCATTCTGACAAATCATCTTATCATGTTGAAGTAGCCGCGACCTAGGCTTCATGCAATTCTGCAAGTCTCTCTATCCATGCGGCAGATATTTGTCTTATTGTCTCAATATCAAGGATCAGATGACGGACCAAGCGAAGGAACGGAATAACTAGTATCAACACATGATGGGTGTAATTTCAACAAACCTGGTCCCAAGTGTGTGGGATAACTCTAAGTGACCTGCGCCTGATCGTTCCACATACAAACGGAAGAGTATAAATATCGCCCCAACGGCACCCCAACCACCTCCTCTTAACCCTCCTCTGAGCATCTCTCATCACTGCGAAACCAAGTCTTGGTCATGTCGAACGTATGTGTCTCGATCTTGTCCACTGCAAGCTTTCCTTACCCCCGCAATCAGATCATGGAATTCCCAGTCGACCGTCACTGTGACGCGGACCATTGTCATTGCAAGGATGGGTACGTTTAGGAGCTTATTACTCATCGACGTCAATATTCAAACAACTGTGCTGTAGCTGCCATTGCCCCAAGGGGAGCTGCACCTGCTGAGCAACCCCAGAGATTGCAGCCCCTTCCGCGTTCTTTGTACATTAAGCTGCCTGCAAGTAACCAATGTCGTTTGATTAGTCATGTACCTGCGCTCTGTTGACGTATGACCTTGAAATAAACCCTGTTATCTGCTAGCCTTCGAGTCGCCTGTTCTATCTCTACAGACCAGTTCACTCCGCTATCTGCTGCGTGGATAGACTTAGGAGATGATAGCTCTACTATTTACTGGACAGAGTTATAATATAAATGATCATGCATTTATGAGTATGTATCTGCATGCGGGCACAAGATACGAAACATTTTATACAATAAGAAAGTTGTTTGTTGGAAATCATCGTGGTCAACGACACTTGTTCCATACAAGCGATGTCGGTGCCAGGATAAGATACAAGATACGCTGATTTTTCCCTTTCCCTCAGCTCTCTTAGAAGTAATACAATTCCATCGTATATCTGTTAACGCTGTTGTACTCATTGTACACTTATGTTATATAGTTCACGCGTCTAGTCCTACGTACTTCTTTTCGGAACCTCCGATTGCCTAATCATTGGCCGAGCTTGCGATGCGTTTATATATATACAGCAAATACTACTTTAGGCGTCACAAGTCATGCCGCTGTCATTCTCATTTAGTGACCTTTAATCGATGGCACTGTGTTAATAGGTGCGACTACCGCGTGGTCAATCGCATATGAGCAGGGTTATCAAAGTTTGACAACAAACATGTACAGGACATCGACACATGGATATTGAGGCCTGGGATCAGAATGCTGTCCAGTGATATAGCGATGCCATTCTGGAATTGCCCCCATGCTCCGGGTGTCGTTCTGCGCTTTTTGTCATCACGAGCCGGATGATATGCCAGACTAACAAACGGTCGTCAGCCCTGAAAGGGCCTATCTAAGCCTTGTTCACGCATCATCTCCACCAACCTTGTCCCCACCCTCTCGCAATTATTGGCTCCAGGTTGATTCTATCGCCAGTGCTAGTGCTGTGAATGTGATCCTGCCTCACGTTCGTCGATTACGACATCGCCCGTCAAGTCCGAAACCTTGATGCCATCCATAAACAGGCATAGCAGTGTTCCGATGACAAGCCATGGTACGATCGAGTAAACCGCCCATTTACTCCCATATCGATACGCATCTTGGACGAACGACTTGAGATGAGAAGGGAGTTGGTTGATCCCGTTGCCTTGTTCCCGACTGGCGATAGTAGCGGCATCGGACAAGGAGATTTGGTGCGTAGTTTTGAGGTAGTCAATGTAGGATCGAGCTTTCGACTCGAGTACCGCGTATTGTTGAGCAAGACCAACTGTGCCTCCCAGCATTAGGAACTGAAACAAGATTATTCTTCTAAGTATCCGTCTGATCTGAGCGCGGAATGAGAAAGGCCCACGAAGATGTTCAGGGTCACTACAACAACCATATGTTCATCCCCAAGCGCAAAACGTGCAACCATCTCGGCAGTTCCGAACGTCATGCCCACACTGACGCCACAAATTGATAGGGAACTGATAATCCCCGCCATATTCTCGTTGCCTAACGCCATCCCCAAGAGCCCAACACCAATGGGCTGAAGGAGCTGCCCGAATGAAAGAACGTACTTGGGCTATCGCACGATGTCAGCATCGTTATAAGTGGGAGACCGGAATTTAAATTAATTACCTGCTTGAAGCGATGGACAAGTACCATGGAGAGGTAGAATCCGACACCAAGGCCGGGTTGGAAGTATAGAAGTTGCGCTCCGGACTTTGTACTGGAGTAACCAGCCGCGATGTTGAAATAAATGGTCATAAAGTAGAAGCAGCTGCACAGAAGCATGCCAATAGCAATGGAAGCAGTACAAACGGCAGCTACATTGTAGGTCTTGAAAATGTAAAGAGGTAACATGCGGACCGTGTGGGCGATGAGACGTGGAGGTTTCCTCGGTAAAACATCTTCTCCACCCGTAATCGAGGAAGCTGAGTACGGCCTCATTGTCCCATCCGCGTTGGGGGTGATTTCGTATCGCCCAAGGTAGAACCCCCAGGAGAAAAATACCAAAAGCAGGATGCCTCCAACTACGAGAGTTGCGATGACCCCACCTTGGTCCCATCCGCGCGAAGATCCCGAATTCAGCCCAAGTAGAATGAGGACGTTGGCAGAAACAAAAGTGAATGAGCCTATCCAATCAACTTTAGAGAGTCGAACAAGAAGCTTATGCCTATTTGGTCTGGCACGTCCAGGAAGGTCATCACGAGGATCGTGCTGGGGCCCAGGAAGCTCATCCCAAAGGAGGAGGAAAACAAGAATCAAGCTCGCAGTGACAATAGGTAGGTTGATGGCAAAGATCCAGCGGAACGAGATTGCGGACATGGCTCCACCAATGACAGGACCTACGAAAAACAACTTAAGTTGCGGAGCAGACAGTAGGAACGAGGATGAACTGAGACCTGTAGAATAACCAACAGAAAATAGCATAGATATCATGGTTGCGTGTATTGAATTGTCTCGAATATTCCTGGTATTCCCGAAAACGACGCGTGTAGCCTGAAGTTTGTCACATCCATGAGCGCTCCGAACCTAGAGCTTGATTGGCTTACGGTCATGAGAGCAGCAGTTCCGACTCCTGATATTCCCCGACCAGCTAAGAGCATGGGCATGCTTTGGGCTGCAGCTGAGAGGGCTGATCCAATCGCGAAGACGATTAGGGACAATTGACTGTGCCGATCCGTTTGTGTTAGATGGCGTAACAAGCAGTGCTTAGATAGGGTCTTACATGGTAGCATACCGCCCGAAAATATTTGTGAGATTGGCGAACACAAGGAGGAAAGCGGTGCTGGTGACAAAATAGCTTGCTCCGACCCAGCACTATAGATGGGTCGTCTTAGGCCAGAGCGTGGGTGAGAAAGGGGGGCGCTCGCCTCCATGTCCAAACTGTTAAATGCGGAAGCTATATGAGGTTGGGCGCTGGCAACGACAGTGTAATCCAGGGTCTGGGTGTTCTGTCAGCACGTCAATCACATGAAGTCACGGAAGAGTGTACCTGAAGAAAGATCGGGAAGAACAAAGCGATCATCACTTTTATCGGAAGGCGCCAGCATTTCCAAAATTCTCTAAAACCTCTATGCTGTTGTTCTGATGGCTGAGAATGACCAGTAGCCACCGAGGGGGAGAGAATTCCACGTGGTGATACTGTGAGAGGCATGCCGCAGGGTGTGGATATGCCAGCCCGACGTCAAGGGGGCATACCGTACGAGGTTCCTTGGAACTCTTATGCGGTTGATCATGAGAAAAGTGCACCAAGGTAAGATCCCATTGAAATACTGCGGGGCAGTAAACCAATACTTAGCGGGCTGACAATAGGGTACAAACAAGGATGAAACGGATTACTATCAGCAAGACGTGGGATGAAAGCTATCCAGGACGTCCAAAGGCGAGGGCTCCTTAGAAGCCAAAGCAAGCACGGATCGAGCAACTACTGTAAGAATGGGTTCCTCTTTAGACGTACTGATTCTGTTTGAATGACAGGAAGACACCTTATCAGTGAGCGATTAGGTGTGAAGAAATGTCAGGCTGTGCATCTGAGTCAGGGTCCTGATGTTGCATTCATTCTTCTGGGACTCCGCTTATCGGGCGACTTGTCACGCCCGAGGCTACATGGGGATTAGATTTAAGTGTCAACGACTTCTGTGCAAACTGCGGTACCTCTCCTGCTAAGGGTCCTAAAAGCTCATGTGGCCTGTGTGTTTAACATTACCGAGGGCTTCTCGTATAGCAATCTCAACCAACTACTGAAGTATGTTAAATTGGGGAGTCAATGGCAATTTCGCGCCATCAGTGTCTGGACTATGGTGGGTCCACTATGTGTCCGAAAAGCTCTTGGGCGCGTTCTTGACGGTAAATGGAAAGGGTGTGCAATCAATAATATCATAATCAGCGTGCTTTGCAGCCAGCATGACCAATCATGGATGCATTGATTCGGATCTTGCATTATTTGCGAGTGCAATGTTAGTGTGTACCTAGCGTCATTTCCGTTGCAATCGCCAGAGCCCTACTAGGCGTTTCGATGAACATAATAGGTCACGGTTACATAGGGATGCCGCACTTCGGTTCTGAGTCGACCAATTGGCCGTAAAAGTATGGAATGCCTTCAAGGTTATCTGGAGGCATGTCGGCGATATTGCGCAGGGGCAGATATTTGAGATGTTTTCATCACCGTCATGACTCATTGCGCCTCCTTCGCTGCCACCACTCCCCCGAGGATCCATTCGGCATCTTTTCTCAGTGGTGAAGTGTCCATTGCGCATATCTTTTCTCCTTTCGTTCTGACCAAACCATCAAGCCCCAACTCAGCGTTAAAAACCGAGCGAGAAACAGGATCTCGATCTATCTGGCACCCGACCGCCCCTTCTAGGCTTTCCCTTCGCCTTTACTGGTGTGATGCTTTTATCATGATTGCACTGGGTACACAGGAGACAGGCCCTCATGAGATCGGTCGCCTCGGCTTTGCGAATGGTTCCTTTATTCAAACCTTGATACCATGAACACTACCCCTGCTCTTATCGAAAATCCATCCATATATTTAGGTCTGAGACGCCGTCGTAGCTATTACTCATTCATTCACAACAACGGAAGCGTGCGTTTACGAGCTTAGTGCTTACCGTGGTCGATATTCCAACAACTGTTCTGTAGCTGCCATTGAAACTCCGCCTGCTGAGAGATCCCAGATACTGCAGCCCTTTCTATGTTCTTGGTACTACTTCAAGGGATGGACTTCATCATGGGCGAGCTCCCTATTCTACTGACTGCATCCTTTTTAGGACTTCATCGCAGGTGCACTCTCTAGTGCCTCACGGCAATTCACATTCCGTACCGATCAAGCTGCATTCATTATCTACTCTGTTTCCTTATTTCCTCCAGCGCCCATTGCTAGGTAGGCCACCCGGGCGTTGAAATAGTATCTCAGATCTGCGACGGTCAACCTCAACTCATTGTTGACCTCCGTGCTGAGCTTTGACCGGGACTGCTTTGGGTTGACTGGTCGGGTGGTATCCTTGTACTTTGTCCTTTGGGTGAGAGGTCAACGACTACGGAAAAGGTGTTGCGCCTTGGTTTTTTTTTCCCTCGTTAGCCCATTCGTTTCTGGGAAGGAGCTCCCCTATTCGAACTTGAAACGCGCGTGGCCCAAACCCATCAATTCAAGACCTCTCAATTCCAATCAACCCGACGCTACCACTGGATGTGTTCAAATGGTTCGACATCTGCGTCTCTTGCTTTTGCGCACTGGCAGGTAGTATAATCATTTTTGGCTGCCTCTATTTTCTTACGGTCTATTCTATGAGTCTGGGGCGACAAAGAGCAGCATCTACTTACTATTTACGTTGGTAGGACTTCGTAAGCAGATGGGTATTTTGTGTCCTTCTCCTGGGGTGGGCGATTTGACGAATTTGACGTGGAGTGATCAGCACCCGGCGCCTATACGCACATATGTATCTAATTGGTCGATGAAGATGGAGAAACTGAGGGAAACTTGGAACATAGGCAGGAGCCAGCAGAGCGGGTTAGCCAATGGCTAGCTGGGCCCCCCTGAGCAGTGATCGCCTGTCCGCTAATTCTTCTTACTCGACACAGAACACTGCCAAGGTATCATTGGGGGCTCGCTTCTCCCATCCCCCATTACTCTGCATTTAAAGCATTCCATGCTGTTGGACAGAGACATGGAAGTTGGTAAGAACCTAATTGTCGCTCGTATCCATTTGTGAGAAAACAGAGATCGAGATCGAGAACGCTGTTACTATATTTGACAATGTTCATGCTAACCAGGAACTAGGTGACTTCAAACCCAAGTGCATGGAGAGTAGGAGGAATGCTTGAATGAGCCAAATGCTACGGAGGAGCTGAATCGCCCTTTTCCACAGCGCTTTCAGATTTAGAATCCTGAGTGCCCCATGCTGCAATCTCCGCGCGTGAAGCGGATGGACACACCATTATGAATTATCTACCAAGATTGTGTTACTTTTTACAACTCCCATTCTTGTAACTATTGCGGTTCAACCGCAGGGCCATCATTCGATAGCAAATATGTACAGGACATCGACACATTACAGGCATTGAAGCTCAGAACCAGAGCGACACAATAATACCTTTGCACATTCTGGAGGTGCTCCGGGTGTCGTTCTACACATGCACTTTCTGTCATCACGAGCCAGATGATCTGTCAGACTGACGGGCGGTCATCAGCCCCGAAAGGGTCTGTCTGAGCACTTGACGACCTCGTTCACGCATCATCTCCACCGACCGTATTCCCACCCTCCCGCGATTACCGGCCCCAGCTCGATTCTACTGCCATGCAGCGTTACTGCTGTGCAGGTGATCCTTCCTCATGTTCCTCTGTCACGACGTCGCCCGTCGCGTCAGCCAACTTGATGCTGTTTATAAACAGGCATGGCAGTGCACCGACGACAAGCCACGGTACGATTGAGTAAACTGCCCATTTGCTGCCATATCGATATGCATCCTGGACAAACGACTTGAGATGAGATGGGAGTTGGTCGATTGCATTGCCTCCATGACTGAGAGAGCTGAGGCTACTGGTGATGGTAGCCGCATCGGAAAAGGAGATTTGGTGCGTAGTTTTGAGGTAGTCGATATAGGATCGAGCTTTTGACTCGAATACCGCAAATTGCTGAGCAAGACCAACTGTTGCTCCCACCATTAGGAACTGAAGAAAGATTATTCTTCTAAGTATGCATCTGATCGAGCGCGGAATGAGAAAGGCTCACGAAGATGTTCAAGGTCACTACAACAACCATGTGTTCTTCTCCAGCCGCGAAACGTGCCACCATCTCGCCGGTTCCGAACGTCATGCCCATACTAATACCACAGATTGATAGGGAACTAATAATCTCCGCCATATTCTTGTTGCCTAACCCATCCCCAAGAGCCCAACACCAATGGGCTGAAGGAGCTGTCCGAATGAAAGAACATACTTGGCTATCGCACGATGTCATCATCGTTATGAGTGGGAGACCAAATTTTAAACTAATTACCTGCTTGAAGGCGATGGACAAGAACCATAGAGAGGTAGAATCCGACACCAAGGCCGGGCTGGAAGTATAGAAGTTGCGCTCCGGACTGTGTACTAGAGTAACCGGCTACAATGTTGAAATAAATGGCCATAAAGTAGAAGCAGATGCACAGGAGCATGCCAATAGCCATGGAAGTAGTACAAATGGCAGTTACGTTGTAGGTCTTGAAAATGTAAAGGGGTAACATCCGGACCGTGTGGGTGATGAGACGTGGAGGCTCCTTCGGTAGAACAATTTCTCCACCCGTAATTAAGGGAGCTGGATACGACTTCGTTGTCCCATCCGCATTGGGAGTGATTTCGTAACGCCCAAGATAGAGCTCCCAGGAGAGAAATACCAAAAGCAGGATGCCTCCAGCTACAAGAGTTATAATAACCCTACTCTGATCCCACCCGCGCGTCGATCCCCAGTTCAGCCCAAGTAGAATGAGGATGCTGGCAAAAACAAAGATTAATGAGCCTATCCAATCGATTTTAGAGAGCCGAAAAAGAAGGTTATGCCCATTTGGTCTGGCGCGTCCGGGAAGGTCATCACGAGGATCGTGCTGGGGCCCAGGAAGGTCATCTCGAAGGAGAAGGAAAACAAGAATCATGCTTGCAACGGAAATAGGCAGGTTAATGGCAAAGATCCAGCGGAACGAGACTGTAGATAGGGCTCCACCAATGACGGGTCCTACGGTGAACAAACAAGTTAGATGGAGCAGACAGTATGAACAAAGATGAACTGAGACCTGTAGAATAGCCAACAGAAAACAGCAGAGATATCATTATGGCGTGTATTGAACTTGATCGAATATTTTTGGTATCTGCGAAGATGACGCGTGTAGCCTGAGGTTGTTATATCCACCAGTGTTTCGAATATGAGAGCCCGGTGAGCTTACGGTCACAAGAGCAGCAGTTCCGACTCCGGATATTCCCCGTCCTGCCAAGAGCATTGGCATGTTTTGAGCCCCAGTCGAGAGAGCCGATCCAATCGCGAAGACAATCAGAGCGAATTGACTGTGCCGACCCGTTGGGATTAGATGGTGGGGGATATAATATATGCCTGAATAGGGCCTTACATAGTAGCATACCGCCCGAAAATATTCGTGAGGTTGGCGAACACAAGGAGGAAAGCGGTACTGGTGGCGGAATAGCTTGTTCCAACCCAGCTCTGTAAATGAACAGTGTTAAGCCAGAGTATAAGTGAAAGAAAAGGGCGTCTTTCACCTCCAAGTCCAAACTGTTAAATGCGGAAGCGATCTGAGGTTGGGCGCTAGCAACAACAGTGGCATCCAAGGTCTTAGTGTTCTGTCAGCGCGCCAATCACATGAAGTTGTGGAAGAATCTACCTCAAGAAAGATCGGGAAGAGTAAGGCAATCATCATTTTGATCAGAAGACGCCAGCGCTTCCAAAACCCTCTCAAACCTCCCAGCGGCTTAGGTTCATCCTTCTCGGGCGTACATCGTTGCTCTGATGACTGAGAATGGCCAGTGGCACTTGAGGGGGAACGAATTTCATGAGGTGGTGCGGTGATAGGCATGCCGCCAAGGTGTGGGTATGTTAGCTTGATGTCAAGGGGACATGCCACGCGATGCCGAGAGTCTTATGCAGTTGATCATGAGAAGAGTGCGCCAAGGTAAGCACTGCGGCGCAGTGAACCAATGCTCGGCAGGCTAACAATGGGCACAAAGAAGGATAACGCAGATCGCTAGTATCAGCAGGGACGTGGGATGAAAACTACATAGGACGTCCAAAAGCGGGAAGCTAGCTACACAACCGCAGATTATGACTGGATATAATAGGCTCCTATCTGACTATCGTTTGAATGAAGGCACAGCTAAGAATTCAGTAGATGAATGCTGGTGGTTGTATGAAGAAACGCTCTCGAAGCCAGGCTGTGTATCCGATCCTGATGCCACATCCGAATCCTCATCGGGCTCCTCTGTGACTTGTTACCGCTCGGCTGAGGCACGAGGCAGGTTACCGAAGGTATGGGAGCCGCCTCAGAGGACTCCAAGTATCTGGTGCTCTCGCCGAGCTGCAAAGGGGCCTAGATGCTCACTGCGTTCAACCCTACCGAGAGCTTGCAGCGATCTCACCCAGCTGCGGCAGCCGCTGAAGTACAGTACTGGTCATGGCTAGACCTATAATATATTATGTATCCGAAAAGTCCTTGATAATATAATAATTACATACCCTTCGCAGCCGATTGGCCTCCAAGCCTTTGCCTTATCTTTGCCCGGCATAACCAATCGTAGATACATTGGTTCGGATCTTGCATTCTCGAATCGAACTGCGAGCGCAGGTGCGTAGCCTAGCACCATTCAGCTCCACTCTGTGGGGACTAACATGATAGGTCACCCCGCCAGGAATGTCGCAGTTCAGTTCGGGTTCGAAGCATGCTGCATGCTGAGCTCAACTGCAATGACCCTTGTCCCACCAGACTATGAACCCCTCTACCACGGCTTCCCTATCTCCCTGCGTCATCGGTGGGAAGCCTTCAAGCTTTGTCTGCGATATTGTGCGGAGCTCGCTGAGCAGGTATTTGCGACGTCTTCGTCACCATTATGGCCCATGGCGTCCTCTTTGCTGCCATCATTTCCCTGAGGATTCATTCAGTGCCTTTTCTCGGTGGGTGAACTGTCCATTTACGCATCCTTTCTCTGTTCATTCTGAGAAAACAGCTCAGCCCCAACTTAGGCCCATAGGAGCCGGCCCCTCGACCCATTTGGCGTCCCCGGCCGTCCTTCCAGGCCTTTCATCAGACATTGTTTCGTGTGATACCTTCATTATGGTTGCAGTGGGTATAGTTTATGTACAGCAGATAGGTCCTAGTGATATCAGTTACTTAAATCTTGTTTCTCCCAATTGTCTCATTTGCTGGTACTTGCAACTGCCACTCATCATAGCGACACATTCGTTCCGAAGTTGTCTGAACGCAGTTTATCATGGTAGAGAAATATACGAACAACAATTTGGTATGTCGCCGCTTGGTACATATATTGGAGGATCCGTTAAAACATCGAATTCTTTTTAATAGTTATTTGCCAGCACTGGCCGACTGCGTGATTCTCAATTTCGTTGTGATCGCAGTACCGTCATCCAATGAGACCAAATTTTGAATCTAAATTTAACAAACTGGCAGCGCTATATCCGTTCCAAGCACACCTCGCGTCCTGCAAGTCCCACTGGAGGTGGGCCAGCGTGCGCATCTTACCGACGTCAGCTGGAGGTTTTGAGATACCCTATCCTATCGATTCTCATGTTGTATATCACGTCCACGAGCTCCGGACGTATTCGGAGACCTCGGCTCGATGCTCGTCACCTCGCGCAACGCTGACGCCTTGAGACTCATCATTCTTGTGTTCTTCAGTTGTTATATCTCCGCCAGTGTCCTCAGGCACCTGGACATCGTCCAGGAACAAGCATGGGAGTGCACCAATAGCAAGCCATGGTATAATCGAGTAGAAGGCCCAGCTTGTCCCATGTCCATACGCCTCCTGGACAAACGACTTAAGACGGGACGGGAGTTGGTCGATCCCGTACCCTTTTCCTTGGTCGAGAGAGCCCAGATTGCTCATGATGGTAATAGCGTCGGAGAGGGAGATTTGGTGCGTACTTTCGAGGTAGTTAATGTAGGAGCGAACTTTGGACTGGAGTACCGCGGATTGCTGAGCAAGGCCAATTGTTCCTCCTGCCATTACGAACTGTAAGATCCGTTCTTCTAAGTATGCATCTGATCTGAGGAAGACTGAGAATGAGCTCACGAAGAGGTTCATGGTGACCACGAGAATCGTATGTTTACTTGCAAGAGCGAACTGGGCAACCATGTCCGTAACCCCGAGCGTCATACCAATACTGATCCCACAAAGAACTTGGAAAACAATGATCTCCGACATGTAATTATTAGCTGTCGCCATTCCCAATAGCCCGGTACCAATAGGCTGAAGGAGTTGCCCAAACGCGACAGCGTATTTAGGCTGTCCACACAAGTCAGCGTCGTTTCCAGTGGGAGCCCACGCTTACTCACTTGCTTTAAACGTCGGGTAATGGCCATGGATAGGCAGAAACCGGGACCAAGACCGGTGTTGAACCACACAAGTTGTGTTCCAGCTCTCGCGCTCGAGTAACCAACAGCGATGTTGAAATAGATAGCGATAACGTACAGGCAACCAAACATTAACATCCCACCCGCCAAGCAGGCAATCGAAATGGCAGCTACATTGTACGCCTCGAAGATGTGAAGAGGTAACATGCGAACCGTATGGGTAACGAGACACGAAGGCTTCTTCGGTAGAACATGTTCCCCGCTTACAATTGAAGAGTCTGGGTTGAGGGAGGACCTTATTGTTCCATCTGCGTTGACAATAACCTCGTATCGTCCAAGATAGAGCTCCCAGGCGAGAAATGCAAGAACCAACATGCCTCCAGTCACGAGCGTCACAATGACCTTGCCTTGATTCCATTCCTGCGTCGATCCCCAGTTGAGACCGAGCAGAATAAGAAGGAGGGCAGAAACAAAGACGAATGAGCCTATCCAATCAACTTCGGAGAGTTGAACAAGGAATTTGTGCTTATTTGATTTGCGCGTCTCGAAAGGTCATCGCGTGGATCGTGCTGGGGGCCTCGAAGTTCGTTCCGAAGGAGGAGAAACACAAGAATCGAGCTCGCAACAGCAATAGGCAGGTTGATCGCAAAGATCCAGCGGAACGAGACTGAGACCAGAAGTCCACCAATGAGGGGTCCTATGGCAGGCACGTCAGCTCCATAGAGTAGACAGTATGATTGAAGCGGAAGTAAAACCTAGCGAATAACTAATGCAAAATAGCATCATTATCACAGCCATTGGCATTGCAGTGTTTCGTAAACCCAATATGTCAGTGAAAATGACGCGCGTTACCTGGTGTTTTCCACATTAATGAGTATTCCGAGGCGACCAGTAGAACGAAGAGTGTAGTTTACGAACAGTCAAGAGAGCAGCAGCCCCAACTCCGGAGATACCCCGACCTGCTAAGAGCATAGGCATGTTTTGAGCCGCGGTCGAGAGGGCTGATCCAATCGCGAAGATACTCAGCGCGAGTTGGCTGCACCAATTATTTTGGTCGTCGTCAGATGATGAGACGCTTGGCACTCATGTTTCGATAGAATCTTACATTACAGCATACCGCCCGAAAATATTCATGAGGTTCGCGAACACAGGGAGGAAAGAGGTGCTGGTAAGGATATAGCTCGTTCCGATCCAACTCTGTAAGTGGACAGTCTTGATGCAAAACAAATAAAGTGTAGGTCAAGGAACGCTCACTTGAAGGTCTAACCGGTTGAAGGAGGATGCTATTCGAGGCTGGGCGCTGGCGACGACAGTGTAGTCCAGAGCCTACGGTGCTGTGATCAGCGCATCGGTCGCACGGCGCGATACAAGGGTCTACCTCAAGCAAGATAGGGAAAAGCAGGGCAATCAAGAGTTTGATCTGAAGACGCCAACGATTCCAAAATCCTTTGAATCCCCTCAGAGGCTTGATCTCCTCACCCCTCTCGGGGGCATGCTGTCGCTCCAATAGCTGAGGAGGACCAATAGTTATCGAGGGAGAGCAGATCTCATCGGATGGTTTTGAGATGAGCATGTCGTAGAGCTTGTTGTGGACGCCGCCAGGGTTCAACACTCTTATGCAATGAACTAAAGCTTGCGAGGAGAACCCCGCTTCGAAATGCTGCGGCAGTCCAAACCACACGCAAACAACGGTGTGCAAATAAAGTATGGAGCAGAAATGAAAGCTGCGGGGGACATCCACAAGTAGAGAACCTCAAGAGCCATGCCTATGACCCAATTCAATGGGTTTATCAGGAAGTGGGAAGATGCGCAGTCACATCTAGCTTCTATGTATCAGTCTTTTCAAATTCGGAACCAGTTGTTTCCACTTAAGTAAGTGAATGGTGATGTCTTCATTTGGAGCCCCACACTGGACCAAAAAAGGGGAATGATTGAGTACCGTTATCACATCCGTTACACTTCAGAGAAACAGCACATGATCGAATCCAAAGAACCCACCACAAACGCACGTTGGCAAGCGGTCATATTTTGGGACAAGCGACGTCGGCTGGAGACCTCGAGATGTTCCGTCTACCTGCTTGATAGCTTCGTTCATGTATTCTGCGCATCGCCCCCGATCCCAACCCCCGGTCCCAGCTCGATTTCATCGCTCTACTCATGCGTAGTGCCCCGAGGATGATCTTCCCTGCGTTTCTCGATTGTTGAATTTCCTTCAGTGACCCCAGACAAAGGTATTGTATCCAGGAATAGGCAGGGGAGTGCACCAACGATAAGCCATGGTATAATCGAGTAAAATGCCCATTTAGTACCATATCGGTACGCGTCCTGGACGAATGACTTGAGCTCAGATGGAAGGTGGTCAATTCCCCCTTCGTCTGCTCGACCAATGGAACCCAGGCTACGAGCGATGGCAAGTGCGTCAGACGAGGAGATTTGGTGGGTAATTAGGAGGTTGCTGATGTAGGAGCGAACTTTGGTCTCGAGTACTGCAGATTGTTGAGCAAGGCCAATCGTTCCTCCCGCCAATAGGAACTACAGGATCGATTGCTTAAGTATGCATTTGGTCGGAAGTAGGGGAGAGGGCTTACGAAGAGGTTTATGGTCACCGAAATAGCTGTATGTTGATCTGCGAGAGCAAAACGTGCAACCATCTCGGCAGTTCCAATTGTCATGCCGACACTGATCCCGCAAACTGCCAGGAAGCCGCTAATCTGCGGCTTACTGTTATTGCTCATTGCCATTGCCAAAAGTCCAATACCAATGGGCTGAAGGTGTTGTCCAATTACAACAGCGTATTTAGGCTGAGGCATAAATGTTAGCTCTGGTGTTGCAGCGGGAAATTGAGTTTAACTACCTGTTTGAAGCGTCGGATAATAACCATCGCTATGTAGAATCCGGTCCCGAGGCCTGGGGTAAAGTATAGAAGCTGCGCTCCGGATCTCGTGCTGGAGTAACCGGCCGCAATGTTGAAGTAGATGGCGATAAAGTACAAGCAACCGAACAAGAGCATTCCACCAGCAAAAGATGCAATAGAGATAGTGGATACATTGTAGGTCTTGAAAATGTAAAGGGGTAACATGCGAACCGTGTGGAAGATGAGACGTGGAGGCTCCTTCGGTAAAACACCCTCCCCATCTGCAGTTGAAGAATCCGGGTTGAAGGGTGCCCTTATTGTTCCATCCGCATTAAGAGTGATCTCGTATCGCCCAAGGTAGAATTCCCAGGTGAGAAATACAAGAAACAGTATGCCTCCAATTACGAGAGCCGCGATGACCTTGGCTTGATTCCATTCGCGAGTCGATCCCCAGTTCAGGCCGAGAAGAACAAGGATGAGGGCAGAAACACAGATGAATGAGCCTATCCAATCAACTTTGGAGAGCCGAACTAGGAATCTGTACCGATTTGGTCTGGCACGTCCGGGAAGGTCATCACGAGGATCGTGCTGGGGTCCTCGAAGCTCGTTCCGAACAAAGAGGAAGCAAAGAATCAAGCTCGCAGCACAAATGGGAAGGTTAATGGCGAAGATCCAGCGGAAGGAGACTGAAGCCAGGAATCCACCAATAAGGGGTCCTATGACATGCAAGTCAGCTGCGTGGGGAAATTGCAGGAACGAAAAGAAACAGAGACGTGCCGATGGAATAACCAACAGCAAATAGCAGGGATAGCATGGTTGTTTGTATAGCATTGGTTTGAAGGTTCCGATTATCTGCAAAAATGACGCGTGTTACCTGTGGTTTGCCAAACCAATGAGTGTCCTGATGCTAAAATGGAAGATTGGGGTATACTCACGGTCAAGAGCGCAGCGGCTCCGACTCCGGATATCCCTCGACCTGCTAGAAGCATGGGCATACTTTGAGCCGCAGTCGAGAGGATCGATCCGATGGCGAAGACGATGAGGGCAAATTGACTGTATTGGTTCATCCATCATCGTCAGATGGCGAGATACGTAATACGCGGAAGAGAACTCACATAGTGCCATACCGCCCAAATATATTTGTGATGTTGGCGAATACAGGGAGGAAAGAGGTGCTGGTGATGACATAACTTGTTCCAACCCAACTCTATGGGAAAATCTCAAACCAGAACGTGCAAAATGCAAGCCAAGGAACGCTCACCTGAAGGTTCAACCGGTTGAACGAAGATGCTATTTGGGGCTGGGCGCTAGCAACGACAGTATAGTCCAAAGTCTAAGGTACTCCATATTAGTGCAACGACCACGGGATGTGAGACAAAAGTCCACCTCAAGCAGGATAGGGAAGAGCAGAGCAAGCATAAGTTTGATCAGAAGGCCCCAGCGACTCCAAAATTTCCTGAATCCTCGCGGCTCTCTTTCCTCTTCCATGTGCTGCTGCTCTGCTGGTTGAGTGGTTATCGGGGGAGAGTAAGTCTCATACGATGATTTGTAGTGGACATGCGATTAGGGGTATGATGAATATATCGACTTGGTGGCAAAGTGGTATAGACGGGTTCCCTAGGACTCTTATAGTGCGAGGATGTGCTATCCCCCTGAAACGCTGCGGCTCAGTCACGGGAAACTGCAGGCCAAAGGGATACGAAGGAAGGGTAAAGTCGTGCGTAGAAGGCAAGGACGTAATTGTGAAAACTACGGAGGTCGCCTAAAGCGGGGCCTCAGGAGTCACTATGCACCTAGAAAACGAGAAATGACTGCGCCCAGTTACGCAGCTGTCAACTAGGGACCCCTGGCGCGCGGTGTCACTGCTTCGGCTTGATTGGGTCATATTCGCATCCCCCGTTACCTAAGTAAATTTCTTTCGGTGGTGAGTATTGGCACCACTTACATAATTGTTGTGCACGGACATCTTTCACCAAGATTATCCACCATTTCCTTTCTTGGGACCCACAACGATGGGCTCAGTCATGGATGGCTTATGTAAAAGCCACCTCGACGAATTTTTCTCTCCTTTCGCATATCGGGAACTGAAGTGAGATAGCTTTCTTGCTTGAAGCGTGCAATTATTCACACACATCTTGTACATATTTTCCTAGTGCTTAATATTTCCATCGCTTGACCATTATTCCAGTCACCAAGGCCGAAACGGCCATCCTAGATCAGTGCCAATACTCCTGCCCATGTAATGCAACCGCGATGCCACTGGAGGGGTCTGTTGATAAATTGGAGAAGCATGTGATGGGAGTGTGGCAGTGATCCTGAGCACGCAGAGTTGCTGACCTCCAACAACGCACTTTATCGGCACTTCATGGCAGGCCTTAAGAGTGAGCATTAGTGCTACTGCGCGTGGCCCCCACTGAGAAACAACTTTAGCCGTAATTTTGCTTTCATTTGTTCTGGCGTTTGGTTTTCTGTCCCTCATCCTATCGTGCGCGCTCTGGAACAACTGGCTTCCAATATTAGTGGGTATGTGACCTTTCCACCGTGGAATCCACATGGATTCTGTCTTAATCTGTCCCATCTTACCAACAATTTGGGCGCCGTCGACTTCACGCAGCGCTTATATTCTTCCTGGCGCCCTTTCCGAATGCTCTCGCCTCAGCATGCACCCGGTCATCCGACTTTTCCGCCGAATATGATAACACATCCCCCATCATTGATTTTGGCAGGTTTACTACCTCCATTATGGTAGCCACTGGATTTGCACTGCCTATCGTCCTGGCACACTCCCAAATCATCCACCCATGGGCCTCTTTCATGTCAATATTCGGCGGTGCACTGGTGTACGGGACAATTATGGCATATGCTGCAGTATTCAAACAAGACAACGATGAGTTCTGAGTCATCATGGAGCCTGGGCGTTGTTCAATATATATATATTCTGCTCGCGCGCCCGCGGTTTGACTGTATTCTTCCCGGCAGATAGCAGTGTATAACTGCATGTATGTATTGAGTGCTCCCCCAAGGACAAACACAATTGTGTCATGGGCTAAAAGGGTTGGCACTATCTAAGCCATCGGTAGGCGTGCGACGTATGGTGCTTCTTAGAGGTGTGTCGATGAACGGAAGATATCGTGTGAAATGCATAATAATACAACCTTGGAATAAGTCATCCTAAACCTGTTTCCTGAGAGTCCGATGCTGCTTCCCCGCTAGCTTGCAATTCTTCGAGTTTCCGTCGCTTCCGTTCAAGATAGCGCTCTCTAGCGCTGATAACCGCCTCATCATCATTTTTTCTTTTCACCACACGCTCTCTCGCTTCTTGCTCCCGTTCTTTCTTCGCTTGCGCGACCCTCTCTTTCTCCTCCTCAAGCTGAGATTCGATGAGGCGTTGCTGCCGCTCCCGAATCTCCCGTTTAGTAGCGGCTGATCCAACTGCTGTATGCGTGTTTATGGGCTCGTCAGTGGCCTTCTTGGTGCGTGAAGAAAGCAGCCCCCCGAGCCGTCGAGTATTAACGCCACTCAAGTTTAAACCAGCAGATAGAAGCTCTCGCCTATCGACAATCTGGCTATCATCGTTGAGCTCAACCTCTTTCCCTTCGTCGCGCGCGAGCTGAGCAAGAAGGGCATCTGACTTAGCAGCCGGTTTGAGAGGTTTTGTGATGGTGAGGTTGGCAGGTACATCAGGAAATGTGGGTCCTTTGACTGTGGTTGCTGCCACTGAGGCTGCGTGCTCCTCTTCAGACTGTTGCAGAAGCTGAGCGTAGAAATGTGTCATGCCCCCCGCGCCTCGCTTGGTACGCTCTTGTTCTGTGAATTTCTGGGTGAGAATCGTTTGATGGTGAAGCAGGAGTCTCACTCACCTTCTCGCTCCTTTTCCTCCTTCTCTGCCTGCCTTACCATTTCCATTTGCTCCTTGTATGCCTGAGTTACATATCTTTCTTTGTCGGCGTACATGTCGCCTTCTTGCTCACGTTCTCGCTGAATCATAACTTCTTCTGCACGTATACGATCGAGTCTTCGAGTTTCTGCAGATGCCAGTAAAGAGCCAATATATTTGGGCTTTGAAAAAGAGTAAGAGTCGCATCCCATGAAATAAGGGAAATGATGTGCGCACTTTACGCTCAGAATCCTCTGATACCTTCGCTGCCTTTGATTTGGCTTGAGCCTCCTTCATTTGATCGTACACCTCGTCATATTCGTATACAGTCGGGTCGATAGAAATCTCTTTCTCCATCTTCTTCTTAACAGCCCGGTTAGGGCTGCCATTTGTAGCAGATGCTGAGACGCTGCGAGCCGCGAGGTGTCGATTCACATCTAGCATTGCGGGCCGAGAGTCCAGAGCGGTTGGAGCAGCATCAGTGACGTCGTCATCCTCAAAAGAGCCGAAGACAGGTGCCTTCCGCGTAAGGGGTGCAGGAGCGGCTCCTCCCTTTGGTTTTGGCTTGCCAAGGGCGAAGGAGAGTTTCGTTGACATGTTGCTCCTTGTTTGGGTCGGCGCCGATGTACTCCTGATTTGACCAGTGGCATCGTGGTTAACTCAAACTAATGGCGTCCCGGCCACCCGCAACAACCAACCCGACGCCGACACCAACACCAACACCAACGCCCACCTCGATCGCCGGAGCATCTCCCACTGCTTCGTCACCATGGCCACCGAAGCCGACAGCAGGCGTAAATCCCAACATACCAACCCTGGTTCCTCGCTCTCAACCTCCTCCGCCACTCCCTCCAGCTTCTTTCTATGGCTCGACCAATCAACCGCGCTACTCCTCCCCTGCTTTCCATCTTGCCCTTCCTCCAGCGACTCAAACTCACTTCCAAGCGTACGTGCCACCAATTCAGACCCAAACTCCCACCATCGCTGGCACGGCGCCAGGATCTACTCCTGCTGGTACGCCTGTGCAGCAAGCTAGAGCGGTTCCTCCGGGAGCACGAAGGGGGCAGTCGCTTAGAGGGATATTTACGAGAGAATGTAGGACAACTGCTTATTTATCAATTCCTGTTCTTCTACTGAAGTCCTATGCGGCAACCCATGCAGTGAGGGCGTTAATGTTTGCTTTCGGTGACGACGCGAGTCCAGCTCCGGATTCAGTCAATGTAATGGAGGAGATTGTTATAGAGTTTATAGAACAGCTGGCGAGTATCCAACCCACCCGCAGTTACATGAACGTTTTTTTTTACATGTCGAACTCTCCAGTGTACAACCGCGGTGCGAGGGCAAGCAAAACCCAAGCTGACTGCCGATGCCCTAAAGTATGCACTGGATCGGCCGGCGGATGCTGCCAAACTTGGTCGCTTGCACGATCTCATATACCATCAAAAGACATTAGCGGAGGCGAGAAGCATGTTCAAGGTTTGATTATGTATGACATGCTTTATGTCATTCCATATAATGTGCTTGGGACCGTAAGAGTAAAGTTCAAACAGCGAAGTTGAGGGTGAGCGAACTCAACATAACAGATCTCATTCTTCCATCGCACCGTTCGCCTGTTCATCCTGTTCTCCGCCCCTCCCTTTCTTGACCTCCAGGGCTCTTTGACCCTGTTCCGATGCTTTGGACAGGTCTGGCATAAGTTTTGAGCCATTCTTCTGACTCCCAAACTGTAATCACATTATTCGTCAACTCGAGTACGAACACAGAGTGGATCCACTCACTGGCCCGCCCGAATGCTGGAGTCTGAGCAAGAGCCCCTTTTTGGGGGCGAGCAAGATTGACCCGAATTACCCTGCCACTGGAAGGAGCGTGAAAGCTGAGCCAGCAGCCGGACGTACCATCGCACTTGCCTGAACACATTCAAATCCATATTATCAATTGCATCTTGCGCGTCAAGGGCATTAGAATATGTAATGAATGCATATCCTCGATGTGGCCCGGGAGCTAACTGGGCGCTGTCTGTAAGCGGCGCGTTCGAAGCAAGTGATGTTTGAACATGCCGTTTGGGTTCTCCCGGTTGTCAGATGATGCGGTGGGGATCTGTATATCGATGATGTCTCCGAAAGTTGAAAAAGCGTTTATCAGCGCTTCTTGATCGGCCTCTTCACTCAATCCACCGATGAAAATGGTCTTTTTGCTTTTTGCGCCGTCCTCCATGTTTGCGATCAGTCGGGTCACGTGCGATCGCTGCACCTCATTCAATCCTCGGACCCGATGAAACTACTTAGTTAGATTTAGAGGGAATCCGGGCGATCGTGCGGAATGTTTCGCTGCTGCATGTTCATCTACGCTTCCCAGTTCTGAAAGAGTTGGTCGATTAAACCAACCTCAACAGAAGTTTAGGTTGAACGAATCGCGTGGAAATTAGGAAATTGATTGCGACTCCCATCCTCGACGCTGCTAAAAGACAGGGCCCGATCTCAATCCTTACCCTCGGTGGGTGTGCTTTATTTTGCAATAGGCGCCACCAATAGAATAACGATCTCCAGTGAAAGCCTTCGCTAGAGAACTATCAATTGGCCAGTATCTTCATTTTGGCCCCAAATGTCTTTCAAAGGCAATGATTCCAACTCATCGCTTGTAGATGAAGTTCACCAATCCTCTTGTTATTAGGTCAACGTAAACCCAAGCGGCATCATGCTGCCCAGCGACCACCGATACGGTACATTTTAGATTGTGTCGAAATCCCCCAGCGGCCTGAATTGAGACCTATTGGGAAGGAAGTTGCGGCATCATCCGCACTGAATCCACAGCTCCTGACGCCGCCCTCTTCCCAAACAAGAACTTCAACAGCTCCGCCAACAAAGGTTGCCCGTCGCTCATCGAAACGAAAATCTCCCGTCGGTCGTCCCTCACTCTTGTCTCCCCAGACACCATCACCACCTAGTTTGAAGAGGGGAAAGCAGGCACCGAGAAGGAGCGGGCTTCCGATCTGGAAAATTTGCCCAGTTGTAACCGAGTTAGAAGATTGTCTGGATGGATCGTGTTGGATGGTACCGGAGGACAGCGCTATTTTCTTCTTGGATTCAAGCCCATTCGGGAGCGACTTTCCACTAGCTCCCTTGGATGAATGATGAGGGATGGTGGACGTCCATTGTTTGACCCTAGCCAAATGTTATGCACATGTATCTGGGTGCTTATCAAGAGTATTATGTAATGACAAATAGGCGCCGAGCCTGTGCAATGTGATTGGGTCAAGTGTACCGTGACTCCGCTTGTAGCTAACGGAATAATATGCGTGTTTCGCGATAAACACTAATATAGCATTACAGATTATTCGCCGGATTACTAGTATGGTGACGGGGAAGGAAGTCCAGTTTCCTCTGCTTGCAGGGAATTAGATTCTATCATGATGCCCACACCAACTTTTGACGTCGTCTAATAAATGAAAAAGATTAATTCGGGGGGCGTTGGATTGTCAAAGAACACACCTTGACATGGTCAATTTCGCCAGCTACAAGGAACGCAAATGTTGGTGCGAGCTGTTGCTCAAGCAAGGCAGAAACCTTGCCAGATGAGTCAAGCTGAGCGCGGAAAGTTGCCGTTCTTAAATTGTATCTGGCGCCTACGGTTGCGACGGCATCGCGTCGGAAGGGGGATACTATCACTTGCAGATCTGCTGCTACCTCAAGTTTCTCTCCAAGCTTGTGCCAGTATGTCGCTTGCAGAATACCAGCAGGCTGCAATTGAGCGGTAGCAATCCATTCTTTAGCAGCATATTTGGCGAGAAAGGACGTGCTGAAATCGGACGGTTGTCCGGGGAGTAATGCGGAATGATAGAGAGTTTCACAGCCGAGAGCAAGGTTTTTGGTCACGGACTGCAAATAACTCCCGACATAAAGTCCACTAAGGTCGGTTGGGGATGGGTTCACGGTTTTAAGATTCCAACTGTAGTCCGAGCCTTGGTGATCCTGCTCAACTTGCAGCATGCTGTGGCCAACTGGGGAGCTCGCAATCTGGGAAGGTTTTAGGTCGTTTGCGTAAACCAATCAAACGAACTGACTTGGGCCTGCATTTTAGTGACACTTGACGGCGTCCACCCATAATTAAACCGCGAAGAAATGTTCCCTTCGTGGTCAACGTTGCCTTGCATGAACACCTGTAAATATGACTTTAAAGTGGACGAGGACATTGAATGACGGAGCAAATTTACCTTGTTGCTGGCAAAGATTGCGCCAAAGTTGTACTGGGAGGGGTTGGTTTGGGAGGCAAGTGAAAAGGAATGGGTAACTTGGAAAGCAGGGTTCATCGACAACCCCTTTGTAAGGTCCGCACGAGCCCCATCAAATATGAAGTTGGTGAGATGAGTACCTGCACATTCTGTGAGAAATGGACTTGGACAAACAGGTGCACAACCCACTTTTCACCTCTTTTTGGAGATCCTCTATTTTTCCAGGATTTGTCAAACCCAGTGTATTTTTCCGCCACGACATGAAGCGTGAATATCTGCCAGGAGCAATGTCAAGCTCTAAAGGTGGTTGAGGCGACAAATAAGGTCGCGAACCTGAACGTGATGGGAGACGCCCATGTCCACAATCTCGACGAAGACGTGGGAGCATCAACCGAAGGAGGCTGATCATGCAGCGGAACGCCCGCTTTTTCGTAGGGAATGGACAAAGAAGACATGCCGATTTCACCCTGACCCAGTGCGAGCGGAGGAAATTTCGCGGGGATAGCCGGACACCTGTCTTGGATCCGTCGCGACACGCCTGGTGGCCACTCGTGTTTGCCTGCACACATCCCTCGCACACGCAATCGAGTCATCAGGAGAGCACCCGATACCCTTTAGAATACACTAGACATCATCATGGCGTCGACAAACAACATCAAGGTCGTTTGCCGGTGCGTTCTGCTGCTAGCGTGGACGCGCCAATCAGTATGCTCATCAGCGCGTGTCTATTCTTTCGAAATTCTGTTGAAATGATCATAAAAGGTTTCGGCCACCAAATGCCATGGAGTCTCGCGAAGGGAGTGAGATCGTCGTATCCTTCGATAGCAACCTGCGAAGTGTACAGATGAAGTCTGCCTTGCTCAGCACTGGGCCCGAGAAGGATGGATTCACTTTCGATCGGGTTTTCCCCATGGAAACCAGGCAGTATGAAATTTTTGACTATGGCGTGCAAGGGTATGTTATCCAACCCGACGATTCCCATGCTGTGACTTGATTCTCACCATCCTCAGGATTGTCAAAGGTGCGCATTTCCTGGGCGCATGTGGCACATGCATTCTAAAATTGGTCGAATTATTTAAGATGTCCTTGATGGCTACAACGGAACGGTATTTGCGTATGGCCAAACCGGATCTGGGAAGACGTTCACCATGATGGTATGGGATGCCACACAAATCATTAGAATCGCCTGAAACAATGCCTTTAGGGTGCGGACATCGACGATCCGGAATTAGCAGGAATTATTCCTCGTATTACCGAGCAGATCTTTACGTCCATCATTGAGTCCGATGCCAGTATCGAATATCTTGTCAAAGTATCTTATATGGAAATATACATGGAGCGAATACGGGATTTATTAGCTCGTAAGCTGCCAATGCCTTCCCCCTCCAACATTGATACAGGACTTCTAATGCGTATTAAAGCCGCCAACGACAACCTTCAGATTCACGAGGAGAAATCAAAAGGCGTTTACGTTAAAGGACTCTCGGACTACTATGTTGGCAGTGCTAAAGAGGTCTATGAAATCATGAGACAGGGTGCTTCGTCACGCATGGTCACTGCAACGAGTAAAGCGCTTCGCCCGTATCCACGCCACAGTTCAGTTGCTCAAGGACTTCTAATTAGATATGAACGCCGAAAGCTCACGGTCGCACTCCATCTTCCTAATTGCGATCAATCAACGAAATACAGAGTCTGGCGCCCAGAAAACTGGAAATTTATACCTCGTAGACTTGGCTGGTTCCGAGAAAGTCGGCAAGACTGGGGCATCAGGGCAGACTCTTGAAGAGGCGAAAAAAATCAACAAATCCTTGTCAGCCCTTGGGATGGTCATCAACTCATTAACGGACGGAAAAGTAAACATATTTGTCATACTTCGCTGTCTGAAATACTCACACTAACCTCCAGTCAACGCACATCCCATACCGGGATTCTAAACTTACTCGTATTCTTCAAGAGTCTTTGGGAGGGAACTCAAGGACTACCCTCATCATTAACTGCTCCCCTTGTGCTTTCAACGAGGCAGAGACTCTCAGCACTTTGCGGTTTGGCATGCGCGCTAAGACTATCAAGAACACTGCTCGTATCAATGCTGAACTCTCCCCTCTTGAGCTAAAGAATCTCTTGAAGAAAGCTCAACTCTCCAACTCTTCATATCAAACCTATATTACCGCGCTTGAAGCGGAGCTTGCTGTCTGGCGTTCGGGGGGCTCCGTTGAACAAGGCAAGTGGGCCAACCCCGAGAACGCCAGGGTCATCGGCGGCGGAAAGAAGGCTGGTACAACGTCATCCACCCCTTCATCATCTTCTTCTCCACGGCCTGCTACGCCCGTGAATCCTCTAATTGACAGTCTGCGTTCCGAAATGATTGACAGCCGTCCTCAGACGCCCACAGTGGTGGGGCTGGACAAAGATGAACGGGACGAGTTCTTGAAGCGGGAAAATGAGTTGACTGATCAATTGGCAGAAAAGGTAACCCTTTGTGCTTCTTCCCACCTCGTTCGGTGCCGACCCCACTTGACCTCTAGGAAGCTTCTTTGGCGGCTTCGCAAAAACTTATTGCCGAGATCCGGGAGGAGCTTACGTTTATCAAAGAACAAGATTCCTCGTTGTCAAGGGTGCGCATTTTCTGCTAGCCGCAATGTCCCTCGTTCGCCACTCGTCTGAAATGCCCTAACTTTGCAGGAGAATGAGGCAATGTCCGCTCAGCTCAACGAGCTTCGGATGCAGATAGAGCGATTGGACTACGAAAACAAAGAAGGCGTTATTACTGCGGATATCCTTAAGGAGCAGAATGCGGATCTCTCGAATGAGCTCGAAGAGCTCAAGAAAACGATTCAAGAATTACGGTCCACGCAGAAGGATCCGTCAGCGGAGGACAAGGAAAGAAAGAAGGCCGAGAAGATGGCACAAATGATGGCACAATTCGACTCGGTATAATCTTCGCCACGTTCTTCTGTCTGTACTGTGACTAATGCTGTCTCCTTGAATAGCAGGGCTTTTTCTCGGACAAAGACGATGCCCTTCGCGACACATTGGCCAAGTTGGACTCAATCGAATCTGATGATGCCGTCACGAAACTCACTGCTGATGACATCACCACACTAAGACGCCAGCTTGTTGAGAGCCAAATTCTTGTTCGGGACACATCTGATCGCCTTCGACAGACTCAAGAAGAAGGGGAGCTTGTGAATCGCCGAAGAGATGAATTAGAGCAGCGATTGTCTACCCTGGAAACCGAGTATGAGGAATTACTGGAGAAGACAATTCGTGAAGAGGAGGCCATGAATACAGATATTGCAGACTCAATGGCTGATCTGAAGGTCCGTCCCGCGGCGCTGGTTTTTATGGTTACGAATCTTTTATCTCGTTCAACCCTTTTAGGCCAAGCTGGAGGTCCAGTATACTGCTAAACGGGAAGCGCATGCAAGCGAAGTCCAAGATCTCAAGCAGCAGATCGAACAGAAGAATGTTGAAATCCGTGGGCTGAATTCATCCCTCGATGGATTAAAAAGTGTTAACGAGGAACTGAAGGTATTCATTGGCGCATGTCGTTGCCCACTCGAGTTACTCAACTTCACACACAATCTAGCGCGCATTTGCTGTGACATCCGCTGGTATTGAGGGTGGAAAAAACCTCGCTGAAAGTGCCAAAGATTTGGAGCGAGCCAGAAAAGCGATTACCGTCCAGCTTACCGAATTTGAGGGTGTCAAGAGATCGTTGATGCGTGACTTGCAGAACCGTTGCGAAAAGGTCAGTTCAAGATGGCAAATTAGCTCCTCCCAGGGTCACTTTCAATTGGTTCCATAATAGGTCGTTGAGCTTGAAATTCAACTGGACGAAATCAAGGAACAGTATAACAACGTGATACGCAACAGCAACAGCAAGGCACAACAGAAGAAGATGGTATTCCTGGAACGTAATCTGGAGCAGCTGACCATCGTACAGAAACAGCTGGTTGATCAAAACTCAGCATTGAAGAAGGAGGCAGGTATTGCTGAGCGTAAACTGCTTGCGCGCAACGAACGAATCCACAATCTTGAGGCTTTGCTCCAAGAAGCTGACCGTCGGCTCGCAGCACAAAACCACAAGTTTGAAGCTCAGCTCCAGATAGTGAAGCAGCGACTGGAAGAAGCTCGGGGTAAATTACCTTTTCTGGCAAGCGAGATCATCGGGACGCTTCTAACCGAGATATATTGCAATATTTCCCTTTATAGCCAATGCAGCGAACAAGCCTTCAACAACGTCGTCCCTCAGCTTTGGTCGTATTGCCAAGCCATTACGGGGAGGGGGAGGAGCTGCCCCAGTGCCATCACCAGCTACTGGGCAGGGATCCTTCTTGTCGTCCAATCCGAATAGTCCCCTGGGACGACTGCAGTCTGAGGAGAGGTACGTGACGTTTCAAGTTTGAATCGACTTATTGATCACAATGATTTTTCGGTCCGGTATTTTCTACCTTGCAGCGGCTCATGTGGGTTTTTCCCATACTCTTCTTCTACTAACAGCCCTGACACCCTCAATTCCCCAGCAAAACGCACGTCGTGGTTTTTCAGCAATGCTCGTTAGAGGCATGCGCCCCATTTTGTCAGTGATTTATATATACCAGTGCACACTTTTTGCCACTCGTCTCCTGCTACTTACGTCCTCCTTCCATATAATAATGATTCGCCATATTTGTGTTTAGTATTCCATGAGCCTCCTATTCTACAACCCTGAACTCAGTGAGAAATTAGTGCTCGTCGGGGCGGTTACCAGTGCGTTGGGTGCGAAAGTTTGAGAAATCCCGCCATGAACTTGAATCCGAGCACGGCAGCTTTGGGCCATTTCATCAGACCCTTCCTTTGCCTTCTCCATTCTTCCCTCCCCATCCACTCCCTTGTTCACTTGGACGCGTCCTGACTCGTGCAACTTGCTGTCTCCCTCATTCCCCATCGCTCTGGCGCTAAATCGTCTTGTTTATCTAGTCCTCTTTTTAACCGTTATTTTCGCCCAAGTCTAGCTTCACAGGCGACCCTGTTGCGTTAACACAGCGCAGAAGGTGTCTTCTAGTTAATTGGAGGTATGTCACTTATCGTTGGCAATGGTGACGAGCCAAAAGGCTCATGTGTGAATTTCACTTTTTTTGTAAGCGACGTTTTCGGCGAATGCATTCCACTCGTACTCCTATGAGAACGTCCCCAGCGTCGGTTGGTCGTTCATCCCGAGCAGTCTCACCGGATCCGGCGGTAAGTGGTCCCCACACATGCCCCTAAGCCGTCCCTTTATTCGTCAACATAGGTTTACAGCCGTGCGCTGACTCCTAGCATCAATATTCAACGTGCCTCTGGCCCTTCCCCCAGCGGGGGGCAAGGGGGCAACAATGCATGGCAGGTTAGTGTTGCTTTCCCACCAATTACACCGTGTTCCGTGCCACAGATCTGGTTCTACTCCAAATAACATGCCGTCATGCTTTTGCAGCAATGGCCCCGAGTTATGCCCTTATCTACTCCCGCATCGCCTTCAAGAACTTCTGCCCCCCTCCCACCCACTGGAATGTCGGGATCCCCCTTCACATCTAGTGGTTGGCGTCCAATTGTTTCCACTTCCGGCGATGGGAAATCAAGCAGCGAAAAACAAGTGCCTAATGATTTGCAAGTTAATACAAACCTAGTTCGTCCGTTTCGAAATCTTTCTCTGGTACGTGCTTCATGTGCCTTCCTCGATATTTTCCCCTCATTGATGCCCCTGCCTTTATAGGAGCGCCCGACTTCAAAAGGGAATCCTCATTTGAATTTTCAGCACATTGGACACGAGCAAGCAGCAGCGAAAGGAATGACACTCTCACGTCGCGATGATTCAACTGGAAGAAGAGTTGTCAGTGACTCTGATGCCCGAGGGGGCCTGGACAACACACGCATTGACGACAAATTACTTTCGCTTTCACCTGCCCCAGCTGTTTTCCCCAGTATAAATGGTCCTTACACTCCGCCCTCCTCACACACAAACATCCATTCCCGTGACTCTCCAGTTCCCCAAGCCATCGGGCTGCCAGTCGGTGGTCCAACCAATACGGTGGATCTATCACATGCAATCTTGGCTGCGCCACTCGTGAATATGATGCCCAGGGTAGGGTTTCCGCCTCCAGCTCAAGTCGAGATGCCCCAGGCTCATTTCCTCGGCCCAACCATCGCTCCGCCACTGCTTCCAGAAGCATATGGGGTGTCTCAGAACGTAGCACCTCAGCACTCGCTCGGGCCGTCCAACCATCTGATGTTTAATTCTAGTGGTCATCCCAGTCTGGTAAATCGTTACGGCCCACCTCAGGAGCCGAGTCCTTCGCGGGTCCCCCTATTTTATCCAGACTTTAATTCTGCAACCAGCCCTCCATTCTTTTATCCCCCACCCCCTAATGTGTTATTTCAGACGCCGACTGTGCCGGTCCCCAACTTGCTGGGTACAGCAATTGAGCGACAAGGGTCCGTAAATAGGAAGCAATCTGTGAGTAGACTTGCCGCGAACCATCCCTCGTCACCAGATTACCTTTTGATTCACCGCTGATCAATTGTTCAACGTCTTTCAGTTCGTCCAGAACATCTCTAATAATGCGTACCACAACATTGTTCTTCCTTCCCCAACCCCGTTTTCTTCCTATCTACCCCACCAAGGACGTGATTCTTCCGTCCAACCACCAATGCCTACAACCAATGGGCAGTCCCAGACAGTTCTACAGTCGCATAGACATGGGGTGGTTGACTCTAGGCACAGACGTGCCTTCAGTGCCAATGCCCAACTTGGCTCCGCCCGTGGACCGAGCAGCCAACTGCTAGAGGACTTTCGAGCAACCCGGTTCCGACCGTGGTCACTGAAGGTAGTCCCGAGTATTCAATCTAGCAATGCTCGTGTCTCATCCCCGCTTAGGACGTAAAGGGTCATATTGTGGAATTCAGCATGGACCAACAAGGCTCGCGCTTTATTCAAACAGCTTTAGATGCATCCTCAGCTGAGGAACGGCGGGTGGTTTTTGACGAGATACATCCAAAACACACTCTAAATCTTATCACAGATATATATGGGAATTATGTAAGTTGGTCCTCAATTTCGTTCTTTGTCTATCTTATTAAGGGTTGGTTTCGTCGGCTTCAAATCCAGGTTGTCCAGAAGTTCATCGAAAGAGGGACGCCAACACAAAAAAATTTGGTCGTCGGCGCAATGGAAACCAAGATCGCCAAACTCTCTACGCAGACCTATGGATGCCGTGTAGTTCAAAAGGTGGCGTGGGCGTGGAATTGTGCCCCAAATTTTACTAAAGACTCACACCGCTGCATAAGGCCATTGAGTGTGTCGCGACTGAACAGCAGGATCAATTTATTCGAGAGCTCAATGGATTCATTATTCCAATAACGAAGGATTCGCACGGGAATCATGTAAGCGAGCAAATCATAATTTCGGTTGCAGGTTGACCCTCGACACAGGTGATCCAAAAATTGATTGAACGAGTCGATCCTGAACGTTTCCCCTTCCTTGAGACTTTCAGGCTTCACGCATTCGAACTCGCCAGTCATCCCTATGGGTGCCGAGTGCTCCAACGTTGCTTCGAGTTTCTCTCTTGCATTTCACGCGCGCCTCTCTCAGAACAGCTCGTCAGGCACGCCCCTGAGCTGGCCACAGATCAATTTGGTGTAAGTGTGCCGTCCTCTTTCTCTTTGCTCGCAGGAGGGCTCACGCCCTGTTGGATAGAATTACGTCATTCAGTTTGTCCTAGAAACTGGCGATCCAGGTGAACGTGCTGCCATAATTAGTCGCATGAAGGGGCGAACTATTGAGCTCTCAAAGCATAAGTTTGCGTCGAATGTTGTCGAGACAGCCTTACGGAAGGCCAGTTCTTCGGACCGACAGGATATCATTGCAGAGATCATGACAGCTACTCCAGACGGAGACAGCCCGATCACGGCCATGGTGAGGGATGCATACGCGAGTATGTCAATCCCTTCTATCGCGTGACGTCTTTTAACGTTCACTCTCAGATTATGTTTTGCAAACCGCTCTCAAGACGGCTGGGGACCGGCAAAAGAAATTCCTAGTTGAGGCTGTTCGTTTCAGCCTCGTCGCTACCAGACGTTTCACAAACCAGTACAGCAAGAATTTAACAGCCAGTCAGTCTAACTTTTTGTTACTTCATGCCATACCGCTTCGTTCTTACCAATACTTCCAGTTGAGAACCTCATATCCAATGATCCACTGCCATCGACCCCTCAGGCATCTGCCTCCAAAGCCAAAGCCAAAGCTAAAGGCAAGGCCGTTAGGTTCTCCGATCACAACACATTCCGGCGTCATTGATACCACGAGGAGTCCTCCTGAGGCTCAAATAGTATATCTTTTCATCTCCCGTTGCCCAACCTTTCAAAACCCTGTCACCCCGTACGATACCTCATGCTTTAGTTGGACACTTGGCGCCTGTTATTCTACCATGCTCTAACCTTTATCTCATGCACATGCACTCCTGCCTCCCATTTAATGCTCTGACTCATAAGCTTTACTCGCCACATTCCTCTTCCACTCTTCAGCTATCCTTCACCTCTAGCTCTCAGTTGCACTCATGTGCGTGAGGCCCGAAACGATTGTAGAGCGCTTTCCGACTGGAAGCGATTTGAATTTTGGCCGTCGCGCCGTGCACTCTCAAGTCGTTTCCCAATGCAAATAAGGCAAAAGCAGATGAACTCGGATCGGATGCAAATCTGGCGGTCCCAGACCATGAATAAGCACTTGGACATTAATTCTTAATTCCACAATATTGTTCACGAAACTTTACTCCTGTTTGTTGGTCAATCTTATCGAGAGGAAACCTATATAGTAACACAGTCCGGCTTTGCAGGAGGGGGATGGTCTACTGTATATATGTTCTGGTTGATATATGCGGTTTGTTATTACTGTTCGGGGCACCATTAATTTTTGCCTGAGCCAAGACAACTGCCGCAAGTTGCCGTGGAGGGTCACGAGGTTGGAGACACGACACCTCGTCCATGGCAGAGCCGGGTAGTATAGGCGGCCCAGACACGCAGCGAAGCGTTGAATCTGCTGCATCGCTATTCGTTGATGTCGACGGCAATGATGCAGATTTTTTCTCTTCTACCTCTGGGATACATACGAGCTCGTCTCCTGATGTCACTCAGTCTTCTGCGTCTAACCTTTTCGGACCTAGTAATGATGTGCAGCCGTTACCCTCTCAGGAGGTCTATGAAGGCCATGCTCATCACGATTATCAACACCAACAAGTATTTGATGAAACATATATGCACCCGCTCGACGATGAACGTGACGATGCCCATTATGCTCACAATGTACCTTCCATCCAACCTCCGTATGAACCCTTCGGAGTCGGCGCCCCTACGACTTCTGCTCAGCCTTGGAATGCATATGAGCCCGTTTCACGGCAATCTTCTAGAACACAGTTGATCCCAAACAGTCATGTCTCTCAACCTCATGATATGAACCCATTGGTACCCACGACTCAGGTCTATGACGGCGCGGCTTCTTGGTCACACAGTTCTTATAGTTCTGCTCAGGGTTACTTCCCTGCGGAAGGTGTGTGCAATTATTGACACGAACTCCACTATACCAATTCCTCGCGAACTGTCTCACACAGCAGCTGCTGATCCATATGGGACCATAGACATGACCCATGGAGGTAATTCTATCTAGCACTCATTAGTACTGCCGTTGATTTGCGTCTTTAAGGAGCTCCTCAGCAACACAATGTATTTTTGAGCAACGGAATATCACCCTACACTAGCGCCCATGCACCTAGTCGTGATCTTTACGCTCCTATGAACGCCCACTCTCAAGGAACCTCTGTGGCTTCCCATCATTTCACTCCACCATTTGTTCCTCCTGCAACCCCGCATTTTATTGACTCTCAGCCACAGGCTGTTGCCTCCTACCATGCTCCTGCGTTCTCAGAAGCGGCTCCATTACATGGGTCTGCAACTAGGATCTCTGCTGCACCGGTTGATAATGGTGTCTCTAAGTACAGAAGCACATCTTACAATGCGTACGACCCGCCCATCCCCTCAGGAACGGCGAGGAGATCCTCCATGCATTCAACGCGCACGGGTGTCGGGTCAGTCCCTACACCACCGCCACCTGTTCCTCCGATACCTTTGAACCTACCAAGGTCAAGCGATCTTCATGAGCCACATAGGCAACATCTCGATACTGACATTACCTCACCTCCCGTCCCATACTCCCGACCCGGAGCATTAGGACGAATATTACCGTCTCCCCCTCGTCCAAAATCATCGGGGCCTCTAAGAGCGGCCCCAACTGCTCCCAGCGGTCGTTTGAGTGATCTTCCTCCGTCGACAAACGCCCACTTACAACGGCCCCTTTTGCCCCCTACGACAAGCAAACAATCGCCTCCACTTCCTCGTCAACCGTCCCCTCCGTCCCCAATTCGGGGATCTGCGCCAATTTCTGTCTCAACGCACGAGGGCTTCGCGTATTCAGTCCCAGACAACATGCGTTCAGCGATAGACTTTGAATATCACCATAGACACTCTGAGCAGTCGCTGCAAGGACCACTCGCTTCGGGACCGATCAACCATGCCAATGCTCCACCAGGATCCGGTATTGCAAACTCTTCTCCCGACGATGGAGGGTTTGATTCTGCGTTAAACAGTATACATTCACTTGGTCAAGTTCTCAACGGGCCTGGGGTCCAGAACGGTGAACCCACTGTTCCGCATACCGGCGTTGTACTCGGCGAATCACTTACGCCTGATCCTACGATGGACAATGTACAATATGTGACATATTCCCCGGAGCCATTCCCCTGCCCCACAGGAGCTTCGGACGAGATTGAAGCTGTCTTTAACCCGGCTCAAGCCGGACCCGCCGCGGCACCTTTAGTGAGGACATTTGAACAGCAGTTTGATGTTGGCGGCGTAGTTTCGCACTCTATCAATGCATCAGCGTCAGAAGCAGATGGTACGGCGGTGTCGCAACCTCCCGAGGGGGATAGTGCACCCATCTGGTATGACCCTTATGCACCTCCAAAATCGGAACCACCCCCGTCAACCTCATCAGTCCCGCTATCTTTACCACCGCTAGCTCCCTCTCTGTCTGCTCAGCCCCAACATCGTTCATCTCAGTCATCAACCAGCTCAACTATGTCCGCCTATGCTCCGATCCCTTCAATCAGTGCGCACGGCGCGCCAATGCCTGCTACGATTCCACACCCGCGGAACCTAGCGCTAGCGGCTCTCGAGTCTTCGTACGTCCCATCGTTCTCAAATCCGGACCACACCTCTACCCCCTCTTCGTCTTCTGTCCCCGAATCAACACCTACTGTCAGAAGCGTCTACGCGCCATCTCCATCCCAAACTGCTGAAGATGACCCACGGACCAGGGCTCGTGTCCCTATTTTCTGTTTTGGATTTGGTGGCCGCGTTGCTTCATGCTTCCACACACAGTTGGACGCTACTACCGGGGTGGATATTGCACTAACGGGCAGGAGGTCTTCTCCTATCTTCATCAGGACTCTAAAATCTATCATCCCTTCATCTGCTATTGAAATATCTACTTCTGAATTTCCTGGCCCTCTGTTCACGGGCCCAAGTTCGCTAGCAATCATCAAACCTACCGCCGGGGGGGTCATAAAATCAAAGAAGTCGGCGGTTCTCAAGTACCTGTCCGAGCGAGTGGAAGAAGTTGAGCGAGGACTGGGATATGTGTCATCATCAAAGACGGATGAGCGCTTTTCCGTTCAGGGGCTCGCTGCACTTCTTCGAGCTCTATCTGTTATGGTAGAGAATGATGGTCAGCTTTCCGGGAGGTGAGGGAGTTTGCTTAACCCCTTCCGGGTTGTTTCGTTCCACAGGCACTGATTGCATGTGACACAGCCCTGGAATAGATAGACAGGTCCGTGAAGCATTAATGTCCAGTGCTACTTCCTCGCTGGCCCCTCATTTGCTCGCAATGCCATCTGGATCGTACGGATTCTCCACGCCTCTTATCGATCGACAGGGAGCTAATGACCAGTCGAGACTGGCAGTGGAGAAAGATCCTCCGATTGCCACATATACCGTCCGCTCTTCTTGTCTCGACAGGTTACAGGCATATCTTCTTGTCGGAGATCGGCGCCAAGCTTGTTACTATGCGTTGGATCAGAAGTTGTGGGCACATGCTATGCTGATAGCCAGTAGCTTGGACAAGGAGATTTGGAAAGAAGCGGTGAATGAATTCATTCGCAGCGAACTTGGGGTTGCAGCAGGAGCAGAACATGGAAAAGCTTCAAATGGCCGAGAAAGCATGCGAATTCTCTACAGCCTCTTTTCTGGCCAGGGTCCCACTTCTAGTACGTTGTCGTATCGATTATTGCTATTCGTCCTTAATTTTCCGCCCGCGACAGTCCAAGAACTTTCTCCTCCGAAGAGCCTAGCGAAGTCGGCCGAATTACTTCAACCCGCTGCTCCTTCGTTGGTGCACACCCCGATATCCCCCAATTTCCCAAAATTACCGATAACATCCAGTGTCTCTTCTGAAGCGTTATCGAGATGGCCTGAGACAGCAGCAACCGTTATCTCCAACTTCAGCTCTGGGGAACATGCATCTACTTTGACTAACCTTGGTGACCGCCTTCTCTCGAAAGGTTGGATCGAGGCTGCGCATGTTTGGTATGTCCTTCCGGGGTTACGGTGTTTTTGATGTTGATTTCCACTGCTTTAGCTATCTTCTGTCCCCTCAAAATTCCCCCATCAATGGAGTGGGTTCTCCATCTGGACGAGTTGTTCTGTTTGGGTGCGAAAACCCTGCGACTCTGAAGAATATTAGTGCGAACTACGAGCCCATCAATCTCACTGAAGTAGTTGAATTCGCGCTCTCGTTGGCTCCATCGTCAGGGAAAGACGCCTTTGCAGGCCTACCACATCTTCAGGCGTACAAATTAGCGCGGGCTCTTCAACTCGCGGAATTGGGGTATATCAAGGAAGCTACAAAGTGAGTCTTACATCACGCTTCCCTTCAATTCTAGACCCTTAACATGTATGCAGGTATTGTGAGGCTATTTCTTCCGTCATGAAGGGTTTTACTCGGCCGTCGCACTACTTTACATTCACCTTCTTTGAGCTGCACAAGGAGCTCACTGAGAGATTGAGCGGTGTCCCGGACAAGAATACATCATGGATCAGCCGAACGATGAAGAAACCTACAATAGACTCCTTGGGGACATGGTCGTTTGACAAACTGACTAAATTTATCGAGGGAGATGACCCATCTCCAGGTCCCGAAGCGAATGAAGCCACTGCCAAGACAAGTCCTGTCAGTGGAACCACACTCGGTGTTGGACCATTCTCGCACTACAGTGAGATCTCGTCTGCGACTACATCGCAATTGCCTTCACCGACAGGATCGACTAAAGGTTATTCCATTCCGTCGGGTCCATCCGCTCCACCAGCGAGGTCGGGTTCTGCGATGTCAACCCGAACTGGCAATGTTCCTGTCGCCGCGCAGATCGACCGAGCTGCATCAGCTGCTGAGTATTTGCGACCCACGCGCACGTCGTCTCCCGCCCTTTCCGCACATCGAGCAGTTTTCTCGGCGGGGCCATCGACCACAACATTTGGTAACAGCAGCAGATACCAGCCAGTTCCTTCCACAACATACCCGGTCAAACCCACGAGCAACGGGACACCAGCTTTTGGCGCTAGTGGAGGTGGAGGCTGGTGGGACGATCTCCAAAACAACAACGTGGAATCTGAAGGTGCTACGCCCGTTGCCACTGCTTTCCGAATCAACGGAGATGAGGAGGACAAACAAGATGAAGGCAACTTTGTTTCAGCCATGGATACGTGGCCTGATGCGGCTACACCCTCACCCAATCCCGGTGCCTCGCCTGAGGCAGTTTATCCTATTCGTCAGATCGAGGATGGCGATGAAGAGGATTTGGGCTTTGGGAACAATGCTCACAAGAAAAAGAAACAGGAAGGCGATACGCCAAAGTCAGAAGTCAGCGATTCGAAGGCTGAGAAACCTCCAGCGGAAAGCAGCTCCGCAGCACTCAAGGAGAAGCCCAACATTCCTGGTAGGTTAAGTACTATCTTTCCCATATCAAATGCTCACGTTCTCCAGATCCGCCTCCTTCCAGAGGGTGGTTCTCTGGCTGGTTCAGCAAAAAGGACACCACCAGCCCGGCTCCCGTTCGGGCTAACTTGGGAGAAACCAAAAATGCATTTTACTTTGACAAGGAATTGGGCAAGTGGATAGACGGCAGGGTAGGCAAATTCAATCACATTTATCTGGGGATGAACTCATCCTTTTACAGGTGGGTGCATCCTCAGCACCAGCGCCCACTCCACCCCCTTCAAGAGCCCGTACCGTATCTCCTAGCACTATGAATGGTGGTCTACCAAAGCCCAGCTCCAAACCGCCTCCATTGAGCAGTGCCACGCCGCCACCCCCTCGCGCCCAATCCTCAATGGGCTTAAGTAGCACTAAACCCCCACCCCCTCCAGCATCACTACGGGGTCCCTCCGGACTATCGGCGTCGTTTATCCCGCCAACCCCTGGCTCAGAAGGTACAGATGAGACACTTCCCGCTAGGGCCAAAAGTGCGCAAGGGCAGCGTAAGAACGCCCGGGCACGTTATGTGGACGTTTTTAATAATCCGCCACCTTCATGAAGTTTCTGTTGCATATGCCGTATTTAATACCCGTTCACATTGCATCTTTTCATATTCCGTCTTCGTTCCATTCGCACTGGTTTATGATTTGAACTTTGTTCGAACCTTTGGTACCATCAAACTAGACCTCCCCCCAATAAGCTCTGGACATGACTGACCCCGCTGTATTTGGGCACCTGCTCGTAACGTTAGATGTAATTATGGAGTGTGAGATCTGACAGGACCGCCAAATTTGGTCAAAGGCATTATGTAATTAGTCTTCATTTTATACTCCCACACCGTACGAGCTACGCGGTAAAACTACTCATTTATTTTTTGGAGTAGGAAAACTGCAGTCTGCTTCTTTAAACACCCTCGTGCACTCATCGTTCGTGCGCAGAACGCTGGAAAATCGACAATTTATGTTGGGATGGTAGTTCACTGGGTACATTGAAATAAGATGTACTACTGCCGCTATCATTAAATGAAGGTCCAATGCCCGCATCAAAACCATCTCTAGCCCTTCCCATCGGCCAAGTCGACGTCTATATGATCCCGGCATCTTTAAGCCCATTATGCATGTAGTGTCATCACCGCTGCAAAAACCAGTTGGATCTATGGTCAAGGACAAGACCAAAGGCATTCATCGGGCATCAGTGACAGAATACCAAACAAGGTACAAACATTTCCGTATCAGCGGCCTGTGTCAGGCTAGAAGACCAGAATCACCATTAACCCTACACAAGACCAAACAATAACTTACTGAGGATAAATGCTCAACCTCGCCTTGTTCGCCTGCGAAAACTTCCACGAAATGGACTCGGCTACCTTGTTCATATTCCTCCCGGCCGTTTACTGCGGAGAGATACTCTAAAGCTCCCTCAGACCCCTCACTATACTCTTAGAAAATACGTAACCGAATCTATAAAGTGAGAATTCCCTGTTCCGTTACCTATTCCTGCCGTTGTAGTATTACTTGCCATTAGTCCGCCACAGCCACAGCCACCGCCGCCACCTCCTCCGTTGCTCACAGACGATGAAGATGAAAAACCGGCCCAACGGATTGGAATGCGATTTGTCCATTAACGATTGCATGGATGGAGAGATCGGGCCAGAGAAAAGCGATAAGGATGGGAAGAAGAGCGGCTGAGACGAAACGGATGTGTCTTCGAAGGAGAGGATCGATATATTCGTAAGTCAGACGTTGGCAGGTCATGGCTGTGCGCAGGGAGTTTGAATAGGAACGGGAGATGCGGGGAGTTTGCCGAGTCGAGTCTGACACACTCATCACCCATTGACGTCACCACAACTAGCGCTCTTCAGACTTCGCGCTCCATCGGTGACGATTCCAATCGCTGGACCGGAGAACCTTCAGCCGTCTAATATAGTTCCGCACTGGACATGCACACTTAGGCGAATACTGCCAACAATTCAACATCGCAACGAATGCGCGTGCGGCGCACAACACATCTTAGCCGTCTGCCCCCTACACAGGGGCCACAGACATATGTTAGGTCGAGGCCGACAAGCCACCTACGAGCGGCTCATGGGGAAACCCAAAGGAACTCTCAGACTCGCGGACTTCCTGAAGAGATCCAGGGCGACGGAGAAGCACAGAGGAGGGAGTGCAACCCGGAGAGACTCAGGATGGAAAGGATACCACACGCGACCGAGATAGTCTACTTAGACAATACCAGCTCAACGTCACTTTGTTTTCTATCTTCTTTCTCTCTTACAACCAGACAATACACCCCGAACCCACATGCCCCGAGGACCCCTTACCCCAAAACTACAGTTGCGGACACGCAAAGACAAGAAATTTTCTACAGCAGGATTCTTTGAATCAGTTAGCTTTATTTTGTCAAAATTGGAACCCTTTTGACAGGATACGCATAAAAACACAATCCTTAGATTTTTCTCTATTTTTTCTAGCACCCCGCAAAAATTTGAGCTGAATTTTGGAATCCTTATTTAATGGCTTTGAGCATTTCCATGTATGTATCTACAAAATCTGGAACAGAATATACGCTTTCAAGAAGAAAATGTCAGCTTTGAGCTTGGTTGTGCTCTCTCATATTGCGTGATTGCATCGCTTCAGCAAAGGTAGGGGCTCCAGTTATCGTTATCTTTATCACTTGAGTCTGAAATATATTCAATGCCCTCCATAGGTTGTTTAAAGATTGAAGTTATGCTGCCTGCTCTTGGTGGCATGTGTAGGCACTTGCAGTCGGGTCGGAACCAATTCAGGTTGTTTCACGAAAATTGATTTTTGATGCCTCAGTTCAATTACTCCTGCTTCCAATTTTCTGTAATCATCATGTAGACCATCAAAGCTACAAAATGAGCCCCAGATTGCACCTGGGCGCTTATTTTTTAGCACCCCGCAAATTTTTCGAGTCTGACAAAAAACCAAATGCTTGTTTTTGGGCTTCTGAGTGTGGATAATGACTTCTATTGCTAACTTGTGCATGGGCAAAGGTGTAACGGATAGCGCGGCGATGGCCCTGACAGGAAGTCAAAGCTTCTTGATTTGAAGCAAGCCAGTAGATACAAAAAACCCTCAAAAAAAAGGAGGCAATGGGGCAGGTGGAGGGTAACGATGAAGACAAGTGAGAGTAGCAGCAGAGAAGCGCCAACAAAAGAGAAGAAGTGAAGTTACAAAAACAAGGCATGAGCCGAAAAGAGAAAGACACCATAAACATCCGGGATCCAACTTGCAAAGGGTAACCAAGGCTAACTGCCTTATCCAATGCAAGACCAAATATTCAACACCAACCAACCACCCTAACCAAAACTAATAAGAGAATTAGTTAGAAATATACGTCAGAGTCATAGAAAAAGGAAATAAACTCCAGCATGTGTGGACACAAGAGAGATAAAAGACTGTAGAGCAACAGTGTGCAGCAGATGCAAGAGGTGGTGGCTGAGAAGCCAAAGCGTACCACGGACACAGAAGAGAAGGCACGGAGGCTGAAGCGCTCTGTTGTTTGAGCAAGACATGACAACGCGCCGGTACGCATATCATGCCCATATCGGCTATCCGATATGATACCCTTTTCCCATGTGTTTCGTGTTTCACTGTTGATTGCCTTCCACATGTAGCGCTGTCGCATATCTCATTTTCTTATCACTTTTGTCTGATATCCGTGTTATTACTTTGACTACTTATACCGCTGTGCGGTTACAATATCAAGTTGGTTGTTCCCTGTTATCCGAGTGTCCCCACTGAGAGCTACATAACAACAGGTTATGAGCCCAGCCTAGGGCTTAACCACCACAACTCAAACAAGACTCGACGCTGCTTACATCTAAACCTCGCGCTCAACTTCTAGTCGACCTAACCCATGGCTGAAGACTTGGTATCCCTTGGCAAACGTCTCCCTATCTTGTCCGGGAAGGAAAACTACACTCAATGGAAAACCAGCATGGAGGATATACTGACTTACTTGGATCTATGGGCTTACGTTCAAACCGGTTACACGTTGCCCACTGATGCGACTCAGAAGGCCACAGCTGAGAAGGCACAGTGCAAGGCGCTTACGTTGACAAGGTGCTTACGTTGATTCGTCTGCAAGTATCACCGTTCGTCCACACATTTGTCATTGATTCTCAGACCCCCAAGGCGGCCTGGAAGATCCTCAAAAGGGAATTTGAGGTGACCGGCACCACATCCCACATATTCCTTCGCCAGGAGTTATACACAACTTGCATGGCCGAAGATGACAACCTGGACATGCATGTCCAGAAGATGCGCACAATCTATAATAATCTGTGCATAGCCGGTGATAATATTCAAGACTCAGAGTTTGTAATGGCGTTACTTATCTCACTCCCCACCTCCTGGGATAGCTTCACCTCTACCATTGAACTCAAAGATCTTGACTCTACGGACACTGCTGTGAAGAGCGCCGCTGCTGATTACATCCTTAACAGGATTAAAGGCGAAGCCAACCGTCGTCAATCGTGCAATACAGAGCCATCCAACTCCGCATTCAATTCCAAATCCGACCAACCAAACAAAGACAAACAGAAACCCGATCGATCCAACTCCGAGTGCCGCTACTGCCACAAGCATGGACATTGGGCCAAGGAGTGCCGGAAGCGGATAGCAGACGAGAAGAAGAAGAATTTGGCAAATGTCTCCTCTCAGGAGCAGGAGCCGAGCTTCTCCTTCATTGCATCTGCCAATCCTGCTGTCCTGGCTGGTAGTCGATGGATTGGAGATACTGGTGTGGATGACCACGTTGTATCTGAGCGAGAAGCCTTCTTTGACTATGCAGAGACCCCTGGCCAATTTGTGACTGGCGTAGGGGGAGCTAAGGTCCCCATCCGAGGATGCGGGACTGTTGCAACAGTAATGCATGCTGGGGACTCTTCACAGATTGTCACTCTCCACAACTGTCTACACATTCCATCATCCCAACCCAACCTCCTATCCCTTTCCCGTCTCGACAATGTCGGTGGTACCATGCAAACACAGTCCGGCCAGATCAAACTTCTCACGCATGATCGCACAACACTCTGTGATGGCCGAATTCAAGACCACCTCTACCGTCTCGACATGCAGACTGTCGTGGCCGATGCCCCTTCCATACTAGCTGCGATTTCGGGTGATTCTTCGCCCAAAAGTCGTACCTGGGAGGAGTGGCATCGGGCCCTCGGATATCTTAACCCGTCCTCGCTCAGGACGATGAGGGACATGGGAGTCGTTGAAGGCTTGGAGGTTACCCCCAATTCCACTCTGAATTTCACCTGTGAAGCCTGTATCCAAGCTAAGCAGACCTCGAGGCCTTTCCCCAAAGAGTCCAGAACTAAATATAAATCAGTCAGGGACTTAATCGTCACCGATGTCTGGGGTCCGGCTCAGGTTCTAGGCAAGGGCGGGTATCAGTACTTCATTTCATTCACCGATGTTGCCACCCGTTTTAGCGTCGTAGCATTCCTTCGTCAGAAATCCGAATCAGTTACTCAATATCGTCGATTTGCTGCTTGCATCCAGACTCAGTTCAATCGTAAAATCAAAGCCATCCGGTTTGATAGCGGCACCGAGTATCTCAACGATTCGATGAAGTCTTTTCTCGCTGAACAAGGAACTATGTACACGACAACCGCTCCCCATTCCTCTGCCCAAAATGGCATTTCCGAGCGTCTGAACCGCACCGTTCTAGACCACTCGCGTGCCATGTTGTTCGATTCCCAACTCCCCAAGTCCCTCTGGCCCTATGCCGTATCATATGCCACTTTCCTGAAAAACCGTACCCCAACGCGCGCGCTTGATGGCCGAACTCCATACGAGTCCTTCTTTGGAAAGAAGCCAAGTGTCGCAGGCATTCAAATATTTGGGTGCGATGTTTGGGTCCTAGACCAATCTGGTAAGAATGGGAAGTTAGATCCCTGTTCTAACAAGTTCAGGTTCTTAGGCAACTCAGAGGAGACCACTGCCTACTGGTATTACAAGTCCAGTGGGGAGGTTGCGAAGTTGCGGAACGTCATTTTCCCTAACCCCACCCCTGAGAGTCCACCTTCCCTCCCTCTTCCACTGCCATCGCCTGAGGGGGAGATTGCTGAAAGTGGACAGGCGACGCAGGAAGAGGGGGAGCATGCTACCCACAATCCCATTTCCCTTCCCAAACACTCTGAACCTCCTTCCAATCAGTCCAACCACCCCATCCGCCCATACCGCACATGCCGCACTCCTCTGAATGAGCCTTTCCTCAAGGTTGTCTCCGACCATGGTGCTGTTCAATCAACGGTACAGTACTCCCATTGCAGGGACTGTGACCCTGTTGCTCTTGCAGCGTTCACGGACGAGAAACCCGAGGTCAAGGACGCTCTTCAAGGACCTCATGCTGAGCACTGGCGGGCCGCGATGGATGCCGAAGTCGCACAGTTACTAAACCTGGACACTTTCGAACCCGTACGTGCACCTGCGGATCGGAAAGTTATTGGATGTCGATGGGTTCTAGCTACGAAGAAAGATGCTGAGGGGGAGATTGTGAAGTTTAAGGCCCGGTTGGTTGTGCAGGGTTTCGCGCAGGTTCCGGGGATGGATTATGGTGAGACTTTCTCACCAGTGATGCGGACTGAGTCGTTCAGGCTCCTGCTGGCACTTGCTGTGCAGCTAGACCTGAAGATTCACCAGATGGATGTCGTAGGGGCGTATCTTAATGGGGAATTGGAGGAAGAAATATATATGAAGCAGATACCGTGGTATGAGGATGGGACGGATAAGGTCTTGAGG